CTACCAAATTGTTAAGGATGGTCCGTGTTCTACAGCAAATTTACGGGTGTTGAGCTTAACAAGATACCCGTTTTCTGTGGGCTGAGCTGTATCTAAACGTTTAGATACTTACCTAGGTAGTCTTTATCTGCCTAGTATCGGTGGAGGTCATTGATATCACCTATCTCAGTGCCCAACCCTCAGCACAATACGTGTACTTACCTACCTACCTAGGTATTCTGACCTACACATAACCACGCCAGACGCAAAGTCCGGAATTCGTCAATAGAGAGGCATACCGCGCCATAAACTACCCTGAAAAAGGAAACCTGAGGCATAGAAACACCATCTCTCCTGCCGACGCCCCTCAAACAACACGAAGCCGTAACTCCATGGAGTTAAGGCCGGGCTCAACCCCGTCCCCTTTTCATTGAGCATGGACGTGTCCATAGCTGCCTGTGCAAGTGGGACTACAAAAGAGTCAAATTCCCCATGCTGTCCGCAAGCAGTTTGAACTTGGACGGCTTCCTCTCCTCAAGCACCCAGACATTCAGCCTCGCTTCGTCCTGATCTTCCCCTCCAAGACGCATGCCTTACCAAGCCCAGCATTAACACACCGTCATATCCGCCATGGTTGGTTCCAAAGAGCTCGAGCCATCGTACAAGTCCTTCGGGAAGATCTTCTTCCTGAATCAGTTCCGCGAGAAGCCGCAATGGCCAGCCCCAGGCACAACCCTCTCCGGCAAGACGGCCATCGTGACCGGGGCCAACACGGGGCTCGGGTACGAGGCCGCCCTGCAGCTGCTGGGCCTAAACCTCTCGCGGCTAATTCTTGCCGTGCGGTCTGTCGACAAGGGCGAGGCTGCCGCGGCCAAGATGCGCAGCCAGTTCCCCAAAGCTACCATAGAAGTCTGGCAGTTGGACATGTGCTCGTACGAATCGATCCAGGCCTTTGCCCGGCGTGCCGAGTCCCAGCTGCCTCGTCTCGACATTGCCCTGCTCAACGCGGGCATCATCAAGTTCACCTTTACCACGGTCCCGAGCACCGGCCACGAGGAGACGCTGCAGGTCAACTACCTGTCCACCATGCTGCTCGCCGTGCTCCTGCTGCCCATCCTCAAGGCGAAGAATCAGCATGGCGAGCCCGGGCGGCTGACCATTGTCAGCGCGGCGCTGACACTGGCGGCCAAGTTCCCCGAGAGAAACCAGGTTCCTGTGCTCAAGGCGTTTGACGATCCAAAGCTGTTCACCAACGACGAGACGTACAATTCGAGCAAGCTGCTGGCCCACATGTTTCTGTGGAACCTGGTTGACTACGTCTGGGCGGATGATGTTATTGTGAATCTGGCAGACCCGGCCTGGTGCAAAGGCACCAACCTGGCGCGCGAGGTCACGGGTACCGGGCTGAGGCTGGGCGTCAAGCTCTTTGGTGCCACTACGGGAAGGTCGCCCAAGGTTGGTGCGTCGTGCTTTGTTGATGCCATTGTCAACAAGGGCAAGGAGTCGCACGGCTGTTTCCTCATGAGCTGGAAGATTCATCCGTAAGTTCAATATTCAAGTTTGTCATCCTCCCCAAGTAAGAGAGTTACCATCTGGTTGTTGACTAGTCTGCCACAGGTTCGCTGCCTATTTGTATACCCCCGAAGGACGCGCGGTTACACAGCGGGTCTGGGAGGAGACCTTGGCCGAGCTTGACTTTGCCGGCATCCGCGCCATATTGGAATCCATGAAAGCGTGAAGGCGTGATTGATGGCGCGAGAGGGGGGCCGGCGCGATAAGGGGAATCTTGTCATACGACATACGGTTCTGTGGCTGCGTGTTACCTCAGTATAGACACGAGAATTGGTGTTCATAGTACTCGATAGTGAGGTCAAATTTGCTACTTAACCCCTGTTTACTTTCACATCCGTTTCTTACATGTACTTCTTCTTTTATCTTCCTCCTACCTTTTCCATTTCGTTTCCCCTAACCACCTCTACCAGATCTCCATGAGCTCAATCCTCCTCCTGCCTACCACGGTCCGGCAGAACAGCCCTCCGCCTGCCCTTGCCCTTGCCCTGACGGGCCGTCATGACGGTAATCGTATGCACGAAGCGCAGCTTGCCCTTTTCCACTCTGAACTCATGACTATCCGGGATGCCCGAGAAGCTGAGGAAAACCGAGACAGCCCCCACCGTCTCATCAATGACATACCGCCTGTCAACAAGCGCAACACCACTCGGGATGCCCACATCACACTTATCATTCGGCCCCCCAGTACCGGTGTAAATCCCACCCTCAAGCCGAGCACAGGGGCGTCCCCACGGCACAACCACGCTCTTATTGCTAAAGATATCGCAGTACGCATCAGCCGCCGCCTGGATGACGGCGCGCGAGTCGCGCTCAGCCTCGGGGATGGTGCCCCAGTCCTCGCGCGAGGCCCAGTACAGGGTGCCCGTGGCGTTGAAGAGCCAGTCGCCGGTGGTCGTGACGAGCGTGTCGATCTTGGAGATGGCGCCGTCGGTAAAGTACATTTGCACGCCCAGCACGTACGGCTTGCTCCCCGTGGCCGAGACGAGCTCCGTGTAAGTGGCGCACTGCGTCGTGTCGAGGCTGTGCCGGCTATGGTCGATCTTGATGGGCGTCGCCAGGATGCCCGTCTTAAAGGCCGCCGGGGAGAAGTTCTCCCGGTAGTCGAGAGTGGCCGCCACGGGCTTCAGCAGGCTGGGATCGCCCGCCGCTTGTGCTGCAACGAGGCTGTCGGCGCTGGTCTTGAGGAATTCCCGCGTGCAGTCGGCGGCCGATGACACCAGGGGCGCAACGGCCCCAAGGGCGAGATATGCCAGTGAGCGCATCGTGGCTTGGAGTCACTTTGGTTTGCTGTGGGAGACGAGTGGTAGCCAACAAAGCAAAGTATAGTCCTGAACCTTGACTCCGCACCGCTGGCATTCAGGAAATATATAATGAGGGTCTCTACCTGGAGCTTGGAGGGGCATAGCATTCGGAGGCTAATGTGGGTAGCGGATAATTGCCACGGGCCCTGGCAGCCATTCGGTGATATTGGCCAGCGTAACCAGGGAGGAGTTCGCCATCGGCAGTTTGCTCATCACAACGTGATTGGCACACTGCCCGTCCCCGGTATAATGTGGACGATCATGGTGATAGCTGGCGCTGGCTTATAAAGCAGGGATTGGTATTGAGGCAAAAGGGGTCCGTCCCGGACGGCAACCAGGCCCCTTTCTAAACAGCTACGGTGATACGCTGCACTGGGATTCCTGAATCCTGCCCAAATCTCCGAATCTTCTATCTTGTTCTCGATAATGATTTAGGTTTTAGGTATGCTATATCAAATTTGGATGAGATTCCCTACTGACCTGAAACCAACACTCAAATTACCGATCCGCCGGTGTTATCCATGCCCAGGTATCACTATGCTTCCCCAAATAACCGAAACGCCACGACCCTGTCATGCAATGCCTCGGAATGCACGTGCTTCCCAGTTGAGGGGCGCAAAGATAGGAACCTATAAACTCAGAATCTTGAATCGGAATTGGGTTAGCAGAGGTAGACGGACCGCAGAAAGCCTGACGGCAGGGCAGGTGATGATTGACGAACCTAATTTCATAACTTCCAGCTCTTGTCATGTACCTCACCCACTTGACACTCGAGTAGTTGCTCTTTTCGAAAACCTTAAGATACCTCACAAGCAGCCCGGAGCTGGTAAACATCAAAAGGCTGAAGCTCATGCTCAGCGGCGGCCGACTCCAGGCTTTCTGGTTTGTCATGCTTGTCAACTCGGCCTCGGCGCTCAAGACGTACTCGCTTTGGCCGGTAAACCTGCCAATCTTCCAGACGATATTGTTCTCGGACGGCTCGTACTTTGCCTTGCCCTGGGTGCACCGCTCCGTGATCCTCGCAGTGTTGAGCGGCGTAGGGATGCGGACCACGACGTTGGTGGCAAACAGCTTGGACCCGAAATTCGCCCGCACACCAATGCTGTATTCCACCTTTGTCTTGCCCACCTCGTTGACGATGGCGTGGACTTTGAAGGGCAGGTTGACGTTCTCGGTGGCGCGGTAGCGCATCAGCTCGAACTCGCCGTCGGGCGGCACGAAGCTGATGATGCGGTCGCTATCGAACTTGCCCAGCTTGACGCACTGGTGGAACTGGCAGTCCTCGAGCGTGACGCTGCCGGCCGCAGCCTTGGTCGCCTTGCTCCCCATCCTGTTGCCGCTCGGGAGGCTGTGCATCCCGTCGTTATCGAGCAGCAGGCGGTCGTTGAGACCAAACTTGCACTCGGGCGTCCCGCTGAGGTAGGCACGCATGATGATCTGCCCCGTCACGTCGGCGCGCAGCACCGAGCCTGTCGCGCTCATGAGCAGATTCACGTCCTCAATCACGTCGACAAACGCCTCGTTCTTGCGGTATTTGACGTCGGCTTTGCGCCATGACAAGGCACCCGTTGCCTGCATGGTGATCTTGGCTGAGTCTTCTATGGCCCGCTCTGACTTGACGCCCTCGGTTGTGATGTACATCTTGAGCGTGTCCGTCTCGGTGTTCTGGGGATAGCCGAAATCGATAATTTCTGTGACGCCGAGAGGCACACGACCAGGTTAGCAGGGAACGCAGAAGAAAAAGCGAAAGGGTCGACAGAAGAACAGCACAAAAGCAGCGCCCACGAACCATCCAGGAGCTCGTAAACCAGGACGAAGTTGTTCTTGACGGCTTCCTCGTCGAACTTGCCAAAGTAGCCGCGGCCGAGCTGGATCAGACGGTAGAGGAACTCAAAGACGAGTGCGGCATTGGCGTTACTCTTGGTGATGGCAACAAGGTAGATGTTCTCGTGCTTGACATGGCTGAAGGTGGTGCTGCCGAGCGTGAGGATGGGCGAGCGGACTTGGGCGTTGCTGATGACCTGGATGCGGAAGACATCGGCGAGACGTGGGCGGCAGTCGTTGCGGAACGCACGGAAGATCAGGTTCTCGCCCTTTTGATTGAAAATGAGTATACCGGACAGCATTTTGGTTCAATCGCGTCTTCTGGCGCAATTGGGAGGGCAGCAGGAGCGTGATGCGAAGTGTGTCTGGATCCGCTCGGGTCCGCACAAGGTCTCCTTCCAGTGGGTGGGTGGTCTTCAATTGCGAGAGACTGGCAGAATCCCCGCTGGCGGTCGCTGTGGGTGTTCCCACTGTGGGGTTGGCAGCTCAGGGAACATTAAGCACTGTGTAGGCGGTGAAGCTTAGAAAAGGGGGAGCAGTTATTTATGATAGGGAACTACCAGCTAAGACCTCCAATGCGTACACGGCCATATGGAGTGATACTTGTGCTTTGATGAATCTGATTATGAACGTCCTTTTAGAACCCTTAAATACAGCTGCAATCCAGAATTTGGGTTGCCGGAGTCCGTGCAGTAAAGAAAGATAAACAATATATGCCCGCATTCCTAGGTATGCATTTTAGTTTTCTGCTTTTGCTCTGAACACCATGACATCGAAGAGCCCCAGCCAAGACACATAGGTATCAACAACTCAACGACATACGCTACTTCACGCCTGCCGTCCACCCAAACAATACACCAAACCCAGGCTTGATTTAGACATTGTCCACCGAGTGTTTTGCCCGGTGTTCTGCCTTCTCCGACATCGGCCGTCCGTTAGCCACTTCGGCCTCCAGCTGCTTCTTCGTCTCAAAGTTCGCCTCAACCTTCTGAACGACAGCCTCGCGGATCTTGGCCTCGCTGCGGCTCATCCACACATGCCAGCCCGAGTTGGAAAGCGGCCACAAGACCCTGTTTTCCATGGACTCGATCCACTGGCGGTTCTGCGGCTTCGGCTGGCTGGCGATAATGTCCATCTCGGCGGCAATCTGGGCGCAGTATCCCTCGAGCGGCAGGTCGTTGACGTCCTGTCCAAAGGGATTCTCAATCTCGCGCCCAATAAACAGGATACCAAGGATGATGTAGGCTGCCGCAACCGTGGCCGGAATCGTAATCCACTGCAGTGTGGGCAGCAGCTGGAAGGGCAGCAGCAAGATGTAGACCCATGTGATTTGCGCAATGGCGATCGAGTAAGCGATGGGAAGCGGCGTATTGAGCACACGCTCGGTGCCAGTAAGCACGTCGTTAAGGGACGCAATGTTGTTGTACGCGCCGGTTTGCTGCATCGGGACAGGCAGGCGGCCAGTGAGGGCAAGCTCGTCGGTGTAGGCAGCAATGTACGACAGGATCTCAAGAGGGAGGTTGCCGAGTGGGCGGGTGGCCCTCTTGATTGCCTTGCGCGGGTTGCTCTCGGCGAACGACACGCCTAGATACTCGCCCACGCTCTTGAAGAAACCGTGGCGCTTGAAGGATCGGTGGGCATTCTCAGGGTCGTCTCGGGTCGCGGCTTGGGCGTACGTGTTAAGGTGCGCAACCAGGTGCGAAATGTCCTCATAGCATGTATAGGGCTCGAACCGGAGCTTGTGCTTAAGAGCAACGGCAAAGGCCACAATGAGGTTCATAGCAGTGCTGCGACACGGACCGTCGGGTCAGTACATGGGGACACCCGTGGCCGGGGTTGGGGGGGATTTGTGTCTCACAGTTTCTCAAGCAGCTCCCTCCTTCTGTTCTCCTCTTTCTCTTCCTCGGGAACATCTTTGCGTTCGGCAGTGTGTACCCAGAACACTCGGCCAAGGTTCTGGCTTGCCAGGATCAACTGCGCCCAGTACCGCCGGCCCTCTGCATAACGCTCGTATGCCGTTGAGCTACGGAACGACAAGCCCAAACCGACGACGAAACCGAGAACTGTGAGTAGAATGTTGCTAATCCCAACTGTTGGCGGGTGTTGTCAGTCTCATTTTGAGCATCAAAACAGGGCTTCCAGGGGCGGAGTGGGACCTACGAGAATGGATCTCCATGCTGATGGCAGTGATCAGAGACGACCATACTGCAATGGCAAGCAAGGGGAGGATCATCTTGGGCAGAATGCTGCCGTGCATCTGGAGGAAGATGGGCCATTTGGAGTGCTTCTGAATATCACGGGGACCAGTCTGAAGCAGAGTCAGCAAACACACTTTACAAAGCTGTTGCGGCAGGCATGGACATTAACATACAAAATAGTCGTCGATGTCCAGAGAAGTGTTTTTGCGGCTGAAGGGATTCGGGGTATGTATACGAGGGGAGGTTATGGATGTGATTTCGTCCAATGGCTGCCCGTTCGTGTCAATGACGGGCTTCCGGTTCCTGTCGAAGCCCTGGACTGCCTGCTGGTCCGTGACGGTTGTCGCGGCAGAAGAAGCGGCGCCGGGAGCGGCAGCAGCAGCTGGGGCGCCGCCGGCACCCGCCGGGCCGTGACCACCATCGTCGCCCATGTTTAGCACGGTATCTGCGTAAAGCAACTTAAAGTCCCGGGAGGCAGCTAGCTGAGAAGCAATGCCGCAACTTCTGATACGATTTCAGAGCGAAGCAACGTGTAGACGTGGTATGCGATGGAAGGAGGGCCAAAAGAGTGGAAGAATAAGGGACAGATTAGGTGAATCTGGGGCAAATGACTTGAAGGAATGGAAGAAGCCTGCACGAGCGGATAGGGCTCGGCACTGGGAAGCTGAAATGATCGTCGAACAAAGGGAAAAAAGAATGGATGCCGGGAGTTTGCCGCGTCCAAGGGCTTTTTGTCAAATTGTCGCGGTTCGAATTCCCCCTGGGCCCCTGCGCGGATTGACAGGGGTTCCTTTTTGCACTGCCCAGGATTCCAGGAACCGCAAAGGTGACATTTCCAGGGATGCTTCGCCAAGAGCCGCTTCTGGACCCTCAAGGAACGGACATGTTTGACAAAAATCCCACGCGACAGGGACAGTGCGATTTCGATTGGTAAAGAGGACTCGACAGTCCCGAGGTGATCGGCCGCCCTGCGGAGCGACACGCACTGCCATTGGGCCTTCTGCACCTGGTCTGCCTTTGCGAACTGCAAACAGTGAGACGCGGTTCCATTGGTTGGCCCGTGCACAAGCAAAGGGTTTGCAGAGCTGCCAGGTGCCAGAGCGGCACTGCCGAAGGCATCAAGGCGTTGGGCAACAACCCGGCATATTGCTCAAGTAGTGTAACGTCGATTGGTAGGTGTTTGGTGTCCGTCATCCATCTGCAGAAGTTATGTAAGGTCATGTACACTGCTTACAACTGCGAAGCCAAAAATGGAATTGCCTGTTACGTGAGCAGATCCTGCGCCGTGCTGGTGCTTCATCTGATGCGTTGTCCCAAGATCAGATGCAGGGGTTGCATGGCCTGAGACACGGCATTGGCCCATCGTGGAAGCGCTGGTATCCGCCCTGACCAAGGGAACCTGGAGAAGCTGAGAAACACGAGCTGGCAGCCCGACCCGCTCTGGTGTCCCTGCCAAGACACTCGATTTCCTCAAAGTCAGAGGCTCGTGTGACGTGTCACCAGATTTGCCATTGACAATCGTAGATCATATGTAGTGTACCAATAGTGCTGCTCGATATAGGTTAGCAAACTTCCCTGGCACTGATGAACCGCATTCACTAATTCAGCTGAACAGCTCAACGCTCGCCCAACGGATGAAATCCCGTGACCCGGTCCCGATCCGTTCACCGGCTCAGACGGCGCCTGTGACGGAGGCCGGAGCTGTCGCCTAATCCACTTCGTGCACCTCCATGGGCCCTCCGAAACGCCTTCCACGCATCCGTGATGGCGATGCATGTCCGGCGCCAGGATCCCGTCATGCTCGCGGAAGCGACGCCGGAAAGTCGGAAAAAGGGGTAGTATATACCCTTATTACCACTTTCCGAGAAATAGGTCGTCGGCGTTGTCTCGCATTCGCCGTCACCGTAAATGACAACATTCCCAAGCATTAGCCGCTGTTGCCAGCAGCAGCAGGCTCAGGCTGGTCAGTGTCGTCTTGCGGGGAAGCATCCACATTGCGTTGAGCAGAAGAGGACGGACTGAAACGTGCAACGCGTGCTCGGACTTTGATGAGGTTGTCTTCGTATGCCGGGTCGTCTGCAAGGCGTCGTGTGCGGGAGAAGTAAAGGACGGCTTGACGGAAGACAGGCACGTCGATCTTGTTAGGAATTTCAATGAAGATGTCATTCTTCCACTCTGCGGCGTTGATCAAGTAGCGGATGGGGAAGGGGACGCCGGCTGCGTGGTCTTGTTCGTACTGTTTGAAGACCACGTCGCGCCAGGTCTGGTTGAGATTTCTGCTTGTCATGTTGGAGCGGCGGGGAGCCTTGATTCACCTTTCGTTTCTGCCCAAGCTCTCCCTCGTGGTCGTCTCCTCGTCGGCTGGGGTCCTTTCCGATTCTCGCCGATGAATGTACTTGCTGCTAAAGGCGCAGTTCAGATAAATGTGGATTGCGACCAGAGGTTGAAAATGAAGGAAGGTTCCATTGATGTTGGTTGTGAAATCCTTGTGGAAGGTGGGGTCGGGTACTAGAACTGTTCCTGCCTACTGGTGGGCACTGGGCAGCAACCTTACATCTATGATCCACCGGTATATTAACTGAAGTCGATCGAAAAAGCGGCTTCCTACATGCACCTAAAACTGGAATCTCCATCTAGGATCATCATCTCCACGCCAATCGACCAGCTCACCCACCTCCTTCACCTCCTCGGCCATCGTCTCACGTCGCCGGTTCTCCCTCCTCAACAGCAAGTACAGGGCCAAAGAAACGGCAGCATTGCCAGCCAGATAGCCAAGCGCAAAACTATGCCCGACAATATAACGAGGCGCGTCACCGCTGCGATACAGCTGCGTGCCGAGCACGGCGCCGAGGTTGCCGATGCTGATCTGCATGGCGTTGGCCACAGCCCGCTTTGTCTGGCCTGATACGTTGATGGCCGGCCACGAGAGCGCCAGTGCCGTCGCCGGATAGATGCCACCCGCGGCAAAGAAGGTGCCTGAGTACGAGATGCCTGGCCGTCCCGCCGGGTCTGTGTTCGCGAGGAGGAGGATGTACCCGATCATGGCGAACAGCGCCGAGCAGATCAGCGGAACGGCACGTTTCCCTAGTCGCTCTGAGACGGCTGCCGTTGCCAGTGTGGTCACGAATGCGAATGCGTACGGCGGGATGGTAAGGAGCTGGGCCTTGGCTGCTGTGTACCCGAGATCCTTGATGATGGTTGGCTGTGCAGTGAGGCCAGGTCAGCCAGCAACTTCCGCTCAGATTTCCTTGCCCGTCATCGCAGGGGCGTGGCCCAGATTCGAACGGGTGATAGATGGCTTAGGTACGTACCAGGAATAATGAGAAGGTATAAAGAGGCAGGCTCATGGTGTGGAAACTCATCCCGTAAAGCCAGCATTTCGGGTCTCGCAGCGCCTTGACAACATTGTCCCAGCTGAACCGTTCATCATGGGTCGCGTCACTGTCCGAGGCAAGGCGGCTCCGGATGAAGCTGCGCTCCTTGTCCGAGAGGAACTCGGCTGTGTCTGGATAGTTGTAGATGAACCAGTAGGCTGCAACAGCGACCACGACTGTGGCAATTCCTTCCTGTGTTTTGATGGGATGCTATATCAGCAATGGTCACAGTTGGGCCGTCTCTCTCGAACATATCGGTACTCGGACATCTGACATACAAGGATAAAGATCCAGCGCCAGCCGTTTGGCCATACGATGCCCTTCATATGCCCAATTCCCTGCGAGGAAAGTGTCAGTTTATCCCGCACCACCCCCCTGAACAGAGGTCGAGAGCCATAGTAATGTACTCACATAGGCCAATATCCCACCAAAGGAACCCGCCAGGGCCGCGGAGCTAAAGAAGAGCGAGACGCGGAACTGCCGCTCACGTCTCTTGTACCACATGGAGAAGTAGTATACAACACCCGGGAAAAGCCCTGACTCGGTGACGCCCAGGAAGAAGCGCGCGACGAAAAAGCCCGCCAGATCCTGGACAATTCCCATCAGCGTCGAGACGATGCCCCATGCGACGGTCAATGTCGGCAGCCAGAATCTCGGACTCGTTCGCTTGAGGATGATATTGCAGGGGATCTGCACGCCATGGTTAGCAGAGTGATCAAATAACCCAGGGGATGATGAACGGGTAGGTATCTATCTCACTTCAAAGAGGACGTATCCCACGAAATAGAGCGTCAGCCCAGTGAGGTACTGGTTCCCCGTCATGTGGACATCGTCTGCGAGGCCCTCTATGCGGGCGTTGCCCACGTTGCTGCGGTCCAGGAAGGAGAGCAGATACAAGACCCCGACAGCGGGCAACAACCGTGCGTCCATCTTGCGAAGCAAGGCCCGCTCGTTGACACGGTCGTCCTCCATAGCATCCTCCAGCTCGGAACCAGATGCCGCATCCCGCTTTTCAGCAAGCTTCTTGTCCAGATCTTCCCCCTCCCCGCCGTCTGCCCGTCGTGGCCCGACTTGAGGGTCCTTTGCGGCATCTGCCATGCTCGCAGGCTACCGGTGGTGCCAACGAGTTGACGGAGTTGCGTAGTATTATTTTCTTTGGGGGACGGTGGCCTCGTGCAAGCTACCCTACGGCTGCTACGACCTGTGGGATAAGTAAAATTCAACCACATAATCGGTAGTATCGAGCACAGTATCACGGATACATCACACCTTAAATACCAAAAGACCTCGGTGTCCTGATGCGGCGGGGACAGTCTTCGATCCCCATTGTGTTCATACTTGATGGTCAAGATGGGCGCACTATACTTGAATTATATCATGACCACAGCGCCGCTAGAATTGCGACATCAGGCCGTGGCCCACTTCCATTGGGGGGCCGTCTGCCAGCGACACGTGCGAAGATAACGGGACGGCAAGGGTGCTGATCACGACATCGACCGACCCCCTGTCTTGACGCCATCACACGTTGGCGAGGCTCTGCCGTAACCGGGAAGCCGGTGTACCAGCCAACCGGTTCTTATCAGCTTTGGGCGACGCACGAAACGAAACAAACAGAAGCTCCCGCAGTCCAGCACGTTTCCATAATGACACGCAATCAATACTTCCAGATTGATGAGTAACACGGACCAGCTAGTTTCCAAAAAGCCCATATCCTATATAATCAAGAGACAGGTGGAGATCCTCACGAATAACTAACTACCCGTCGGTTTTGTAGCCTGATCCCCCCCAACCTGAACGACACTGCCAGCTTCTTCCGGCGCCTTACCCTGGATGGTCCCTCCTGGTACATGTATCTCCACTCGACGACCCTCTTCCAAATCCTTCAAGTTGCCTGCGTCCTTCTTGCCGTCTTCACTGTCTTGACCTGCCTGGCCGGTCCTGACTTGCTGATTTTCGACGTCAGCGTCAATAACAACACCAACATGAGCTGCCGCAGCATCATTCTTAGCACCGGACCCAGAATCAGCACCCACTCCATCACCTTGCCTAGGATTACCACTAGTAGTGCCAATAACAACCTCCCCGCCAGCACCAGCAGTTTGGGTCTCACTCTCAGTCACAACTGCTGAGGGGTTCCGGGTGGATTCTTCCTCAGCCTGCCCTGGCGTGCCGCTCTTTGCTGCCTCGGCCTTCTCACCCTCATCTTTGCCCTCAACCTCACCCTGCGCGGAGGCCGGCTGCCCCTGTCCCTGTGCTTGCCCTTGTGGCTGCGGTTGGATACCTATAGGCGGCATGCCACCACCGTGAGGAGAGTCCAGAAACGTGGGTCCCTGTCCCAGTCCTTGCCTCTGGGGATGTGGTTGTAGACCAGCAGGCGGCATACCACCACCGTGAGGAGAGTCCCGAAGAGTGGGGTTGGTTCCAGCTATAGGAGGCGGCGCTGGAGTCGGGTTTGGACTAAAGTTGGATCCGTGGGAGGGTGCTGCAGAGGTGGGTTGGTTTGCTGGCGGGGTATAGTTCACGTTCCATGGCTGGGGCTGCTGGAAAGTGGGGTTATACGCAGGTACATGTAGAGGTTGATGTTGTCCATATGCATTTCCACTGCCATGCGGAGGGTACGGTGCCGATCCACTTACAGGAGCAGCCTGATATGCAGGTGCAGGATACCACTGAGGTTGGGGAGGCTGCTGTTGCCAGTTCGGAGCCGGTGGTGGAGTTTGACCTCCTGCTGGACCTGTTCCTGTCTGTGGTTGAGGAGGCTGCTGTTGCCAATTCGGAGCTGGTGGCGGAGTTTGACCACCTTGTGGGCCTGCTCCCGTCTGTGGTTGAGGAGGCTGCTGTTGCCAATTCGGAGCCGGTGGCGGAGTTTGACCACCTGGTGGGCCTGCTACTGTCTGTGGCTGAGGGGGCTGCTGCTGCCAGTTGGGAGCCGGTGGTGAAGTTTGACCCCCTGCTGGGCCCGGTGCCCATGTGCCCCCATGCGCATGCCCGGCACTCTGAGCCTGGACGTACTGTCCGGGCATTGAGGGCGGAACGTTGGGAGCTTGGCCCGCCCAGGCCTGACCCTGCACAGGTGGCCATTGTGGATGAGGGTTGGGCTGGGACGGTGGCATCTGGCCTGCAACTTGACCACTCGGAATTGAGGCCTGGGTGGGAGTACTTGTCGGCTGCCACGCGCCTGGCTGAGCTGGCAAATTCGTTTGCGCCGGCGGTTGATTCGGCGTAAGTGGCTGTCCACCCATCCCTTGACCTTGAATGCCAGATCCTGAAGCTGGCATCTGCAAATTGGACGGTGGAGCTACCGGCTGCGGCCAGGCAGGTGTTGTCTGGTTGTAGGATGCCGGCGGCACTGGGCCTTGTCCCACTGGCATGCCGCTGGTCGGGGCCGGGTTGCTTGCCCCATACGCCGGGACAGTGGGAGTTGGTCCTCCTGGGGCGGTTGAAGACGGCCACCCCTGAGCAACAAAGGCATGTCCGTTAAAGGCTGGTGGTGGAGGGCTCGTCGCTTGAGGGGGACTGTTTACCCCGGATGCTACGTGGTGATGAGAAGCCGAAGTCGGCCTCCTCTGCAGCATTGCAGCCTGCACAGCGGCAGACTGGGCATTCATGGCAGCTGCGTGAGCCGACGAGGCGGCATTTTTGATGGTGGAGCCGAGCAGGCTCGCCGTCTTCTTGCTCCATTTGACCGTGTCTTTACTGAATACTGAGCTGGCAAAGTCGCCGAACTTCTGGCCTCTGAACGTTTGTGGTTTAGACGGGGCCGGGGTGCCATACTGAGAAGACGGGACCGGGGCGCCATATTGAGGAGACGGGAATGGGACGCCATAATGAGGAGCAGCCGATGCTTGGGGTTGGGGTGACGGTGATGGGGCAATGGAAGGTGTAGACGGTATGGCCGATGGTGTGGAAGCCGGAAATGAGCCGACAGGTGCCGGGCTGGTAGACGGCTGAGGCGGAAACGTAGACGGTTTAGGTGGAAACGATGCCGGCGAATAGGTTGCCGCTGGGGGTGCCTGCGATGGGGTCCATGTAGGAGGCGGCGATGCGGGATGAGTAGGCCATTGGTGTGCGAAGCTGGGAGGTGCTGGTGTGCCACTAGTAGATTGCGGATTTGGTGAGCCAGGTGAGGGGTAAGGGGCTGCTGCTGTTTGGGAATGGGAAGCCCCTGAATACTGGACAGGGAGGGGAGGGCTTGGTGAGATAGGAGGAGACGATAGCTTCGGCTCAGCGGCTTGGTTCCCTGAGGAGTGAGAGAGAATCAGGCCCTCGTGATCAGGAGGGGCAGGACGCCCGACGGGGATGAGACCCTCGCTTTCAGTGGGCCCCGGAGCTGGAACCGGAGGTGAATTCTCCTTCTGATCTTCACTTTGAGGAGGCCTAGCGTCGGCGCTTTGTTCAAGGCTGCTTTGAGCTACGTCTGTAGATGACGGAGGTGGGGCACCCTGAGCGCCTTGGGCACTCTGGGTGTCCTGAGCAGTCTGGGTGTCCTGAGCAGTCTGGGTGTCCTGAGCAGTCTGGGTGTCCTGAGCAGTCTGGGTGTCCTGAGCAGTCTGGGTGTCCTGAGCAGTCTGGGTGTCCTGAGCAGTCTGGGTGTCCTGAGCAGTCTGGGTGTCGTGAGCAGTCTGGGTGTCCTGAGGACTCTGGTCATGCGTTTCTGGAGGGAAAGAACCCTGAAGTTCGGCGATGAAAGTTTGAACTGGCTGATCTGGTTTCGTCGGTCCCGCCGCCGTCTTATCCGCAGGGTGGTGCATGCCATGAGGCGCCTCCATCTCAAAGACGGCTGATTGCTGTGGCATAGGCGGATGTGTTGGGTAACCCGGCGGTGGATATGCTTGGGCAGCAGGCCATTGCTGCGCACCGAAGGCCGTGGGGATGCCCCGGGTATTATACGATCCGTATTGATGGAACGGCGCTTGGTGCATTCCGGGATGCCCAAGGTACGGACTACTCACGGCTGGGGCTGGAGGTGAGAAGTAGCCGCTAGGAGGATAAAGCGCCTGCTGCTGGCCGTGAGCCTGTTGTGTTTGCGACGCCGCTGACGGATCATGGGGCGTCCCCGGCCCCGACACTGGTTTCCGCTGTAATCGGAGCGGAGCCGGCGCCATGCCGGCGACGCTCATATTGGCCAAGGCGGGCGCCAAGCTGTCGGCATAATGCTGCGGCGGAGGCGACGGCTGATGGTACTTGTATTGATGCTGCGGGAGACTCTGGGCGGCTTGGGCTCCATGTGCGGTTGCCGAGGCCTGGCCAACCCCTGGTAAGTGCTGCTGCTGCTGCTGCTCGCCATGAGTGGCGGGTGGGCGGTATGGAATATATTGCGATGAATTGTGGCCGGGAGGGCCGAACGATGAAGCCCCGTTGTACGCCATTGATAGTCACAGATCGTCTTGGACAACAAAACGGTCCAGATCCGCGCACCGTGGGCTTTCGTTGAGGGGCTGCAAGAAGGGAAAGGCTAAGGCCAGCGAGGCGGATCTATTTAATGCTCCTGTGGGAACGCTCGCGTCGTCCAACGAATGGCGCGTTTGAAGCTTTCAGGGGTTGCTCCTGATCCTGGTCCTTGGCATGAAGCCCGCTAGGCCTCAATCAGACTTTTAGGCTCAGCCGCAACCACCCGCCACCCGCCGTCCACAGCTGGATCTGGCTTACACCGCGATTTCAAGTTTGATCCGACTCTTTCGATTGTGCCCATCTTCTAGTATCAGCTAAGGACAACGTCTTGTTCCGGACTGGGACACGGAAAGCATACTAGTAGTCAACCTCATTATTCAATTTGCTGTCCCATTGTCGAAGACGGGTGGCCGTACAGGTGGAAGATTGCAGCCATAACCCTCCTTAAGCCTGTTGGAATCCGTCGCTGAGAGCCTGAGAGCAGAAGATGATGGTGAAGCTCAGTCGTTTTCAAGGCGCTGGGTTATGAGCCACTCAAGCACCATTCTGGCGCTTCCGGCTCGAAGCGCTACCGGCACCGTAGACCCCGAGCGCAGCGGGAAGACATCGTCGAGAGGTATGTGTCCAGTCTGGCCTATATCTATAAGCTGCTCTTGGCTGTCCGTCTCTGGACCGACAAGGATCGAGTTCCACCCAGCGCCGCGTGCTCCCACCACGTCAACTTGGAACTCGTCACCCACGTACAGCTTGAGCCAGGGTACATCTCCCTCGGCTCGGCCCCCATCTCGAGCGGGGCCGGCGCCGTTCTGCGTTGCGATCACCGTATTGGCCATGGCCTCAGCGGCATCGAAAATGCGACGGTCCGGCTTGGCGAATCCGACGTCGTACGACATGCAATGAAGGTCAATGTCGTACTGTTCTCTCGCGAGGACAGCCGTGTCGATGTTGTGCCCGAAGCGAAGAGGGCTCACATAGAATCCAAGCGATGACAGGATGCCGGGCACCCTGTCATCCGAGTTGGTAACAACTCCGACCACAATGCCACGTAGACTGCTTCTAGTATGGGATGATTGATGATGCTTGAGCAATCGGAGGAGCGAGAGTATGTCGGAAGAGGTGGTGTATGCTTCATTGGAAGAGAATCGGTGGAGTAGTCCGGGCGCCAGCTCTTTGGGTACCTCGCGACCCGGCGCCAACAGTGACTGGAAAGTCTTATGGATCACCTGTTTGGATGAATGTGTCCGTCAGAAGATGATACATGACTTATGAGGTAGGTAACGTAAGTATCATGTTGGACGGTCTAATCATGGTAAGGGGTATGCTGACTGACGTTTGTCCACCACTTCTCAGCACCCATCCCGCTGGCCTTTCCATAGTTTGGATGTGCCAGCAATTCTCCTTTGAAAGCAGATTTGAACGATGCCTCGAGCTGGTCCAAGCCGAACCCTTCGAGGCCGTACTGACGCGCCACGGTCATGTACTGCTCCGGGATGGGGCGTGTCGGCTTGAACAAGGTCCCAAACGCGTCGAAGCAGAGTAGGAGATTCCGCTGTTGCCTCATTGTCTCGAAATCAGCAGATCATAGGACCTGTAGAGTGTTAGTCTCAGCAAGGCAGTTCTTCTTGCGCAGCATCAAGTATCGTCAGTCATGACAAGGAAATTTTAGCTACTTGAAGCCAAGGTAATTGTGGATATCAGTCACCACGCTTCGTGGATAGCACCTTCAGTCATTGATGCCGGTGCGTAGGAGCCACCATTTGCAGTGTGTCATTCGAGTCGTTTGACTTATGAATCAAGTGATTCTCCAAATTGCAGTGGAGGCGGGCTTCCAAGTTTTGATTTCCAGGCTTTGGCTCTTATCTTATCAGACGCGACATCCAACAGGAAGGTTGGTCCTACAGGGAACCCACACTTCACCACTGCAGCTTCCAAGCTCAACCAACACCGTTAACTTCGATCTCAAGTGTCGGCCTAGACTGATTCAGATGTAAAACACTTCGCTCCCTAAACTGTTCGTTCATTGAGTATCTACATACTTCAAGGCGGCATGGATCCTCCGAGCTTCAACGCAGGGCTGCTCGGGCGGCTACGATCACGGCACATGGCAATGCAACCGCCACCCAGCACTCGTAGAAGCACTGAACTGCCTAGCGACGAGCTGATCGAGTCTCATAGCCAGCCTCAAAGTTTCGCGCTTGGCACGGGCGCCGAACTATTCACGCGCTGCTTGATTCCCGCCATCCTTTCCGCCCGCTCCGAGGTCATCCTTGTCACCTGCTTTTGGGCGCCTTCCAAGACCTTGACAGCTCTCCATGACGCTCTGGCCAAGCTCGCGCTTCATCGAGCTAGTATGATCAGCGATGCCCTGTCAAGGGGGGAGCGGCCGCTTTCGCCATTGAGTGTCCGAATATGCTTGTCGTCACGGTCATTGCTCCAGAAGCTGCTGCACCCGCAATCCCGGCATGGCTACGTCTACCCGCCATCGTCGTGGCCCAGTAAACTTGGTCTTCCCGATGCTGCCCTCCTTGAGGCCGGAGCCATCCAGCTCAGAGTCAAGAGCCTCTTCTTCCTCCCCTTTAGCGTGCTGCATCCCAAGTTTCTGATTGTTGACAGGCAGCGGGCCTTTGTTCCGAGCTGCAACGTCAGCTGGGAGGCTTGGCTGGAGGGCTGCGTAGAAATCACCGGCGATGCTGTCCAGGCCTTGATGTCCTTCTACTCGCTCACCTGGGAGGAGGGCAGCCCTGATTTCCGGCACCCTCTCAGTCTCGAAGCCGGAGACGACGGAGAGGGAGCTGGCGTCTTAAATGCCCGCCAGGCAGGCGTTAGCTTGATCCCGAGCACCGCCCATTACCTTACAGCCTCTTTCCCCGGATCTCCAGCAACCCTTCCTACGCTGGTGCTTCCCTCTACGTACCATCAGAATCCGCATTTCCATCCGCTCCCTTGGCAAAAGCACCCGCCTCCTCCGCCCACTCCTCTCAACATCGCATTGCTTCAACTCTTCGAACAGGCCCGGCGGGCCATCTACATACAGACGCCAAACTTGACGTGCAAGGCCGTGATCCACGCGCTTTTGGACGCTCTCAAGCGGGGTGTCGACGTAACCATCGTGACGAGCCGGAAGATGATGCTCCTGGAACAGCTTGTTACAGCGGGTACCACGACGTCCTGGTGCATCGGTTCGCTTGTGCGGCGCTTTCGCCGTCTCAAAGCAGCGCTGCACCGCGGCGACTCTGCGGGAACCATCCATGACCTCGAAGCAGGCCGCCGCAGCCTGGGGCGCCTGCACGTTTCCTACTTCAGGGCGCGGTCGAGCGCCAGCTCTAGTAGGCGGGAGGGACGACCGTTGATTTCAGGCCGAGCCCATCCTGATGCCGAGGAGCCGGTGCACTCACACCTGAAACTAACCATTGTCGACGGCGAGGACACCGTTCTTGGATCTGGCAATATGGACCGCGCCAGCTGGTATACAAGCCAAGAGCTGGGCGTTCTGTTCCACGGCGGTGCATTTGCCAGAACAGTGAAGGTTGGAGTCGACAGTGTGCTAGAGGGAAGGCTCGAGCTCGTGTTTGACTCAGAAGGGACGCGAGATTGAGCGGTGCGCTCAACTACGCGGTCTTGCTGCTTGGGAGTAATCAATAGTCTGTCGATGCCCCAGGCAGCACCATGGACGTGCCTCTGCCAGGTAGGTAAGGAGCTTAGATAGTGTCTTCTCGGGCGCAAGTCTCGAACAAGAGGGGGTGAAGCGTCCTGTTGCGGCGTATATAGGACGGACTCATATATGTCACCAGTACGTATTTCAACAGCTCCTCTAGAGTCTAGACCCCTTTATGGATGCTATGGGTGTCTCGACGATACATAGGTGGTTTGGGCGATGAGCTAGGAACTCAAGCAGGAATAGCCATACGACTTGCAGTCAAGAATTGTGTAATGCCATAGAACATAACGCATGCTCGCCCACACAGTAACCTAGGATACTACCACAGAGTGCGCGGCCTGAGCGATCTCGCTGCTATGAAGTTTTTGATGTATCTAACCCCAGCCCGCTGTCCACCCACAACACCATCCGCCCATCTGCCCACGCCGTTTCCTCTCAATCATTTAAAGATAATCTTTTTATCACTGTGCGTCGCAAAGACGAAAAATGGGAAGTGGAGTATACTTGTAATAACTCCAAGATGTATCAAAAGGAAAATCTGGAAAAGGATATCGACCAAACATCAAGAACCGGTAGACATAACCTCGAAACCAAAAGAAATATCCAAAAGTGCTGTGTCAAGACAGAGAAAAAAGGACAAGAACAACGCAAGGGAAACCACGGTCATCGCACAGGTATGAGTTAAACAGAGAGTAGTGGTATGCGTTACGAAATCAGACAAAAGCCGCGCGACGGCGTGCGTGGCGGCGTGATGAGATGGAGCACGAACTGGGCGTTCATGGTGTGTGAAATTTCACTGGTAGCCATGTTTCCTGGTAATAATGGCTTGAGGCTCTGCCTTTTGTATGTGGACCTGCGTAGTGACTTGGTTCCATGCGCATCACCCGTTGCGCCCATCAACGGATGACTCAAAGGCATTGTGAGGTTCGAATTTCCGGCGCCCGTCAGCCAGACATCGTGACATCTTGGCTGGCGCCGGCGGGAGGCGGTACAGGCTCCGTACTGCCCATGGGAGAATCCGCTTGCTCGGATTTCTTCTTGTACAATGTCTCGCACCATTCCTCTGCGCTCACGAGGGTCCTGTTGAGGACGTCGGCAACTTGCGTCATCATCTGGAGCGCCTCCCTCGCGAAGAGTAGAGCCAGGTGGGCTCGCTCGCGCGACCATGCCTCTGGAGTGGTGTTCTCGCGCCGCGCCCCGGATGACTCCCGCACGTAATGGAGCTGGTACAGCCCGGGAAGGCTCATGAGTTGGCGGTGAACAACGTTCCTTGCGTTTTCGGGAAGAGCGCTGCCAGCGTATTTGGAGATAGTCTGAACCGTGCGCTGGATTGCACGGAAAAGATCGTCTCGGAGCTCAGTCATGCGCGAGATGAGTTTGCTGCGGTCCGGAACACTGCGAGGGGCCGGGTCGCGACCGTCCGCCATGGCGTGATCCTCACCATCCTTCTGGGCTGCGAGATCGTACTCATCAATGGTGTTCTTCAGAGTGACAAGAAGCTCGCCGATATACCCATTCGTGTCCTTCAGAACCTTGAGGCAGTACTTCAAGCTTCTCAGACTTTCTTGCTTCATAGCAACCCCGAGCCCAGAAGTCGTCACGACAAGACGGCGGCTCCATGGCTGCCCGGAAGCGGTGGGATTGTATCCCGGCGGCGGTTGCCCATCGGCGGTCTCGGTATACGCAGGTGATCTCTGGTCATCGTAGGCGGGAAGAGTGTCGACCGTGCTGACTGACATACGTCGGTCGTCATTGCTCGTGCCAAAATCCTGCGGCAAACCATCTGGAATTTTGAGCCCTGTATCGTCCCGTTCAGCCTTGCGCCGCTTGTGGTTTCCCCGTTCGCCGGTCTCGATATCTGAAGCCGATTGTTGTTTTCTGCTGCGTCTCCCGAAAATCCACCTCACACCACCCTCAACGCCGGTTTTCCGACCCACATTACCAACAGCCTTGGCAACAGGGTTGAGGTAACTTTCGACGTATTCCGCGCTCGACTTGAGGTGAGGTGAGTAGTTTTTACTGCTGTTGTACGCGGAGGCGGCGCCCTCGATGGTGGTCGCGAGCACAGGATACGATGTTGTGATCAACGAAAGGAGGGGCTCTGGCTCCGGCTGATTGGAATTCCTGCTGCCGAGCAAAGGAGTGGATGTCTTGTAATCCCTGGACGCCCTGCCGTCGCCGGGCATGGATGGTTGAGGGCTGGCCAGAGTGCGAGGGGAAGACATAAAATCTAGAAGTGAAGGCGCAAGCGGTAAGTGATTTGGCACAAACACGGAACCCTCGGTCCTCGTCCATCATACCTGTCTTCAGGTGGCCCAGTGCCTCGGCGGCCATTCTCACATCGGGGTCATCCAGGCTCACGCTGGCAGCCCTTGGCTCAGAGCTCCTGTCCGAGTTCATGCTTAAAAACGCCGGTTCGGGGGACTGGAGGTGGCTCGGTGAGTAGTAAGCGGTGAAAGGGTTTAAACTGGGCCAGTGGTTTGTCGCTCTGGAGAAGGGAGCGGGATGCGAAGGCTCTGGCGAGTTCGGCAAGGGAACATGGCGAGGAGGAGGGGCTTGGGCACCAGTGAGAGAAGACAGCGGCGGCAACGTCTGCCCGGACGATACGGCAGACGACTTTTCATGCGGCGGCTGGATAGGCGCTAACTTTAGTTCTGGCGTAGACGGTGTCATGATCTAGAGAGAAAATGGTTTATCCAAAAAAGAAAAACGAAGGGAAGGGCGAGAAAGAAGCCCCCAGGCTTCAGTTGCTCTGGGCTGGGTTCGTCGGTGGGAAGGTGCAGGTTGCAGGAGCAGGGAAGGGTGCAGGATGACGAGCACGTGTCAGACATGGATTGCCGCTTGAAGGCTAAGAAAGCATTGACCAACGAGTCACAGTCTCCGCATTCACTGCTGTCGGTTGAAGCCTCTGACAACGACATCCACTGAGAGGCACTCTTGGACCCACCTTCACATGTAATCGCACAGGGCTGCAGTGGTCCAATCGCTCAGAACAGGCCGAAAAACCGAGCTTCAGAACCGAGAAACAAGCCATCACCACAAAGCTGGAGACATTTCCTATCTGACCGGGCTCGCCGGGTCATCCTTCTCCCAACTGGCAAGATGCAAGGGAAGGGCGTCTTCATAGGTAGCTGTTTTGCGTCAATTGACGGTTCCTCGTAGACACTCCCGCGCGCTACCCTATTTGCCACCGTCATTGGTCATGGGAAGCAGCATGATTCGGCAGGCCGATGTAAGCATATTGTAATGCTCAGGTTCCTGCCAGGCTGCATTCAACCTTGTCAGGATTGTGGAAATGTCCGGCGCCTCTGACGCCGCCCAAGCAACGTATTCATGTGCCTCAAAGAGCGACATACTCGGGCAGCTCTTATGGCACCGTATTGGAGAATCCATCCCTCTCCGCGTCTCGGAATCGCAGACTACATCAACAGCGGCACGGATCGGAGACTCGACAGAAAGCCGGCACCAGTTGTGCGTACGATGGACTGCACTGTCTATTGGACGCGTTGAGAAAGGGAAAGGAAAAGAGAAATTTGCTCGAAGCGGGAAAATCTTATGAGGGTATGGAGGGGCATGGAAGCACTGGCCACTTGCTGCCCATGCTCCGCACAACGGAGCCAAGTTCAGCCTTCCGCCAACCACAGAGCGCCTGCCCTGGGACCTCGGGCAGTGGCAGGTACAGGCCGCCTGGAGGGGTCCACACTAACTTAAATGATTGTAAGGGGTTGCAACGTTCTTGGCCCGTGCTTTGTTAACGGACAATCACCAAGCGCTATCATGGCCAAGTCCAGCATCTCAAAGCGCTGCGACTTGGAACGACGAACCGCCTTCCAAAACCCAAACCGGCCGCGGTTCCAGCACAAACGCCGTGTAGCCCATGTAATTGCATGACGTAGCCACTCGAGATCCTTTGGACTTTCGGCGCTCGCGCCGTCCCTCGTCATCCACCCGCGACCCTACAACACTTGTTGGACTTTCAGCCCATTTTGCGTGGCAGAAGCGCATCGCCAGCGACCCCTCGCCATGGCATCGGCCATCTTCTTCCTCGACCTCAAGGGCAAGACCCTTCTTGCCCGTAATTACCGCGGCGATATTCCCATGTCAGCTGTCGAAAAGTTCCCCATCCTCCTCAGCGAAGCCGAAGAAGAGTCGTCAGCGGTCCCCCCTTGTTTCTCTCACGAGGGCATTAATGTAAGAGTCGTCTTACCTTGCTCCTTCGCGTCCGGAATCTAATCATGCTCCCGTGCAGTATCTGTACATAAGGCACAACAATCTTTACCTGCTTGCCCTGACGAAACGAAATACCAATGCCGCCGAGATCCTACTTTTCCTGCACAAGATTGTCGAGGTTTTTACCGAGTACTTCAAGGCGCTCGAGGAGGAATCCATTCGCGACAACTTTGTCATCATCTACGAGCTTCTCGATGAGATGATGGATTTTGGCTACCCGCAAACCACCGAGTCCAAGATTCTGCAAGAATACATCACCCAGGAATCGCACAAGCTCGAGATTCAAGCCCGCCCGCCCATCGCCGTCACCAATGCCGTGTCATGGCGTTCTGAGGGCATCCGCTACCGCAAGAATGAAGTGTTCCTTGACGTCATTGAGTCCCTCAATTTGCTGGTATCTGCCAACGGCAATGTACTGCGGTCCGAGATCCTAGGCGCCATCAAGATGAAGTGCTATCTCTCAGGGATGCCCGAGCTGCGTCTCGGCCTCAACGACAAGGTCATGTTTGAAACCACGGGGCGGACGACGCGGGGCAAGGCCATCGAAATGGAGGACGTCAAGTTTCACCAGTGCGTACGCCTGTCCCGCTTCGAGAACGACCGCACCATTAGCTTCATCCCGCCCGACGGCGAGTTTGAGCTCATGTCATACCGCCTTAATACGCAGGTCAAGCCCCTGATCTGGGTCGAGTGCGTGGTCGAGTCGCACAGCGGGTCTCGCATCGAGTACATGCTCAAGGCCAGGGCCCAGTTCAAGCGCCGCAGCACAGCCAACAATGTCGAGATCATCGTGCCCGTCCCCGACGACGCCGACACGCCGCGCTTCCGGACCAGCGTGGGGTCGGTCCACTATGCCCCCGAGCAGAGCGCCATCGTCTGGAAGATCAAGCAGTTTGGGGGTGGTAAGGAGTTTCTGATGCGCGCCGAGCTGGGCCTCCCCAGCGTCCGAGGTGATGACGAGCACGGGGGAGGCATGACCGGCGGCTTTGGGGGCAGCATGGGCGGTGTCGGCGCCCCTGGCAAGGGGGCCAAGAGACCGATTCAGGTCAAGTTTGAGATACCCTATTTCACCACGAGCGGAATCCAGGTGCGGTATCTGAAGATCACAGAGCCAAAGGTATGCTCTACTCGCGTGATTTCTAAAACAGCCCTTCAACATGCTAACACCCAACCTCTCTCTGCCTTGTAGCTCCAATACCCTTCCTTACCATGGGTTCGCTATATCACACAGTCTGGGGATATCGCAGTGAGGTTACCAGATGCGGTATGACGCGAGATTGGAAGCCCAGGCAGTATCCGTCCTGCCCGGCAAGCTCATCACGTATCCATTGAAGAAGGCCTGAACGAAGGAGAGCCAACAAAAGATTCCTACTCTGTGATGAAGGAAAATCTGTTGTGGTGTATGGTATGTTATGGCTGGAACGATAATGATCAGGATTAGACCAAATACACAATGTAGCGCTTGAGAGCTGGTGCTTCTTGCGCGTTTTGGCAACCAATCCTCTTATATAAGTGATATTCGTGCTGTCCATGTGAGGCTAGTTAGCAGGAGGTTCGGCCGCTTAGGCGATGGATTCGTTTACTTGAGTGTACTATCTCGGCGGATATGGTTGGTTGGTCGTGGCCTAGGCAGGAGTGCCTACCTGCCCACTGGATTGCCCCTTAGTTTCAAGCCTAGAATTAAGCTTAAAACGTTAATGGCAACATGTATCAGGCGAGGCGGGTGGTAGTGGGGAGCGCCGATAGGAACATACGTGTCAGCCCTCCTTTCTTCTATTCTGTGAAAAGACCTTTCACATCAAAACTCATAGGAGGGGGGAGATTGTCTCGGTTGTAGTCCTGAATCAGTTCGGATCCATCCACGTCCTCATCCGCCAGAGCATGCTGGAATCGTTCTTCAAGTTCTATATATACATAGGCAATGTACCTAAGAAACGACTTCTATCAAGAGAAACTGGACCTTATATCTGAGGTTGCTCTACAGCTGGACTGAGTTCAGTGTTTCTCCGAGCTAAGCTTAATGCCCTGCATGCTCTTCAATCGCCTTGTGTGATTCAGACCCAAGAGACGGTGCAAAAAGGTAGCTTTCCCATACCGGGGTTCGAACCCGGGTCGCCAGAAGGATTCAACAGAAGATGAAAATCTGGAATGCTAACCACTACACTATATGGGATTCATTGTTGAGGTGGTGTGTGATGTTTGTGTTTATCATGGCTTCGTGTGGACTTCGATCCGGTTCTTGACACCCGTTACAGTTCACCCATCAGTTCAATGGCAACCAAGAGAGACCAGAGGAGTTATGAGAGCCACGGGGAACGAGAATTCTTCGGTGTTTGTTATCCTCAGCTACTCCTACATCTCCAAGGGTCTGTACTTCTAGCAGCTAGACTAATATTGGCCTATCGTTTCCCAGGAGAGAAAGATCCAGTGGGGATTTTGCCTGGCTTGCCAGTTCAGCAGCTTCATGCCTGAAAACTCCAGTGTCTGTCCTCAGCTCCACGGCTCCATGGCTCTTCTCGAGTCTGATATCAGGAATCTCGTAGACTATCCCGAGCTCATCCCTGTCCTTGTTCCCAGAAGATACTGCATGAGTCGTACTCAGGAGATTTACCAGGATCGACGACGACCAATTTCCAGATGCAAAGAACCACAAACTGCCCCATCCAACGAGCGCCAGGAACGCCGCAAACAGTATCATCAAGACTTGGAGGTAGGAAACCCCCGGAGTTGTGCTTGTGAGCTCCACCGTGACCAGCCCTGGATCCAGCCCAAGGACATAACCCCGGGACAAGAGTAAGCTTGTGAGATTATCCAGGTTCTGTACCATCCACGGGTACAGTCCGGGATCTGCTGCTTTGGCACTGGAAGAATAAGGAGCATGGCCGAGGCCGGTAATGTGAAGGACGGCACTGCTATCGACCTGGCCAAGGTACCCCGTGATATTCTTAGTCGATTCAAATGCGGCGTCCCCGACGCAGTCTGTCTCGTCTACCTTTCCGCCCACCGCCACGTTCTGAAGACCCGGGTTGTCGCAAGGTTCAAATGGCACTGGCGACTTGTCGATGGTTTCTGATCTCAAGTGGGTAATATTGACGCTCGTCAAACGGAATACTCTCAGCATGACATTCCCAGGGATGCCTTCCGCCGTGAATAACTCCCAGAAGCCCTCAAGTATCTGGTGCCCTTCTTTTATGACCGTCCCAATCACCGCGCTCTGATTGCTTGATTGCGCGGCATTGATTGTCTTCATGATCACGGAGAGTCCTTGATCGTAAAGTTCTTGTTCCTCGGGTTTCATGTATGGCTTCGTGAGTCTTGTATTGAGGTCTCTGATCTCGTCTTCGGGAATCCAAGCGTCGCCAAGAATGACGATAGAGGCCTTGAACGCGGTGGAAACGAATGTGTGCCTATGGTGGCCCTTGGTAACGGTGAACATGTGAACGCGGACGGCAGTTCCGGATGCAGATCCCAGCGAGGACCAAATGTCACTCCTTCGAGGATTGATCATCCCAACCTTGCCGCTCACGCTCGCCTCCCTATTGTAGTGCACCATAGGTGTGCCAACAGGTACTTGAAGCATGTCCAACGCCCACTCGTTGTCGAAGGTGCAGTTGTAGAATCTAAATTTGTCGGGCTCGATGTCGCCATATGCGCAAGTAAATTGGTCAGACACGTTTGACCCGCCCAGCCTGAGGGCTACATGGGACTGTGTGTTCGTGCCGACTGACCAGCCTTCATCATCTAGCCATATCCTCGGGTCGGTTCGCGGTCCTGAGTAAGTCACGGACTGCGGCGTTCCCTGGTTAATTCGTCCGGTAAGAGTGACATTGGTGCCGGACCGGAACAAATTGGCGCTCAAAGCCTCGGCCAGCTCTAAGCCGCTTGCATTAAGGCTGCCCGGTGTGATTTTGTACGACACGATGTACTCCGGGTCGTCGAGCAATGCAGACGAGATTGACGATGCCCGGACCCGCTGTGTTTGCACCACGTAACCGGGAGCGTCAATGGCCCATAACAGGGTCCCGTACAGTTGCGACACGGCGTACGTGGCGGTGAAGAACCCAACAAGAAGCGCATCTCTGGATATTCCGCGGCACCAGACAAAATATGCTTTCTGGATCAGGCTCTCAGAGAAGACGGCAAACGAGGTGAAACGGTTCTGCACGGCGGCGAGCAACGAGAATAGCTTCCAGATTGCCAAGACGAGGAGAGCTTCGGCTGCGCGAAAGATGAAAGACTTGATCCAGTTGTTCCAGACTGGAAACACTGTAGTGACAAAACCGGAGTCCGGAAGTAACATCTTGGTGTAGTACTGAGATGTTGATGATTTAGGGCAGGATTATCGAGATGGGAGGAGGCGCTGATACGAGACATGTCGCGTTATGTCGGAGGAAGGGCGATTTGTACTGTCAACAATCTGGAGCATCGAACTTTGAGACGGAGCTGGGGATTCCGGACATGGGGACATTCTCTTCTGGGAGTTGAGGCTGACGCCCATGGCTCAGGCGCTCGATAGTCACTCCCTATCTCTCCGTTTATGGCAAGGCTTAATTGCTAGTGTACATAAGTACACTACCTATGTATACCAAGTACTCCGTAGGGAGGCAGTTTCTGTCGATCTAGTGGATGCCTTGCGCCTTCCCTTTCTGTGGCGTTCAACGGTGACTGGCATTAGCTGATTGCCGCAACACCCAAATCCGAAAAAGAGTGAAGGTTGTCGTCGACCAGGGCGACATTATACCGGAGAGTCTTGAGGTCAAAACAAGTAGAATCACTGTATAGCGTAGCAACAGAAACGTACTTAGTAGTGAGCATATCGGGGTACTAGGTAGGTACCTTAGGGGGAGAATCGTTTTGCATAGAGCAGATGGGCAGGTGCACACTGGCAGCCCCTGAGGTAGTGAGCCTTAGTATCCGTCTCCTTGTTTTTCACCTTTGCTCTGGAGATGATTATTTTGGCACAGTGTCTACTTTTGGCGTGTCCATAACTTTAGTAGTCTCTCTTAAATCTTCAACTGGCGGTTTGATCCCCTGGTGCGCGTCACCGCGTGAGATCTTGGCCGTAGTCCCTGTCCGCCTGGCGGCCACAACTTGCGCCAAGGTAAGGTAGAGTCTGGTAGATAAGTCTAGGGTACTACTAGGACTACTGATTCAATGCATCGTTTACCAGTGCCATTCTATTCAAGCGCGGCAGGACTAATAGCAGTAAAGGTGCAGTGCGTTGGATACCGTTATGGTATGCTGGATATCTACACAAGGGTGATCACCCGGGCTTTATTCCACAACTTTAGATCCTCTATGTCTGACCTCAGGGAGTATCCAGAGCCATGTATCCTAGCAAGCCAGCTCCTTCGAGGATTATTCTCATCGCGATACACGACCCAGAGCCTCCCTACTCGCTTAAACAATAGTGCGTCATTTTTGGGCTGCTTGAAGAGTCTTCCTAGTACCCGTTGGAGTAACCGTGAGTCGTTCCTTAGCCGCTTCAGTACGAGCCAGAACATCGCACCATTCCCAATATACCCCAATAGCAAGGAACACTGCTCTTGAGCGAGGAGCTCGGCCGTACCCTGTTCTATGTCAAGCTGCAGCCTGCCCTCAATGAGCCACCGGACGCCTGTGGATTTATCATGGTAGGAGAACGTAGATAGATTTGTCCCGACTACCCGTTCGGTGTAACTTGAGGGTGCGATAACGGCAAAGCGTCCATCAATAATTTGGCCCCTAAGCCGGATTCCCGCCTCGTTGGCTAGGTAAGAGGGGCTTGCAATAAGGGTATCGAGGCCAAAGTCGATGACTTCAATCAGAAAATCACCTGTCGGGTAGAGGACAGCCTGGATGCGGCCGGTAACAGAACCCCATGACCACGACGGAACGTTGACACACCTGCGGCTCCTGCGACTGTCGCTGGCCCACAGCAAGCCTCTTGGGAGGTCGTCGCTCCACAGGCCTTGCAGGTACGTCGCAGACGTGAGCCGCTGCATCGAGGTGGCAAGCCCAGCCATGGCAGGCAACCGGTCATTGTCAAAAGTGAGTTCGAGCCCTGTGAATCGCACCACCAGCTGTAGCCACTGGAGGTGGATATCGGAGTCAAGTGCTTCCAACCTAGCTGTCAGCCTTTGGCCTGCGGGTTTGCGAAGCGGTTAGAGCTTGCTTCTTGCGGCTTAATGAAGTTGGGTTTAAACGTCCGGCCGTGCCAGTTGGGTGCCGGGGAAAACCCACACTCGCATCGGATTTCGGTGCCGCACTCCCACACGGCCTCCCAGTGTGTAAAATGGATCGTCCTTTTCGCCAGGATCCGCTCTTGGAACACCCATCCTCGATTCGCGAGCAAGCTAGGCTCAAAGAATTTGAAATCCAGAGGCAAGCGTTCCTCATGCCGCCAACGATTGTGACCTCCGGTCCTGTCAAACGAATCGCAGCCGCCGAGTCCGGCATACCTCACGTGGATGGTGCCATGCACACCCTCCAGGCCCACGCATTCCATCGCCACGCTCCGCGTGCCTGGCAAGCGGGGCGCAGAGAGCAGGCTCTCGGAGCTGTCTTTGGCTGTGTGTGCTGCAAAAACGACCCAAGCATTCGAGTAGACGCTGGCCATTCTCACGGCCTCGCGCTCCCAGTCCTCGTAATCGTCCTGCATAATGCAGAGCGAGTCCACCCAAAGGTACGGAATCTGCAGGCGCCGTGCCAGGATGACGGCGTCATGAAATAGCGGCGGGAGGTCTTCGGTTGGGATGGCTTGCTGTAGTTTCGCCAGTGACTCCCTGGTTGGCGTAAGGGGCTTCCTTTTTCCCCAGCAGTGGCTGAGGGCGGCAAACCTGCCAGATTCGCCATGAGATATATAGAGTCTGGGGAGTTGGGTCTCGGACCCAACGTCGATGACCCGCGTCGGCAGCAATGTTTGTTTAGGGAGTTGGCAGCAGGGGTGGTTGGTCTCGCAATGCGCAATTGAGTCACCCACCCACTTGAGACACTCTTCACCACCTGCAGTCGGGGATATCGCCTGAGCGTAGTCTATGTATGGAAAAGGTTTTGGGGATCCTGGGGGTTGATAAGTATAGACGTGTCCGGCACAGGTCAGCACGAGTCCATGGATGTATCACTGTATCACAGGGGTTGCAAACCTTGAGGTGTATAGAACTCGATGTGAAAACCACATGCTCTGCTATTCTTAATCTCCACGAAGATAGAGAACGGCCGATCAGGAGAGAAAGGGTTGATTGAGATGGACGAGATGGTTTCTCCAGGGGCAGCAAGGAGCATGCTACCTGTAGCCTCAAGAAGCAGTTTGCACGTGGTCCATCCTGAATGCATGGACCTTGAGTGCTCCTCGATGCCGAACTCAACGTAGGTGTGATGCCGCTTCTGAAGGGGCGGTTTGGGACCCACAGATTGGCCCCTTGTCCCGGTCGTGAGACTCGCGACGACAGATAACGGCAGAGCCTACATTTACAGCTCCAAGCAGTCGCCGGTTCCTGCAACGTCGTCGATTGAGCATCGCTTCTCGTTCGCATACAAGAAAAAAACGGTGACTTTAGTCACTTAGTTAATAAATAAGGTAGGGACGACTTAGTACTAGTACCGGACCAAGCTGTAGTCAGATGGGCAATACGGAGGTTGGGGCCAAAAGTGTTCGTCGTCTCCCTCTTGCCAAGATTGCCAAGACCCCAATACAGTGAGGTTCTCAACTTCTCACAGCCCTGTGAGCCACCCACTAAAAGCCACCCTAGTCAGCTCACGTTCAGGCCAATTACTGGGTCAATTACGGACGTACTGGGCCACTTCAATGCCCAGTGCCCCCCAATTCTAGTGAGATTTACGAGCAAATGCTAGTATTTGTATAGAAAATTCCCTACACTGTGTCACTTTTCTCTCTACACAGTACGTAGCTTCTTATGTACGTTGACAGGCTTGGCAGCACCTGGTAGCAAGGAGGGTGACCAACATTTTTGGCCCCAAACTCCGTAGGCAAGTGTCGATGGTTCACGGTTTGTTGTTTCTGGTGGAACAACAGCAAGCTGAACACTTTCTCAACCACAGGGAGAACCTGCCGCACAACGTAGACGCGATCGCGAGCGAAGGCCATTCAGCGCCATTGCCCCGCGCGCAAGTGAAACTTTAATGGAAATCAGGCTGTCCGCAAAACGGCCCGGGCACTTGGACATAGGTGAGCCCAGGCAGACAGTAAGGCAGACACGCGCTTCGACTTGGAATGACGGGACAGCGTGTTCGAGCAGTGTTTAGGTGACCAAGAGGTCGGCGACTCCTTCAGTGTAGCTTACATAGATGACTCGTCAGATGTAGCGATCCCTCGCCTGTGTTCATCCAACGCATGCACTGTGCAAGGACTGTCGTTGACTCGTTGTTGTTAGTGTAGTCAGAATTCTATCTGTAAAAATTTCCTCTCGACTACCCCTCTTAACAGAGCCGACTACATACATACCCCCCTGCCACACTGTGGTCATGGTTTGTTAGGGGTCCACTAAACTGGGTGCCAATACCTCCTGGGAAAGGACTTCACATTCTACCTTCCCCTTTCAAGAACGGAACCTACAAATTGACGGGAGTTGCCTGGTTTCAAATCTTTCTCGTCTAGGCGTGCTGATTTTCGGAAGCATCCGACGGAACAGGATCATGGGTCCCGGTTCTTGGATCTCCAACCTTTTTATTTTTACCGGGCTAGGTCCCAACTGCACACGTGGGTTGTCGTGCTAGTGTACGTCTTTGACAGCGCAGGGTGGTAACTCAACCGTTATTAGCGCGTGCTAAGGTTACCATGGAATTCGGTCGGATGTTGTGGCTCCTGACGTCTTTTTTGGGCTTAACATGTCGACAGCGGCGCGCATCAGGCTTACATACCTGACTCCTTCGCTATGCTGGGCTATCATGGATCGACGGCTGACACTGGATTACAGAGATCGATACCGTGACGAGTCTCCAAAGCAGCCTGGCCACGCAGGGCGGTTGTATGCCCTGCAGTACCTATGCTAGGATCGGTGAGTCCTGCGAGAACAATACCATGCTCGGTATATAAGTCACATACCTACGTACAATGGCACACCCGGGCATGTTGTCTTGGCGATTCCGGTGTCCCAGGGCATCTAAGTCGCCGCCAGTCCCTCCAGATTTCAGGCTAAATGCAATCCCGGCAGACTGGACACGCCCGCTTGAACGGACGGAGCACTCGGCCGGTGCTGAACCGGGTTTCGAGAACCACAGACTTGCAGCCGCATGGTTGACTGGAACCGAATGGGTAAGGTGCGCTAACTTCACAGCTCTCTCCTAAACCGATGATGTTACTATATTCGGAGGACCAACTTCCAGTGTCGGAGAACCGGAGAATCATGGCCATGGACGAGGATGAGCTAGTTCTTGCACCGAGAAACGCCATGCTGAATTGAAGAACGGCTTCTCTATAAAAGACGGTCGAGTCTTGATGACACTGCCAGCTCTGGTTTTCAACAGTTGGAGGATCAGCAGGACAACCCTTTGTATCCCCTCCGAACCGCAAGATCAAGATGCTCACCCCTACAGCTGCTTCGCTTCTCGTAGTAGCCCTACGCGCTGCTGGCGTCCAGGCGCAACAACGGCAGAGTCTCTGGGGCCAGTGTGGTGGCCAGGGCTGGCAAGGGCCGACAGTGTGCGTCGAAGGCGCCTACTGCTTCCAGCAGAACCAATGGTACCACCAGTGCATTCCTGGGAGTGGCCCTACAACATCCTCTCCTCCCACCCCGTCCACCACGCTCAGAACATCTACTGTAACCTCTGCTCCGCCTGTCAGCAAGACGACATCCACGGCACCAGGCGGAGGGCCCACGGCGTGCCCTGCCATTCCAGCCGGGCTGGGCAACCCGGTCTCTAACGCGTTGAACGACCCCTTCACGTTCCACGGAGGCAGCAAGGTCACCAGCAAGGCCGACTGGACATGCCGCCAGGCCGAGATCAGCCAACTCCTCCAGCGGTACGAGCTGGGCACCCTGCCGCCCAAGCCCGCATCCGTGTCGGCCAGCTTTTCGGGCAGCACGCTGAGCATCAGCGTTTCCGAGGGCGGCAAGTCCATCTCCTTCTCCGTCACCATCAACAACCGGCCCTCGGGCAGCGGGCCCCACCCGGCCATCATCAACTTCGGCACCTTCGGCGGCCTGCCCGTCCCCGCGGGCGTGGCCACCATCCTGTTCAACAACGACGAGATTGCCCAACAGCAAGGCGGCTCCTCGCGCGGCAGGGGCAAGTTCTACGATCTTTACGGCAGCGGCCACTCCGCGGGCGCCCTGACGGCCTGGGCATGGGGCGTGTCGCGCATCCTGGACGCTCTGGAGCTCACCCGGGCCCAAACCAACATTGACCCGGCGCGGATCGGCGTGACGGGATGCTCGCGCAACGGCAAGGGCGCCATGGTGGCTGGGGCCCTGGAACCGCGCATTGCGCTGACACTGCCCGAAGAGTCAGGGGCGGGCGGGGCCGGGTGCTGGCGCATCGCGGCGTGGCAGAAGGCCCGCGGCGACAACGTGCAGGACGCGGTGCAGATTGTGCAGGAGAACGTGTGGTTCTCGCCCAACTTCAACAGCCACGTCAACAATGTCAACAGCCTGCCCTTCGACCACCACCTGCTCGCGGGCCTCATCGCGCCGAGGCCGCTCTACATCATGGAGAATGTGGATATGGAGTGGCTCGGCAAGGTGTCGACCTACGGCTGCATGGGCATTGCGCGGAAGCAGTGGCAGGCCCTGGGCGCGCTCGACCGGTTTGGATACTCGCAGGTTGGCGGGAACTCGCACTGCAGCTTCCCGAGTTCCCAGCAGGGCAGCGAGCTGAATGCGTTTATTGGAAAGTTCCTGCTGAATAACCCTAATGCGGGCAACACAAACATCTTCCGCTCGACGCAGAGCCACAGCTTCAACATTGACTCGTGGAGCCCCTGGGCGGTTCCGAATCTTGCTTGAGGCATTGGGTGGTTGGTGGTGCTTGGGAGGAATACGAAAGCAGGCATCCTGCACATAGGTACTGATACGTACATACCTTCCCTGAATTTGAAACGGGCGGAGAGCCCTTGGTGATTGCTATTATTAGCTGGCCGAGTCGGAGACAGGTCCCCGCTGGCATCCACGTGGTTCGGAACGGCATTGTGCAATGTGGGACGAGCCCGTTCTTGTGGCACCTTCTCATGTATCTGATTCACTGCTTCAGGGACCAGGGGTATGTCTGTCAATAGGTACAGTACTACATTGACATATACATGGTCAGAACTCGGTTACCAAATAAACAATTCCACATCTGCCATACAAGTACTGGTACAATACCGTATCCGGCAGTGTGTAAATCTGTTTTCCCCCCTTTTTGTGCAACTTGATCCCTTATTGGTATCAGTCCATCAGAGGATCAGTATTTTCTCTCGTTCAGGTGATATGGAGATCAACACGAGCACCACATGAAACCATGTTCTTGGTAAGTGATAGGCTGCTAAACGACAGCTTTATATAGTAATCTCTATTTTGAACAATCTCAACACGAGTAACGTCTGGAACCGCCAAGGAAGGCAGCGTTGTTTCGCCCCTGAGTTATCCATCATCCGCGCTTCTTCTCAAAGCTGCCATCGGAAAAGTTGGACCCAATGGGCGCAATTACGCGGTCCTTGTACGTCTCGCACGCAAACGCAAAAAACTCATCAACATCGGCGCTCGTCGAAGCGAGCCCAAACGACACGCGCACCGCGCCAGGGGCCAAGCGCCCAGCAACCCTGATCGACTCAGTCTCACCCAAGCCGTCGTACTTCCCTTCCTTACCAGCACTAGCAGCAGCCAGCCGTTCCAGAATCGCATTGATATCCAGCCTCAGCGCGCGCTCACTGGCACCGGGGTTACAGAAACACCCCGTGCGGAGCGAGATGCCTGCAGCGGCCGACTCGAGCGCCACGAGTCCGTCGTCGACCACGCGCCCCTTAGCATCAAGAAAGTTGAAAGCGACCGTGGCTCCCCGCGCTCGCATACTTCTCGGCCCGTAGATGCGGGCCATGGGCCTGCCGTCAGCATGGCGCATCTCGTCGCTCTGCAGCCGGGCCAGGAACCAGGCCGTCAGACACCGCACCCTCGTCTGCACGGTCCGCATCCCGACCACCCCGGCCAGCCAGTCCAGTCCGAAATGCACGTCCGGGATGGACAGGAAGTTCGCCGTGCCGTCTTCAAGCGCTTGCTCACCCTCAGCCATGAAGTGCTGCCCAGCAGCACCAGCATTGTCACCAGTAACCGTCGGTCGAGGACTGCCAGTGGTGCTGACGGCAACGGCTTGGACGGTCCCCCCCGAGAACCAGGGCCGCCGCAAAACAGCCAGCGCATCGCGCCGCGCAATCAGACATCCCACCCCTGTCGGGTAGCCAAACACTTTGTACCAGCTGATCAGCACAAAGTCGGGCTTGACTCCCTCCGGGCCGGACAGGTCCAGCGGGCTGGTAGGGAGGAATGCGGCCGCGTCGAGCAGCACATGGTAGCCGGCTTGCTGCGCGAGGGACACCCATGAGAGTGGGTGCTGCACGCCGCTGAAATTGCTCTGCGCCGGGTACGCAAACAGCCCCTTCTTCTTCACCTGGCGGTCACGGTTCGAGTCATGGTGACATGGCAAAGATGAAGCAAGTCTCCCGAGCATGCCGCCACGGCAGTTGAGAGCCGACTTAACCAGCTGCCTTGTCTTACCCCTTTTCATCTTCGGCGCCAGCGCGGCCAGCACATCCTTCTCACCAACACGCAAATCAGTCCCCTGCGCCAGGGGGACGTAGACGGTGGTAGCCTTCTTGGCCCTGGCAAACTCGCGGATTCCATTAACCGAGTTATGGTTGTCCGCTGTGAGGACATATCTGGTCCCCTTGCGGAAGGGGTAAGCCTCCCCAACCAACCGCGCGGCGCCCGTGGCGTTGGGGGTGAATACCACGGCATAATCGGCCGGCGAGGCGTTGACGTGCGCAAGAATCCTAGCCCGCGTCCGCTCAATCGCCTCGGTGGCGGCCGCGCTGGAAGGGTTGATTGAGTGCGGGTTGCCGTAGGGAAACTGGGACAGCCGCTGCTCGTGGTGCTGCCGCTGTGACCGCGCGGCGAGTCCGGAGCCGGTGTAGTCCAGGTAGACTTGGTGGTTGGCGTCGAGGTAGTCGTACTCGCTCCGACGCAGGTCGTCGAGCAAGGTTGTGGAGCGGTACTCGGGGAATAAATCGCAGATGGTCGCCATCAAGACGGGCACAACAGAATGGCTTCGAGTATTTGCGTTCGCGTACGTGGGTGTATATAGTAGTAGATATATATATGGATACGCTACTCAGGGGCTGCCAGTGGTTTAGACCGTTCCACCAAACCACCAGATCCCGAACTTGAATGGGGATTGAATGATGGTGGCTCTCGCTGAAAGACGGTGAGGGCGGCGAGCGTTGAAATTGATGTCTGCCTGGGCTGTTTTCGAACAACTTCTTAGGCGGAGGTCAACAGCTCTTCAGGTGCAGACCCGGAGCACCCAAGAAGTCGCTCGAAAACAGCCCCGACTGAGGCACACGTACCAGGAACGATCTGATGCCTGTTTTGTGCAACTGATGATGGCATCTTAGGGTCTCTTTCCCCAACTATTTGTTTCCTTGACGTCCGATGTAGCTGTCAAGCACCAATAAGCCGGAAGGGCAGCCACCTAAACCCTATTAGTTGTCTATGATGCTCCAGTAGTGGAGGTGCTCGGTTTCTGCTGGCGTGTAAGTCCGATGTGGTCAGCAACATGTGCTCCTATTCGCCCAGCGAGGGGAGCTCTCGGGAGGATTTGCCAGCCTTTGCCCTCTGTGGTTTGGCAGTGTGGTTGCATTCTTTCAGAGTTCAGGACAGTAGTCGGTTTCAACCAACCTACTTCTCGCAAGATAAATCGATGTTAGCTTGTTCTCTGTCATGACATCGATTACATCAGCCACCCTTTCGGCCAACCCGAGTCCAACCCTGCAGCTTGGCCCGTTTTCGATGATGAATCAAGGATACACCGGGGTAGAGACCAACTGCCTGTGGCCGACGCGTATGCTGGGTCTTACTCACTTGGCTGACATGTGGCGGCCCCGTCTCCGCATAGCAGTGCACCCATTACGAGGCCGGGACTGGTGGCGCCCTTGCTGGTGGCAGCGGAGCTATGAGCACTGCATTGCCGTTTCCTGCCAACGTCTACTGTAATGGGTCTGAAATCATTCTCCTGTCTCGCATCCGGAGAACTTCCCAGTACGGAGTATTGTACCTCGACGGCCCCATCGTCTGACCGCCCTATCGGCGGTAGCTGCCGCACCAGATAGAGTTCTTAGAAGACTTCCCAGAGAGTGCATTGGTAACTCACCGGATGGAATCCGGCAAGAAGAGAACGGCCCCACCCGCTGTCTCAACTTCAGGGCTTAGGCAGCCTATCGCCCGATCTCATCCATGAGTGGAAGGTGTTCTCCTACTTCCCCTGTCATCTCCCGAGGGTGGAAGAATAAGAGCCAACCGTGCCTGTTCGCTCCGTGTTTCGAGTCCCGAAGAGCAAGGGGTGTGTATGTTGTGCCCCGGTACTCAACCCGGGGCGTCGGCAGTGACATGACCTTGAGGGGCGTCGATACCGCGGTCTTTAGACGCTATCCGTTGGAGTGTCTGGACACTGTGACGAGTGGCTTAGGATTAAAAGAGATTGTTGATTGAGTGATTTATGTGAGCGTTTCGGGATGCACCTGCGAGAAATCCAAGAAGACTAGCAGGTCTGTTAAGAGGGGTAGTAGAGAGGATGATTTTTGCATACAAAAAAACGGGCTGCACTAACAGACCTCTTCCCCTCCGAAGTACCCTGCCTGCCAACTACCCCGATAACTCATAAAACCCCATTCCTTCCACAGCTACCCGGGGGGTATTCACGAATCTCCTTGTTATACAACGAATTAGAAACACATACCTACGTACCTATCCAAGTTGCGCGACATGCTCGGGAGTCGGAATCGAAGTGGGTCAGCGGTCTTTGCCCTGAAACCATCGACATGGCTGGTTGAGCTTTTGTGATCAAGTTACTATTTGTGTGGCTTGCCGATTTGAAGCAGGAGGACGAGGTATCCTACACGGTTACAGCATGGAGCTGTGTAAGGAGAAAGGCGCGTTGAGGTCTTGCAAGTCAGAAGTCAGGATAAGTTTATCACAGGAAGCGGCTGCCAGTTGCCACACGGTCCACACCTGCCATTCAAGCTTGATGCCCGCACTTGCTTTTCCAAAAATCTTGGCTGCAAGGGACCTTTCGGGTGGACCCAGCTGCCAAGACCAAAACGGTCAGCCAGACAGTGCACGCGATCACAACACCAAAACTTGGAATCCCTGCTTCTCGAACCTCACCAAGTTCACTTTTCACTTCGCGCACGCAACTCAAATTCGAACCTCAAAGAGACGAAAGCCAAGATGGACACCCCCCGCCCGCGCAAGCGGCAGCAGCACGCCGTGCACACCCCTTCTCCCTCCGCTACCTTCTCATCCCGCCACTCCTCCTCTCCATACTCACCATTTACACCTTACTCGTGCACGGCCTGTCCGACGCCAACATCGCCATGCTCTACAGCCAATGCCACGCGCGCTCGCGGCTGCCCTTCCTCTCTCACATCCCTTTACTTGGCGCGCCCACTTGCGCACTGGTCAGCTTCGTCCATGAAGCCGCAGCAACCTCTCTCCGCGGCGCCGCGCTCATGGCCGACCTCGTCTTCTCCTTCATCGCGGGGCTCTTGACCGTGTGCGTCCTCGAGGCTGCGCGGCCCGCCGGCACAGCAACGCCCCTCACGCGGCACCCGACGGGCACTTGGCTGGTTTTCAGCTTGCTGATACCGGCCGGCGCGTTGGTCTGGGAGTTGGTGGTTGTTCCGGGGTTTTTGCACCGCGCCAGGGCCACTTCACACTCACGGTCCAACCTCAACCTTCCAACTGCTGAAGCCAGCGACAACATGAAGACAACGCGCCACCACGTCTCCCCCGCCGCAGAGAGCCTAGCCATCCCCGTCAGCATAGCAATCGGGTACATCATCCCCTCAATCACACTTCTCATCTTTGCACACCACCACCCAGCCACCACCATACTACCATGGCTGTTCTTCCCCGTGTGGGTCTCCCTCACACGCCGGCTGGTCCGGCTGGCGGCCACCTCCAACAAGCTCAAGTGGAACCAAGCCCAGGACCAGGACCAGGATCAGCATCAAACAACAGCATGGCAGGAAAGCATGCACCTCGCGTCCTCCCCTCGGACGCTGGTAGGCATCTACTTGCTGCCCATCGTCTGCTCAGTCCTCGCGCACGGTTGGCTCGTGGTTCATGTCCTAAGGCAAGCCGACGACCGGCGGGAGATGGCGCGCGCCATGACAAAGTTTGTGATTATCAACGTCTTTTTCATCGGGCTCACCGTTCTGTACTGGGTCCTTGTCGAGGCTGGGTGGCGGGGGGCGGTCCTGACGGCTGTCGCGTCGGCAGTGCTGGGCCCTGGCGCGGGTGTCTGCGTTGGTTGGATCTACCGGGAGAAGGTCGTTGTCGATTCGGGCCGGGGGAGCGTCACTGTGGTGGCCGTGGGATCCCGGAGAGGGAGCCGTGAGTCGGAAGGTCCGTCGGAGAATACCCCGTTGTTGCGGTGAGGGGCGGGGTCCGGGAGTGGGGCATCGGTTTCGGATCGGGTCTCTTCTCGGAGACAAGACGATACGCCAGGATGGAAACCATGCTGTACATACGGTACATGATGATCTTTACGATGTACATGAGCTGTTAAGATGTATTATCATGATTAATGTAATGTTTTACCAGTATATAACTCCCTCATCCGCATCATTTCGTCGTTGGATTGTCGTTAGTCATTTGAGACCTGGAATTCCCTTCCCCTCGTCCCTGTAAGACCGCCACAGCGCACTAAATATGCAACCCCCACGAGCACGCGGCATGGCGACATCAGAGCAGCAAATGGCGTGACGGGCTCAAGACATCCTGACCATCACGGCCCAGAAGCTCATAATGGTGGAAACCCTTCGTGCAAAGTCCAACTACTGGTATACCTGATGCAGCATCGCCAAAGTCCACGCAGTTGGTCACATGCTGCTTCCAGGGAAATGACCCATGGTCGACCAGCCTGGAAACGCCGACAGGGACTCTGGCCCAAACAGATCGGGGCCAAAGTTGAACCCGTCCGCTATTTCCTCAAACGCATTACTCGCGCTTGTTCCTACGCTGGCCTGAGAAGCAGGAGCTGCGCTGGCTACCAATGTCTCCGTCATGGGCACGCTTCCAGCAGCCGTGGAGCCGATTGTTGGTGCTGCCACAGGCAGCTGAAAAGACTCTACGGGAGTTTCATTGGGTATCGATTCATCAAGATATGGCATGCCAACTGCGACGGCCGAGCCACGAGCGCGGCCTGGCCAAACGGGGGAATCTTCGGGCAGCAACAGCCCGTTTGCAATGAGCCGTTCGATGTCGGCTTGCTGGGGTATCGCCTGTAAGTCCCTGTGATGCAACAACAATTTGGGAGAGAGAAAACCGAAAAAAAAAAAAAAAAAAAAAAAAAAAAAAAAAAAAAAAGAAGACGTACAATGCTAGCAGACGCCGGCCCGGCGGTGCACTGCCGAGCGGTCTTGAGGCAGACAGCGGCGAGCTCCTGCACTCGTTCTGGAGTGAATCCATGATCAGGCCCCTCCGTTTGCAAGCAGTGGTACAAGACCCTCAAACACTGGAAGGCACACGCGGGCAGGTCTATGTCTGTGACGGGGACGCTGCTCCCCAGGCTCAGGAGCTGCGCAAACATGTCGGCCATGGCCCTGGCGTGTTCATAGCAGCTCCGCCGCTTGTGCGCAACGAAATGAGGATCCAGTTGCTGCATCGCGGCCGGCGCGAGCGCTTCCCTCAAGCCGGGGAGAAAGAGGCGGTAGAGGTCGAGGTGGCATTGCCTCCACCAGACATGGGTCATGATGAAGATGGCCAGCCTGGGGGAATACGTGCGAAGACCCAGGTTAGCTTCAGACCAGCGGAACGAGGCCGGCAACCTCGCCTCGAAAGCCTCTAGCTCGGTAGCCAGATCGGCACATTGCGAGGGCAGCATCGCTATGGCATCTTCGGATGGCGAGGCCGCCACGTTGGATGTGCACTGCAGGATTCGAGTGCGCATCCAGTGGATGCGGACATGCAGAGCCATGAAACCAAGCACGTCTGGCAACGGTGGGATGGTTCCCCCAGGAGCCAAGGCCGGCGGTCTAAGGGGCTCAGTCGGCTCGGGCAGGTCAAACTCAAAATTTCGTTCATTGCAGGGGAGCTGCACATGGATCTGATGTTCGGCATCAGGCCACAGGGCCAGATCCCGCTGGCCGGCCGATATGAAGGAATCAATCATATAAAGCGACCACATGAGTCGACGGCGAGACTCACGCGCGAGGAAGCAGAGCTCTGGGTTTTCGTGATTCAGCCTGAGGGCTGTGGCGAAACGGCTGGCGATGGCATGCAGCATGAAGGCGCCCGAGTACCGCTTCGAGAGGATGCGATGTTTGACGGCAATGACCAGCGTCTGCAGGCAGTGGATGGTGGGTTTTTCGAGCTCGGCTAAGCACAGAGATACCGCTTCTTCGACACATTGATTGCCGTACTCCTCAGTACCGGGGCCAAGGTCGGTGAGCAGGGCCGTAATGCCGACCAAGGCGAGCACGAGAGAGCGGGCCAGCGATCCAGAATGGTATCGCTGCATGACGGAGGCGCGATGCAAAAAGGAAAACACCGGGATGTGGTGGATGTGGCGGAAGAAGTTGTCAAAAGCCCGGAGAGTAAGCGCCTCGCCGGGATCCAGCTGGCCTAGGGTAGCGGCAGGACTGGCAGTCCTGGTGCGCGGCGTGCCGTGGTCGTTGGGCGAGCTCAGGGCCGTCTGAATATTGTCGTTGATGGCTCCGGCTGGGGAGGCAGCGGTGGTAGCAGGACCCGGCAACGGAAGGGACCGCTTCGTGGGGCGGTAGACACACTCAAGACCTTGGCCACGGCAGCGGTCGCAACTGGGCAACGAGCCACTGCAGCGTGCCTTTCGGGCGTGGCAGTTTTGGCATGCCTGGCGGGCTCGACGGCGGGGTACCGAGATGGCGGTTGCAGTTGCAGTGCCGTGACCTGAGTCACCGTAAACGATATCGACGCCAACATTGCCGTCGTACGAGCAAGGCAGGCTCAAGCGGTCACAATTGCTGCAAGTCACTCGGCGGCCGTCGCATCGGACTTTGCGGGCTCGACACGTGATGCACGTGCTGGCAGGCCGGTTGGGTGGAATGGGCAAGGCACTCATCGGTGGTCTGTTGGGAGATAAGAGATGCCCGTGATTACGAGTGTCCCGCTGCGGCAGGCGGGCACTTGGTGAGGCGCCCGACGACTTGCTGAATGAGCTGGCGAACGCGGCTCCCGGGTTGTCCGAGGCATTTCGTGTCGTGTGCTTGTAACAGCCTTGGACTGTGGGTTTTGCAAGTCGCTGATCAGATGTGAATTGAAGCGTTGTTGGTTGAGGGAGCTGCGACGAGAATCTGCATCGAAGGAGCAGCTCGCCGGGAATCGGGCCTTGGCATACTTGGCATTGGGGCCCACTTTGGCGCCCCACCCTGTCGCGACTGATGTGTAAGTGGCGTTTCAGCTCTCAACTTTAACCTAACCTCCTCGAAACAAATGAGCTTGGGACTTGTCATAAATGATCCAACCCAATCAATACCTCCAACCAAGCGCAGCTGCATCATATTGAACGAAAAGCAAAGTCTCGCTTTAGGGGACCTTGCACAATTACATGATGGCGAAGAGGGCATCAGGTCGCTTGTTGGTAAACTGACTTGGTTGATAGGCGAGGCCTCAAGCAGTATCACTTTCTTGGCTCATCGCAACTTCACGCTACAGCAAGCTGTCAATCCATTCAATATGCTTCTTCGCAGATTTCGCAGAGGACGATACCTTCAATATCAAGTCAACGGTCCAAAACGAGCTTGTCACGGCGATGTGCTGATCATGGGATATTGTCATGCTTCTTTGTCACTTATTGCGAGAAACTGAGACCTTGAACTGTGCCAAATCTGTTGTTCTGCCCCAGACAAAGAGAACAATGGAACAATCTGCTTGTTCGACACCAGGCGATTCTCCCTTCTGCTCCCCATTAAAACCAGATCAGGCGGCATAGCACCCGCAAAAGTCTCTGTAGGTGTACCTAGTCGTCTAAGCCCGGAAAGTCTACTCGATCCCGGGCAAAATAACCGGAATCTTAAGCAGGAAACATGCCGTCTGTCACGCCGGCTACCCCATGCCAACCCACAGGTCTAGACCTTGATGATGAATCTCGCCCGTCGAGCCCCTATTACCACCTGCCTGCTTTGGATTCTCCGGTGCGAGGGTTCACACCTCCAACAACACCACCAACACCGTCTTGTTGGTATCCATCTGATCAGTCCAACGATGGATCTGCTCGTGCTTGGTCGCCCACTCCATCTCTTTGGAGTTCACCTCACCAGGTCAGCGATGGAGGTTCTCGCCTTAGTGTATCATCCTCGAGTACATTTTACAGCGCATCTTCCCAGCCCCACGACTGAGGTGACCGAGGTGACCGTCTCGACTCACTGTGGTCGCCCGGCGCAAGTCAGGCGGACCGGGGGAATCGCAGCCTCTCTTCCTACCATCCGCCTCCGCCCTCGCCCTCCAGCACTGTTCGCTCGGACGAGGCCGCCGCACCCAGGAATGCACCGCTTGCCTCTCCAAACGCAGTACCAATATCCACAGGAACAACGATGTGCGAGACCAATCCGGCGATAACAACAGAGCCAGAGCTTGCCGCGCGGTTTCGGGAGCTATTGGCCAGACTTGCAGAGCATGAGCCACTTCGTGAGAGGCAATCCGAAGTCCGCAATTGGAACCATGATTCGGCTTCTGGCAGTGACGAAGGTGCGTTTCACGCCCAGCTGACCGTCATTGAGCAGGCAAAAGCAGCCTTGCGATCGCAGCCTACGTCGCAACTGATGTATCCTGCGTATTGGAACCCATCGAGGGGCCTTCGTCATCCTGGCCGGCGGCGTAATCTTGTTCTGGGGGTCAGATACTGAGTATACTACATTAGCGGACACAGATGGGTTGACAAGGAGCAAGAGGCGTATCAAGACGTATATGATGTAGGCAGTGTCGTAGGGAGGTGATGTCCCTGACATCACACAGGCAATAAGACTCCCATCACAATGAATAGAATTGCTCGTTAGTGCAACTGTCACCACCAATCCATGTGTTGATGCCATCGGTGAGCTCATAAGCCGGAGAATGCTCCATGAGAAGACCATGCGAGAACGACTTTGCAAATCAACAGAGTAAGGCAGAGAGCTGCCCAAGTGCATATGTATGTGTTGCCAAGTAACACCTGAATGGCACCAGCCACCAATCCGTAGGACGAGACAGACAGATCAGACAATGGGACGATGAAGTGCGTAACGATGATGAGATTCGCAAAACACCAAACCACCCCCCCTCCCTCCCTTCCCCCCAGCCCTTCCCCCCAGCCCTTCCTCCCACTGACCACCACCCCCCGACCAAGGAAAAGAAACCTAAAGTACAAAATGGCCCACCCACCACTCCCGCGAGCACGGCGACCCTCGGGTACTAAGTATACATTCCAAAAAAAGCCCACCCACCGACCCCCTCGAGCACGACGACCCTCGGGAAAAGACAAACGAACAATACCCTGACAGAAGACCGACACCCCAAACACCAAACACCAACCATCCATCCTCCCGTCCGAAGCCGAGACCATGCACCGCGACCAGACCCCGACCCATCCCAACCGAACCGGACCGAATCGAACCGAACCGAGACCGAAGTTGTCGAACTTGAGTACCGAATCGAAGTTGCCGAATCTTGATTGTCGAACCATAGTTGTCGAACCGAAGTCGTCGAACTTTAGCCGTCGAATCTTGATTGTCGAACCTTGATGCCGAAACTCTTGAGTTGCCGAACTTGAGTACCAAATCGAACCGAACCGAACCGAACCGGTATCCTCCTCCACGGCTGCCTTCACCTTCCCTTTCTTGGGGGAAGTTCGGGTTCCTCAGTGAGCCTCCATGTCCTCCTCCACATGATACTGCCGCGGAGACAGCCTGGGTCTCCTCTGCCTTCACCATCCCCCCCGATGCGGGCTCCGATTCCTCAGCAGAGAGAGAGCCTGCTCTGCCTTCACCTTCCCCCGCGAATGCGGGCTCGGGTTCCTCAGCGAGAGTCTTGCTCTGCCTTCACCTTCCCTCCCAGGAAGGTCCAGTTCCTCAAAAGAGTCTGCTCTGCCTTCACCATCGCCGCCCGCTATTGCAGACTCCGGTTCATCAGCGAGCTTTGTGTGTGCTGCTCCTCCACGACAGGATCCTAAACCGAACCGAAAAAAACCATCACCACCACCATCCCCTCAATCCGCCGGCCCCATCCTCATCTCTCCCAGCTCGAGCTTATAGTCCTCCGCCATCATGGACAGCCGCTCGAGCAGATCATTCTTGACCGAAGCCGACGGACCGTCAAGACGCCGCTGGAGCTCTCTCAGGAAGAAGGTCCGAACCAGCTGCGCCGCTTCGTGCGGCAGATACTGCTTGTCGTCGAGCTGAGGCCCAATAAGCTGGCCGAGATTGAGGAGGGTGCCGCGCTGCCACTTCAGGATCCAGTCCTGCGCGACACTCTTCTTCCGCAGCACGTTGCCGCTGCGCTGGATCATCAGCTCCATGATGCGCCGCAGCCGCTCGCCAGAGAAGGCCAACTCCTCCTCATCCGTGGATGCATCGGAGTCGTCCTCGTCAGAGGCGGAACTTGAAGATTCGGGTGCGGGGCGCTTGTTGTCGATCTGCATGGAGCTGGAGGAAGACGATGGTCCAGCGTCGGGCAGCAAGCCGAGGGAAGCTTGGGCTTGCGCCAGCAGCGGAAGGCCGAACGGTGCCGGAGTGGGCGCTGCGTCGAGCTTGCCCTTGCCCAGCCGCGACTTGGGCACTGCGATGGGGCGGAATTCAAAGTTGAACTCTGCCGTGGCAGGGGGTTTTGTCGTCACGGTCCGAGGCTTGGAAGGCTTGGCTCTCTTAAGAGAGTTGCTGGGCGCGGGCAGGGCGGGGTTGACTACCGTGTCAGACTTCTTCGTCGCGGGACCTGCCACCTTCGCGGGTTGGCTTGTCGAAGGCGGCGGCGGGGGCGGCGGCGCGTTGAAGCTGAACGGGGTGGTCGACGCAGACGGGCCCTGGTCTGCTCCTCCGCGCAAGGCAGGATCGATCATGTCCAGGTCAATGTCAGCGCCAGACTTCTTCGTCGCTGAGCCTGTCTTGGTGGGTTGGCTGGAAGACAGGGGCGTGTCGACGCTGAACACTGACTGAGACCCCGACGGACCGTGATCTGGGCGCACCAGATTAGACGACGGTCCCTGACGATCCTGGCGCAAGGTAGGATAGACGAGGTCGGCTGCGCTGATCTCCTTCTTCGGCACCGAGTCCGGCGAAGGTGGCCGCCCCGGTCCAACCCGAGCTTCCGGATACATAAGTCCCTTTCCCTTCACCGGCGGCGGCGGCGGGGTGAAGGTGAAAGTCCCTGAAGGCATCCTCGGCGGCGACGGCGTCTTGGGGACAAACTCATTCTTAGAGGCCTGAGTTTGTGCCGAAGCGCGCGGAGGAGAGGCCGGAGGGGGAGTTGGGACCTTGTATCGCGGGCGGGAGGGAGCGGGTGCAGAGGGCTTGGCGGCAACTTCGGCCTTGGCCTCAGTTGCGTTCGATGTTGTCGCTCTCTGCTGCGGCACCTTCGGTTTGAACCGGGTCTCTTTCGGCTTCATCCCAAAGCCAGAAGCTGAAGAGCCCGGGTTGGCGGACTGCGTGTCCTGAGAAGGACCAGCGGAAGTGGCAGAAGCCGGCTGTTGGAGAAGAGATCATGTTAGCTTGGCACGTCTGATTGAGGACCTTGAAGATGACTTACTTCTTGACTTGACTTGGACGCCTCGGGAGCAGCTTGAGCCTCTCCAAGCTCCATTGCTGTGTCTTCTGCAGGGGCCGACACAGTGGTTGGGAGAGGAGCAGGGGTTGGCACAAGAGCCGTTGTGGCGGTTGGGGCTGAGTCTCCAAGCTCCATGGCTGTGTCATCTGAAGAGGCAGACACAGGGGTAGGGACAGGAGCTGCCGGGAAGTTAACCTGCACCGGGCGCGCAGGGACCTTAGCCGGAACTCGAGGCTTCTGAACCTCCTCAAGCTCCATGGCTGTGTCTTCGGTAGGGGCCGACACAGGGGTGGGGGCAGGAGCAGGAGTAGGGACAACACGAGTTGCGACCGGAGCTGAGGCCTGGGCCGGAAATTGGACCTGGACAGGGCGTGCAGAAACTTTGACCGGGACTGGAGCCGAGGTCGAGGCGGCGAACTGAACCTGCACCGGGCGGGCAGGAACGCGAACAGGAACAGTCGGGGCCGGGACAGTCGGGGCCGGGACAGTCGGGGCCGGGACAGTCGGGGCCGGGACACTCGGAGCCGTAACAACCGGAGCCGTAACAACCGGAGCCGTGGGGGTGGCGGTGATGGCCAGAGAGGAGACCAAGAGGGAAAGGCCGGGAATCGCTGTTGCCGAAACAGATCCTGGAGCCGTGGTGTTGACCGCGAGAGACGTGCCGGGCGCGGGGAGGTCCGGGATGCTGAGCTTCTTGGGCAGGACGGGCAGCGCAGCAGCCAGATCCGCGCAACTCGGGAAGGGCCTCCACTCTCTTGGCTGCTTCTTGACCGGTGTGGTCGGCGAGAAGCACTCGAGAGGAGGGAAGGTTGGGGGAGCCGCAACCCGAGTTGGCGTTGGCACTGGAACTGGTGCCGGAACTGGAACTGGTGCCGGAACTGGAACTGGTGCTGGTGCCGGAGCCGGAGCGAGAACCAGAGCTGCCAGTGCTGCCTCCGCCGCCGGAAGAAGACTGGGTTGTTGAGGTTGCTGCGCACAAGAGGGTTAGCTGAGGGCTTGATGGGATGGAGGGAGGGGATTGGAGAAGATGCAGAAGTTGAACATGATGGTATGCGATGAAGAAAATGTAAAGACGAAAAAGAAGAAGTGATGATGGTGATGATGTTGAGACGAAGAAGAGTAAGAAGAAAGAGATGAAGATGAACAACGAAAACACATTGCTTACATAGTCGATGGCGAGAATCTGGTCCGTCTCAATCTCCTCAACAAGCTCGAGCACTGGCGCATCCGTCATGCTCCAGTCCATCATGCTCGCATCGTCGTCTGACTCATCCGCCTCAGACATGTAGTCGACCATGGTGATGTCGACCGTCTCGGGCGCCGCAACGACCAAGACTGCGTCTTGCTGCGACTCCCGGGAGTCGATTGTCGCAGGAGCCGGGGGGGACAGGGCTTCCACTGCAAGGACCAGCGCAGTCTGATTGTCGTTGTCGTCGGTCGTCTCGAGGACCTCAGGAGCGGGAGCAGCCGGCGGGAGAGCTGGGACCGGGCTGCTTGCCTCAACCTGAGGGAGGCGACCGAAGCTGCTGAATTGCAGCGCACCGAGAGGCTGGGATGGCGTTGGGGTGGGCGGCACCGACCACATCTCCATCGGGTTCCTCCCTGCCGCGCGAGCGGCTGCGTGGAGGGGGAGATCCTCCAGTTCTCTCTGCACACGAGGCACAAAGATCACCGGGGATCAACCGGTGGGAGGGCCGGCAGCCTCCACAAGTCTGGGCGGGCTGTTTTTTTTTGGAAGTCCGGTTAGCGCTGGGCACTGCCACTGGCAGTTGACAGACAGGAAGAATGAAAGTAAGGTACTTACCGCCGGGCAACGTTCTCAAGCGTTCCTCCTGTCTCCAGCGCTTGTCACGTTCGCGAGCCTCGGCCTGAGCCTCGGCCGCTTCGCGGGCCAGCTTGTGCCTGTGCTCTTCGATCTTGTCGGTGAAGTCGAGGAGCTCGGACCGTTCGTTGGCGAGGATTTGCTTAAGTTGCCAAATCCTTTCTTGGTTGTCTTGAACAGCCGCGCGCAGTTGCCGGGTTTGCCGGAGATAGAAGGCGACTCTGGGATCTGTCGCGCCTTGAACTGTGACGGTGTGAGTGGATGTGTCAGTGTCAACCCATTAGCAAGACGAGAAGAGTCGTCCAGAGTTTTGAGATTTGGATGGGATGGGTGTCCGCGACGGGCACTCGACAGAAAACGGACGGGCAAAGCTGGGATGAAGAAATAGAGAAACGAAAAAGCGACTGACAGATTGCTGCCTTCGCAGCCTTGACCAAACTGACGACCGTCCAAGGTTGCCGCCACTCAACGTGCTCGAACTCGGCGGGCCTGACCCAGCAATGACTTCGCAGCACAAACACTGTCGGGAATTCCCTCCAGCGCCTGTAGTACTCGTTGCAAATGCCGGCGACCTCTTTGTTCAAGCCGTCGATGGCTGCCACCTGCTTGTTGTACCGGGCCCGCAGCTTGGCGTATTCTAACTCGAGTGTCGTTCGGACCTCGTGGTCGGCGAGAAGCGAGTCGACAAACGCGTTGAACATCCCTACGTTACGAACCACATCGTGAACTAGCATGATGAACAACCAAAGGAGGAAACCGGGGAGGAACGCCAGGAAGAGCAGAGCGACACTCGCCGCATCTGTTATGACCGGCGGGGGTCGGACCCGGTCGGGGAGGAGGAGGGGGAAGAGGAGGAGGAAGAGGCAGCAGAGTACTGCCATCGGGGAAGAAACAAGGAGCACGTTACCAAAGCCCTCCATCAAGTCGAGGAGGGAATCGAAAGCCGCGCGAGAGGGCTGGACGACGACCAGGATCGCCGCCAGCACGGCAAGGCCGTAGTACGTCTGAACCTCCGATAGCAGGACTGCCATGGTGGGCGACGCGACGGACCGAAACGTGACCGAAAAGAAGAGAAGAAGGAGGGGAGGGCGGGAAAGACGGAGAGAGAAAAAGGGAAAAGCGGGAGAGAGAGAGAGAGCGAGCGCAAGCGATGGTCGAGAGCAGAGGAAATCGGATGCGAGTATGCTTTGTGATGGCACAATAGACAAAGTCTGTTGTGATCGCAATGCAAATCGAAACTCCGATGGAGAGGGAAAGGAAGAGGAGAGGAGGGAGAGGTGAGAGGAGGGGGGATTTTATAATGGTCTCTGGCCAGCGCGGGTCCCTCTGCGAGTTTTCGAAATTTTGCAAACAGCCAGCATGGACCGCATGGCGCTCTACTTCTTTGTTTACTTCTCGCAGGTTTGCGATTGTTTATATGTTTACATTCGCCGTGTCGACGACGAGGGAAGCAGGCAGGTGCGAGTGTTAAACCCGCTACACCATCTCCCAGACGGCTTGCCCTGGCTTTCATCCCAAGTCAGTGATGACTTCACAATGGTGAGCTCGTCCTGGCCATCACCAGACAGATAGGACCGCCAGAGAGTGATCACAAGAGTGGAATTGTATCAAGGATCATGGCTCAGTTCACAAGAGCGAGACTTCTAGGTATAATTGTAACTGGTGCCCCTTTTTCAAGTAAGAAAGACTGTTGAGCATTGCTACACTGAGAAGTGTAGAGCAAGCTTCTCCAGGGCATGAGTCTTTAAGAAAGAGAAGTCTCCCCTAAAAGCAAGACACTAAAAGACACCAACAGTGAAATTGCACAATGCCAGAGATCGAGGTGGGAAGTGATACCTGGTGTGATGGGAATGTTCTACCAAAGAGAAACTCCAAGCACATAAGGTAGGTAGCCAAGGAAAGCCAAACAAACTCGCATATGGCACTCATCAACAAGCCTGAACAAGGTCAAAATCCATCAAGCAATGCTAGCTAATTTAGTACCAAATGACCCTATATCCTCTCACGCAACCAACGTTGTCCTTGTAGAATCAACCAGAGTCTGGCCTCGCCTACACGTCCCAACTTCTAAGCAGGTCTTCCCGTGTGGCAGACAAAAGCTCGATGGAAATGGAAATCGAGGCGGAGATTCGATCCACCAGTCTTTCCATGTAAAACCTGTTCCCTTTGCTATGCCTATGTCTCGACCTGAACAACTTGCCTACAGTTACTAGACTATGGAAATAATGGACCAGGAAGCTTTTAAGTCTCAATGTCGATGCAAAGCCTGTAATTTCCTTCAGTGGCCAACAAACTCTTGCTTTGTGCTCCAGCATTCACGTTCGTAGACACAAAACCTGGCAGAAACCGCTTTGGGCGAAGAACTGGTACCAGACCCGGGACATGGATGGAATTTGACTTAGTTATATGTCTCGTGCAAAATCAGAGACGTGTAGTACCGACTTCTCCAGCATGGATGCTCACGGAAATCATGCTCATTCATGCATTGCCTCTTGTATCTCCATGCTGATGATGGCCAGCATCATCGTCCCTCCTTTCAAGTTCCAATGTTGCCTTCCATGATTTCTTGCATCGTTACAGGTAAGGTTAGGTAGTTTGCAAGCTTCAAAGACATATTGTGCACACCTCAATCTCCTGCCAGTAGGTAATTAACCTTCCCAATGTCGTTTCTCTTCATCTCGTGCACCGTGATACCTAAACTTCCATCGTGGACGTGTAGACAAGTTGGGCGAGGTGAGTCGGGATGAAAACCAGACTCTCCCAATTCGATACCAGACTTCCCCCTCCTTCCACTCGCACTCGCACTCGCACACATCGTCGTCGTTGCAGCATTGTCTAGGTCGCCTGGGCAACTCCCCCAACTCGCCCCATTTTTGCAGCGGAGCCGCACACACTGCGAAAGTTTCATGAAGGTTGGGATGAAATGGGAACAAGTAGGTCACCTGGTCCAACATCCAACATATCTCGACCTTTCACGACCTGGAGTGTTGCTAGGCAACTTTTGGGTCAGCTGACCTGGGTAGTAACTTCACGGAACCGTGTAGAAACCAATGGCTCGTAGCAATTTTCAGAGCTGCGCGGCTTCGGGTCGATGCGAAAGAAGCGAGGCAGGCCATAAGTGCAAGTGCTCGTTCATCGAGTTGACTTAGGTACCTTAGGTAGATGCGTGTACCTGCAGAGGCTTGTATTCCCTACTATCACAAAGTGCACGCTGGTGCAAGCCCGACTGGCCTGGCAATCTCGTTGTTGAAATAAGGTGCTTACATACGAATGCTTGTGCCAAGGGGCCTGGGAAGAATAGTATCTCAGTATCAGCTTGACTTGGGCGGCTTGCAAGTTCCATGTCACAATCACGAACTCCATTTCAGCCTTGTGCTGCCACGAAACCAATGACAATTCACTCCTAACGCACAAGGAGAAGCCGGTCGCGATGAGCAAGTATTCATTGACATTGAGCAGTCTTTCATGTTGATGCTGGGCCTGGAAAGCGCTACCGAAAACACAGATGCTGATGGACAACCTTTGAATTTGACTCTAAGTTTCCCGCCGATCTTGACCACTGGAAATCATGCTGCTGAACTGATGAAGATACCCTTTCGAGTTGAAAATCCAGCTCCTCGTACTACCGGTCAATGCCATTCGAGTAGGTATATATCAAAGAGATATCCAGACGAACACTCTTTGCAAGCCGCGCAATCGTCAACTAGACTCCTAGGAAAAGCATTCAGGACCAAGAGAAATATCCAGCATTTCTAATATTATCCAATCCTCAACACTGTCCGCGTGGTGTGAATATTTTTTATCAACGACCTGAAATCTGCCGGGCCCCCAGGATTCGACCATTCAAAGTGGCCTACACGCTCCCACAGTTCCGTCTTCTTTTCAACGACTAAAACAAACAGTCTCGGTTCGCTTTCCCATAATTTCACGAGACCAATTGGTATTCCAAGAAGCTGAGCTTTCGGCGAGCTAGGCACCTCACTCAGATAACATATCTGGCTGGTTAGTACGTCACTAGACACTGGTTGGAGAACTTCAGTGCTCCCAGTTAGCTCCTCACCATCCGAGAGGCCTCTGCTACGGAAATTCTCGGCTCGGAGTGTAAATGAACGGCAGTCAAGAACCATGATTGGAGATGATCATTGTTCCTGCCTGATCCCAGTGGCGGCTCGATCTGGGACAATTCTGTTCTGATTCCGTCGGGGGCTTCAAAGGACACAGTAATATCGGTGTCCTCGCTAGCTGAGCTCCAGATAGCGTTTTCGGCATAGCTAGACCGAACTGTCCCGATCCAGCCAGCCCACGACCAAGAAGGAAACCCGTGCCGTCGACGACTTGGCAGTTCAAATTTCCAGCAGATACCGGCCAGAAAGTCCTTGGGGAGATGATGAGTACCGTCCTTATAGTGCCACCTTCCTACAATTGGGATCCCCCAGATGTTATACACCGGGAGGGCGCGGCCCTGTGCTAGGTGACCCGGAATTCCCTGAAAGGCGTTGAGGATGTCGGCTTGATTGCCGAGCTTTCGACGAGTGTACTCGTGAATTCTATGCCCGACTTCTGATGAGTACGCCCCATACTTTACGCGGGGGAATATTTCATTCCCCCGAACCGAATGTGCGTTGAATGTTTCGTAGAAGGCGGACTCTTCACATTGGAAATAGACCCCTTAGTCCGTAAACACGAGACGGCGTGGCGAGAGGAGGGCCTCTTGGTACGTCCAGCCGCGACTCGACTATGTTGACATAGAGACGCTGTCCTTGATTGTGCCTAAGTCGTACCCCAAGACCAGAGTCCGATTTTTCAGCCTCACGCGCGGCTGAAGGAATTGCCGAGCCCGGCTGACGCCCGGTAGGCCATACGTTGGATCGGAGCCGCCAGCCGCGACGAGGATGACTTGAGCTCCGCCGTATATTCCTGTCATGAGCCGGATCTGGCGTTGTTTGTCTTCCTCATCGTCCTGGCGGATACAGTATTTATCGATCCATAGGTAGCGGAATCCAAGCCGAAGAGTGACAACCATACTATCCCGGACAGTTCTCGGGAGATTTTCAAGAGGTTGGCTGTGGTCTGATGGGCGATCAGGTTGGTCCACCACTTGCCCCCATACATAACTTAGGGCTAAGAACGGGGGACAAGGCCTCGTGAGATGCGCCACCTCGATAACAAGGCGAGTTTTGCAATCAATCAGACGAATTGGCCATGTAGGATCGACTTGTGAGGGGGGATAAAAGATGCCATGATGCCATTCTTGGCAGTCGTTGACCCACCCTCGCAGTAGGGAATAAATCAATGGCCTCCTGGTCGACAGAGCGAGGAGCGATGGGTCCCTGTAACGGGGAAAATGGAGCGCAGGTCGGCTCGGCAATATGTCCTCTCTTGTGAAAGAATGCCTCAACGTCATCGATATCGCGGGTAGGGAGAATGCCGAGCATCCTGACGTCGTCGTAGTAGAGGGACCATGCCTGGTCGGCAGGCTGGTCTTCCAAACCACGTTTCCGTTTTTCCCAATATGATTTCCTCGTGCCATACCAGGTAACAGAGCACAACAAGCCTTCCCCCCAGTCCTCGCCGCAGTATTGGGTAAAGAGGTGGCACAATGCACAACCTTCCGGCGGCAGGCGCTCCAGCTTCATGAGCGGAACGATCTCGTGGTGATTGTACCGTTGGGACAGGATGGTGTCAATATCAATAGATCTGCAACGGTCGCAAAGCGGATCAGGAGGGCGGCACGAATCCAGGCCCATGTCTAGGTGAGGACTTGGGGGATCGGGCTCTGCTACCGGCGTTTGGGTGTCCATATCAAGGTATGACTCTTTCACAAATTGAGTAGTTGGTAATCGAGCAGGCAGCACATTTCCGGGACGCGGCTGCAAGCGTTTTGGGGTGAAGTCTGAAAGAAATGAAGAGCACGCGAAATGAGTGTTGAAAGGTTTGTAGGTCGATACAAGAGGCCGGACGTTGTTCAAGAACTCCGCCCCCTACCTGCAGTAGCACCTGCCACCCGGTGTTCAAGTCACACGAAGATACGGATAGGGTGCATTACATAAGGTCTTTGATTCTCGGCCTGGCAAGTGCTACTGTAGCTACCGATGTAGTACTGTACTACTTTGGAATTTTGCTCCATCAAGTGTCCCGCAACCTTGACCTGTCATGCACCTGAACCTGATGAACCCACCCATCATAGCTCAAAATCCAGCTCCTCATAGTACCTGTAAATGCCATTCGAGTACTTCTGGCGGCGCGGGCTTTGCAGATACTCCTTGATCCTCGGGCGCTCCGCGACAGCCTTGTGCAGGGCAAAGACCTTGGCATGTTTTCCCTCGGCTTCCAGCTTTGCCATGGCCTTTCTGAACATGAACTTGAGCCCATCAACGCACTGCAATCCCAAGTATCATGTCAGAACTACTTTCCAATATGCCCATATAGTCGGTATAATCAACAGCGACAGTTACGTACCTGGAAGAGCACGAGATCGGCAACCGTGCACTTGCCCCCATAAAGCCAGGGCCCGTCGCCGCTGGCCTTGGAGGCGAGTACGCGCTCGAAATAGCCCAGGAACTTGGGCAGCCGGTTCTTGACGTAGTCCTCGGCCTTTCTCTTGCTCTCCGTCTTCTGGTCCTCGTAATAGAGAGACGATGCGATGGGATGGTGGCAGTCGTGTGGCTCGTTGCTCAACCCGTCCAGCGCCGTCAGCACCAGCCCATTGACCCTGTACATGCCGTCCGGGTTTTCGTCGGCATCCGGTGAAAGCCTCAGACGGCTGCCCAGGTAGAGGAGAATGTTTGGCGTCTGGTTGATTACGAGATCTCCATGTTTCAAGATCGGCGGCGCGAAGAGTGGTGTGTTGATGTCGTCGCTGGGCTCATTCTGTTGCACGTATTTAAGCACTTCCTGTACGCCGCCCTCGATGTGTGCCGTGTCGGTATACTCGGCGCCAGCTTCCTCCAAGGCGAGTCGGATGAACTCGCCACGGCCGGGCAGGCCTGGCCAGTATATGAGATTGTAAGGGACGTCCTTCTCGGATCTCTGCCGCTTGGATGGGACGTCGGATGCCATCCTGGGAGAATTCGGAATGAGTCTTGAATTTTGGAAGACGATGAGCTGAAATGGCCTGTTGCGGGACTCAATCGGCAATCGTGGAATTATAAGTGAGGAGGGGAAAATGAGGGGGCTGACAGGCGGGGACTGGATCCTTCATGCAGTAAGACGGATGACGTAAAAGACCGATCCCTTCTATCCCGGATTCCGGTGTTTCGGCGGCGGCAATCGGGATTGAGGATGCTCGGAAGCCGGAGAACGCCTCAAACGTCCATCCTACCGTTCGGTTTGGAGGGCAAAGGGATGGAGGACGATGCGATGCTCCATGATAAGATTATGGAAGTGCCGGGTTGACGAGACAAAGCGTCTAACTATCCGGAACCCATCCGATTTCGAATTTCGAGCACCTTGACGGGACACCTTGGCGGCTACTTTCCTCGGGTTCCAGCAGGGTATTGATTGATTCGATGGTTAGTGATGATGTCTATCGCCGTCACGCTGCACCGTGTCATGGACAAGCCTCCAGCAGTCTGCCGGGTCCTCGAATACGTGCCACACCTTACTGCACGTATGTTAGTCTGGTTCACCGATTCGTAGTGCCCTTGTCGGGCTGGGACAGCCTTACCGCGGAACACGGGTAAACGCCCTCTCAAACCGCGCCGGTTCATTCTTCTCCTCAATTCCAACTGCGGCAATGTCGGCAACCTTTCGTATGAGAATCAATTTGATCCATCCGGGAAACATCCTGCATATCTCGCCTGCCACGGTCACCGTCAGATTGGCGCACCACAGTTCCTTTGGCCAGTTGCACTTACCATATGCCTCCGGGTCGCTCTGCGTCGAGTCTCCAATGAGTATCATCTTCCGCCGCGGAAACCAGCGACGGATCTTTCTCATCCTGTCAATCTTGTACTTCTCTGTCCCGAGCGTCAGGCTGGAGAGCAGCCCGGAGACAGTCAACCAGCTAGCGTCGCGGAGGATGAGCTCCCCGTGGGGGTAGTAGTTATCCCTAAACCTGCGAAGGAAAGGATACAAGTTGTACGGAGATGCCGAAAGGTAGAAGAATGGCGCGGAATTAGTGATGACGGTCTGGATATAAGCATAGAGCTCCGGCATGCCTGCGACGGGCTCCGGCTCTGACTGTGCGCATCGCGAAACCGTCAGGGCTATTCGATTTTTACTGACAACAAAGGGCTAACTCACCACAAAGGTTGACCGCAGGATGCCAATGGGGTCACTGGTCTGTGTAACTTTGATAGTGTCGTCGACGTCTGCGAGCGACAACGAGAATCAGTAATTCGCAATGTGTAAATTCCAGCGTTGGCCACCATACCGGAGATGACGGCCCAGCCTTCTGGCTCCGCGTACACGGTCTTCATCTCGAGCATGCCTGTGGCACCACGGGGCACGACTGCATTTGATCGCGCCACCATATCCCTCGGCGGCTTTGGAAGCCGCTTCAAGTCACTGCTGATGCCGTTCCTGCCTCCAGGACCTAGCTTCAAGCGTGCCACCCCGTCAAAGTCGACTTTAATCTGCCTTCCAGGGAGAATCTGCATGACAAACGGCGCGATGCGACGCTCGATGGTCCTTTCCTCGACGTGTCCGTTAGACAGTCCCAGTTTGCTGGCAATGTCGCCCACGATATCAACAACTCTTGCCGACGGCGCCCGGTCAAAGGCCGCGGCGACAAACTCGGCCTGCCATATGCCGCCGGGGCCGCGGAATGCGGTGTTATCCAGGAGCCAGACCACATCGTCCTTTTCGAGCGGGGCTGGGAGCGGGTTGCTGGAGCCCAGATATGAGAGTAGCGTGGTGATGGCGTGTCGACCGCGCGAGATGCCTTGGTTTGACGAGACGCTGGACAGGGAGGACTCGGCCGCGTTGAAGCCGCACTCGCTCCTAGTCCGCTGCTCCAGGCGGTCTGAGCTGACGCGCGTTTGGCGGGCAGTGGTGCGTCGTCTCGACGGCGCCATGGTCGTGGTTGAACGATGCAAATTGGCACAACGTCAAACTTGCAAAATTTGGGGACAAAGAAGATGTTCTAATAACTATACAGGAAGCTATTTGAAACGGCGTGGCAGTGTCATGTCGTTGCATTGGGGACCAACCAAAATGCGCAAGGAAGGGCCTGCCGCCTGCCTTGGTCGGGAGTATGGGCGCCACTGCATCATCGGCATGGAATGCGTGGTACAGCTGCCGACGAATGACCAAGACCCAGGCATTGATTGGGTTCCCGCATGACCTGGGGATGTGACGCATCTCCAAGCGGCAAGGCAAAAGCCTGAAGCGACCACATGGCGTCTTCAACACGCGCGCTTCGCGGTCTGCCACAGGGCTGCAGCTGACGAGGCCTAGTACTACCTTCCACCGGCGATTTTCGCGATTTTCGCGATTTTCCTCATGGAAGGTGCGTGTTCGGTAAGTTGAAGTTGGACCGTTGGTGACTCCCCTTTTAGATCAACGAGGAACCCCACGCACACACTCCTTGATTGCAGCCGAGACATCGGGCCCGCCCTGATTGGGCGAGGAGCTTGCTTGCCTGAATACACTGGCGTAACGACGTTATCAGATTCTCATCGGAGAATTAGACAACAAAGTGTGGTCGTATTGTTTTAGGATGAGAAACGGAAGCAAAAGACGTCCTTTCCCGTACGATTGAGGAAGGCGGAACTTACTAGTAGCCAACGTAACACAGCCTATATAGTCCAAGCTGTCTTTGACCTGTCAAGCTATGCATAGCCTGTGTGATATTTCGGGGGGAAAACAGTTTTGAGCATAATGTTGCTGTGCAGCAACTTTACTTTCCTTTCGCTCCCCACCTCACTGTATTGCAGAATCTTGTAATGTCGACGTCTGTCTGATACTTATTAGATATCCTTCGATGACAATCCGGTAAACTTCTTCCTGTTTATCGGTCAAAGCCAATCATCGCTGAGATATTTTGATTCAAAGAGAGGAAAGATGGTAGGAGAACGAGATAAAAGATAAAAGGAAACAGGAGAAAAGGGGCCAGCACTGGCAGAATAAAGCAACAAAGGGGGAGAAAAGGGAATATAGAGAGACATAAGAACGCTCACACTTCATGCCAAGATACTGACATCATCACATCAGCGAAACTTCCGTGATGGGCATAACTGTGGACAAGATGAGGTGCGCAAGGAATCGTCATGTTGACGGGATGTACCACGCAAGACGTCTGGGACCCCTGGCAACCTGAGCTTCCACTTGCAAGCACTCAAGATCCGGTGCATGGTTGTTGATAATACCAGTTTGTCTACTTCAAATCCCGCAATGTAAAGAAAATGCGAAAGCGACCCAGGAAAAGGAAACCCAGGCCAAAAACTAGCGTTCCAAGGATGTACGGGATATCCATATTGTGAAATGCTCCAGATAGCCTAGATAGAGGTGAGCATCGTGAGGGGGTTGAGCTTGGTAATATCGGCCATGTTCATACAATTGGTTCCTGGTTGATGGTTCTTTTGACTTGGACCCTATAAGTCAACTCGTCCTTCCTACTTTCACCCCCCCTGGGTAGAGTGGGTGAAATAGCATGGCCGAGCGGCCACAAGTTCGTCACCATCACTCCCCTAACGCTTACGCGACGAGTTCGAAGCGAGTTGTCGCCTCAATCTCTTGCCTACATAGATGCAATGACCGAGTGTCCTGTCACCGGTGCAACAGTGCGCACAAGACAGAGGCCATGTGATCACCAGACTTGGGAGGAACACGGACTTGATACTCTCCAAGAGCTACTCAGGTGTCCATGTGGCATTTGAAATGCACATGGATACCTTGGTAGTGATGCGGTCGGTCCGGAAAAAGCAGTCCGGGACCGTTACCGTTCAGCTCCGTAGAGGCGAGAATACCCGGACAGGTGGCGCCGAAAAAAACGAGGACCTGGTCAGGTCATGGGACCACCTGAACGGCTTCTGGAACACGGAGGAGGAAGATGCTCAGTTAGGTATCAATCAACCTCCCAAGTCGAGCGCCTGGGGGTTGACGTCCCAGCCAATATCCCCCTGATTCCCCCGGGACACCAACACCGCGGTGGCGCCCACCAACAATAACATCCCCTCACGGCGGCAGTGGCAGCGACAGCGGTGGCGGCTCCGGCCATCACCAATAACCCCTTCGTGGCGGCGGCGGCGACTCCGATTCAAAACATCGATGAAATCACGGTTGATGTCTCTGAAGCAAGCACCGACATGCCTCTGGCCAACACCACGGCGGGTAGAGCCATGGTGGTCTCATCGACTGTTGGTAATGGCGGCCAGGGCGGCGCCCCCTCCTCCTCAGCGGGGAGTTGTGGGTTCTGTTGGCAAATCCGCATTAACATTGTCGAAGGGCGATGATAACCTTCGACGCCTCACGCGTGCCTGTAATTAGGACCATTGTGATCTGGATCCGACGCGCCGTACGCCAAAAGTCCGTTCTGAAGGGCAGCCCCCAGGAGAAGCTCTCGCCATGAAGTAGCATGGCCAGGGGTTTTATTCCAGTCTTCCCCATATCCGGAGCTACACTATGAGGTGAAGTTGGAAGCATCTATGTGTGTTCATCCCTAATCTTAATGGCGTCAGTTCAAGTTTCGTGAATGCGTCTATTAGTACTTTCTCTTCATTTGCTCATTCAGCTGCAGCCAGTGCGACTACTTGACTCCCTCTAGGGGCAAAGGAAGCCGAAATCAAAGAGGTGCAGGCGCGACTGCACTTCTTCGTGAGCTACTGAGATGCACCCACAAACGTTGCTTGTTCGAGCCCAGTGCGTCCTCATCTCTTTCCTTTCCAAATCCAAAAGCTTCTTTATTCTGGCCATTCTTTCCTTCTCTTACAAAAATGGAGTCGGCTCTACATGTCATGGAAATCATTAACGCTACATTCTCGCAGAACTCTAGCCGCCGTGATCGATCTTCCCCTAGAATGGGAACAGAGAAATTAAAGAAAAGGTCTGGCACTTTACCATTTCACTTGACACTAACTCTTTCCTCGCAGCGATACATAATTCATGTCTGATACCTACAACAGCAGTTCGAAGTCAAAATTTCACTCTATCCACGTTCTTCCTGTCGACCAACGCCTTCGATCCGGCCAGAGGTTGATGTGGGAACAGTGGGATTCAAATTTCGACACGACACAACGTTACTACACCAACGCCTGGCGTAAAGTTGATGAGCAAGTTAACTGCGGCGACAGTAATAGGACAATTCATCAGTGTGATGCCCGACCCGCCAAGACCAATTAAGAACGAGTACCCGACGGGCGACGAGCCCGTGAGGATGCAACCGAAACGGTCGGGCGGGAAAGCCAAAGCTGGAAGTGGAGCAGCATGAAATATGTAGCGGCAGCTCAAGTTGATGGCAGGGCAAGCCAAGGAAAGTCTCGGCATGGTGTATGAGAAACAATACCGAGAGGCTCCGCCAACCAGGATAGCATGAAAGGCCAATATAGCGGAACCGGGTTTCGATGGCCATCGTTAATTGAAAGTGGGTTTGCCCACAATCTCGGAAGCCAACGTTCCTGGATATCCACGAAGGGAAGGGCGCGGCTCTTCATGCGGGGAACATGGCGAGGACAGGGGTAGCAGCTCGGCCGGGCCAACCGACCTTTTTGCGGAAGAGGGTTGCGATGTTCCGGGGAACCGTTACATTCTTGAGGGGGAGAACTGGCCGTCATCACCCAAGGCTGCCAGGGTGTCAAAATAACCCAAGTCACGGGCTCTTGCAGCCAGCGGCGTGGTGGCATCCGCGGGAGACGAATGCAGGCGGGAGAAAAATCAGGACCCAGATCCGAACCGATCGCATTATCGGGACGGTATCCCTTGTGCGATGACCACGACCCTCCGCGGTTTTGTGCAGAGCTCAAAGCCCCTGCTACTAAGGCTGGGAGGCATCATGATGATGCTCGGGCTTGCCAACCGATGCTCTCGCACCGAACCATGACTCCACGAGCTGGCCGGGACCTCGGTCCAGTTGTCCGATCCCCTATTCCTTTGGCTTCCATACCAGTTCTTAGCAGCTCTGTTGTGGACTACTGATATATAGAGACAACGATTCCGCCTTTTGGGGTCCGTCCCTCAAGCAGCACCAAGATTCAGTCATTCACTTGTTGAAGACAGCTTGTACAGCGGCTTCGATCAGTACCACAATGACCAAGAAGCTCCTCCTCACCGCCGCCCTTGCGGTGGCCTCTCTGGCAGCGCCTATCGTTGAGGAGCGCCAGAATTGCGGTTCGGTTTGGTAAGAGCACACGGCAAGTCTATATACAAACACACGAAGCTGACACAAGGGGCATTCAGGAGTCAATGCGGCGGCAATGGCTGGTCTGGCGCCACTTGCTGTGCGTCTGGAAGCACTTGTGTCGCCCAAAACCCCTGGTACTCCCAGTGCTTGCCGAATAGCCAGGTGACCACCACCGCAGTCACCTCCTCCCGCTCCACTACCTCTTCCACAAGGACTTCCAGCACCAGCATCAGGAGCACCAGCACCAGCAGCGGTACCAGCACTTTAACTAGTTCAACTTCATCCACTTCGGTGAGAACTACATCGACCACCACGGCCCCTGGAGGCGGCGCAACAACCACCGCCAGCTACACCGGGAACCCGTTCCAGGGAGTCCAGATGTGGCCCAACAGCTACTACGCTTCCGAGGTCCACACACTCGCCATTCCCAGCCTGACAGGCTCAATGGTAGCCAAGGCTTCTGCCGTCGCCAAGGTTCCGAGCTTCCAGTGGCTCGACAGGAACGTCACGGTCGACACCCTCTTCTCGGGGACTCTGGCAGACATCCGGGCCGCCAACAAGGCTGGCGCCAACCCTCCGTATGCCGGCATCTTTGTCGTCTACGATCTGCCCGACCGTGACTGCGCCGCCGCGGCCTCCAACGGCGAATGGGCAATTGCGAACGGCGGCGCAGCCAACTACAGGGGTTACATTGACCGGATCCGTCAACTCATCCAGCAGTACTCGGACATCCGCATTCTGCTGGTCATTGAGCCCGACTCGCTCGCCAACATGGTGACCAACATGGGCGTCGCCAAGTGCAGCAACGCGGCAGCGACGTACAAGGAGCTGACCAAGTACGCCATTCAGCAGCTGAACCTGCCCAACGTGGCCATGTACCTCGACGCCGGCCACGCGGGGTGGCTCGGCTGGCCCGCCAACCTGCAGCCCGCCGTGGACATGTTTGCCACTCTCTACAAGGACGCGGGCAAGCCGGCAGCTGTCCGCGGTTTGGCTACCAACGTTGCCAACTACAACGCCTGGAACATCTCGTCGCCGCCGTCCTACACCTCGCCCAACCCCAACTACGACGAGATCCACTACGTCCAGGCCATGAGCCCGCTTCTGAACGCGGCCGGTTTCAACGCCCACTTCATCACCGACACTGGCCGTTCGGGCAAGCAGCCTACCGGTACGTACTATCTACCTGCTTAATCTCACGGTTTCCTCTCTTCGACACACAATGATCTCAAAGCTAACCCATCATGCTCCGCAGGCCAACTCCAATGGGGCGACTGGTGCAACGTGGTGGGCACCGGTTTCGGCATGCGGCCGACGGCCAACACGGGGCTGGAGGTCGAGGACGCGTTTGTGTGGGTCAAGCCCGGCGGCGAGTCGGACGGCACGAGTAACACCAGCGCGGCGCGCTACGACTACCACTGCGGGCTCGAGGACGCGCTCAAGCCGGCGCCCGAGGCCGGCCAGTGGTTCCAGGCCTACTTTGAGCAGCTGCTGACCAACGCCAACCCGCCTTTCTAAGGGCGTGATGGATGTATGGGATAGGGGGTTGGATATTTGAAGTCGTCCAAAGAAATATGATTTGAACCAATTCATGTACATAGTTTATATCCTTACTCTCTCCGAAAGCCTCAGCAGGGCTTGGGGGACGTACATACATACCGTACATATAGACACACAGGGTACATTTATTTCCCTTCCCATGCGTCATCGCATGCCGTTCCGTCCGTCTCCAACCGACCTTGCCTTACTACCTTCCCTCAAAGCTACCCACATCTCCCTCATAATTAGAAATTATCCAGCTTAGCAGCCCAGATAATCCCCCGCCGAAGCTGCTCGGTAAACCACTCATCCTCATACGCCTCATCAAAATGCCCCAGCGCGGTATAAAACACCCTCCCACCCTCAAACTCATGGCACCACGTGATGGGATGATCCTCGCCATGCTCCCCCCCAGAATACGTCCCTTCATCCACCGTGAGAAGCACATGCAACCCCGGCTGCGTCCCCCTTGGATGACACGTAAAATTGTACCACTCATCCATCCACATCCTCTTCCCCTCCTTCAACTGCACGTCCATACCCTCACCACCCTCACCATCCTCACCAGTAGTAGCCTGAGTAGTACCAGCGGAGGTGATGTAATGCCCCTGATCCACAACCCTCACCCTGGCCCGCTGCGGCTCCGGATGATTCGCAAACACCCCTCCAATCATCTTGCCATACCACTCCCATCCCCGCATGGCAAAACTCGCACAATGCACTCCCACCACCCCGCCGCCGGACCGGACAAATTGCTGGAGTGCGTCCAGTTGGGTGGGGTCGGGGAGCATGTCGTCGCCGGAGCATTGCAGGAGGACGATTACGCGGTAGGTGGATAGGGTGGAGGGGGTGAAGACGGTGGGGTCTTCGGTTGCGTCGGCTGTGAATTGGAATTCATGCGGTGAGGATAAGGATGGGGAGGAGGAGAGGGAACTTGAAGCGAGGCGCTGGATGCAGCGGATGCCGGCTGGGATGGAGGCGTGGCGGTAGGCGGTTGTGCGGGTGAAGATGAGGATTTTGAAGGGTGGCATTTTGTTCATGGATGAATTGTTGACAGGGCAGGAATATGAAAGGTGGTTGATGCCGGTTGTCAGTGAGTTTGCATCCGGGTGACGTCTTGGGGAGCAAGTGAAGTATAAGTACACATCAACGGTTAGTTGTTGTAGTTAAGTTGAGCATTCCAAGGTTTTCTTATCAGGACCAGATGCGGGGTTATACTGCTAATAGCCTAATAGGCAGTAGTACTAGTATTCTACTAGCAGTCTTTAGCGTTGTGAGAGGCGATGCTATCTAAGTTGTTTGCTGCTCAATGGTTACATGTATCCACTGCGCGTGTTAGAACCTCAAGTTTCAGTATATTGTACCGCCGTTGTCGCTCTGTGACCTACCTCACTCTGGGGGGGTCAGGAGGACTGCATGTGGGTTGTCCTCTAGAGCTCACGCTCATATGGATTCAACATTGGCTTCCTCTATTGAAAATACTCGAGTTGAGATTGGAGATCGAGTATGATTCGTGAGAAGACTGGCTCGAAAAGAAAGGTTTGAAAATCGTCAGCTCGGAAGTACAAAAGCAGGTATGACAGCGTTGAGCAATCTTGATTCACCAACACAGCCTCCGTACCCGAGCACATTCGATATTCGGTGTTTTTCTTCAGTATCTCGTCAGGATAACCATACCCCAAATCACTAAACTCTGGCATGCGCCCAGCCATGTAACCAACCCAGCTCATTCAAGCCCACCAACATCAATCTCAAAGTCCCCCGTCAGCGCCAGATCAACCTCCACCTCGGTACTCTCCACATCGTCCTCCCCATCCCGTTTCCCACGGCCACGGCCCGCCCCAATGACAGTGACCTTCGTAATCCTCACATCCGTCTTGAACCCAAACCTCCCCTTGGCCGTCAACCTGCCCCTTGCATACCTAAACTCCACACTAGTCGTCCCCTGCGTTTGCTCAATACTCTCCCCATCATCAATATACAACTGCCCCGTCGCAGTCCCGTCCCTTCCCACCGGGACCAGCAGCTCAAAGTTCTGCTTCCTCAACTCAGCCGTCGTCATGGCCGACTTCACTCTAACCGGGACGATAACACCCCCGCGAAGGAACAGCGGAATATCCGTCAGAGTCTGGTTATCCACCCTCACAGGCCTTCCCCTGCCCTGAATACGCTTGTGCGTGTACCAGTCATAAAACACGTCTTCCGGCAAATACACATCAACGCTCGTCGCGCCCTCGTGCGTGACGGGCGCCACAAGCAGGCCAGGGCCAAAGAAGTACTGCAGGTCAAGGCCAAAAGTATTCGCATCGTCCGGGTAGAGATAAAACATGGGGTTGACCAGCGGCGTGCCGTCGCGCGTCTGCTGGTACATGGCCGTGTAAATGTAATCCAGTAGACGATAGCGCAGGTCAATGGCCTTGCGCGCGGCCTCGGCGACCATGGGCCACCGGTAAAACTCCTGCGAGATGGAGGGGGGGTACTCGTTGTGGTTGCGGTAGAACGGGGCGAACGCGCCGAGCATGGCCCAGCGGGCGCACAGCGGTTCCGTCGTGGACCCGCCAAAGCCACAGGCGTCGGCGCCTACCATGGGCACCTGGTAGATGGCGGCAAAGGCCATCATGCCGCGGATCGCCCAGCGGTAGTGGTCCCACGTGGAAAGGTTGTCGCCAAGCCACTTCCCCACAGCGGTACCGGCCCCTGCAAAGGTGGAGCGTGTAATGATGAGCGGACGCAGACCGGGCCGCCGGCTTAGCATGGCCTGACGGGACTGGATCGACATCACTGTTGGGGGTAGTCACGTCAGCAAGGGTCAGCTCGCGCAGGTACAATGCAAGATACACATACTGGATCCGTAGAGATTGTGCACGTCGTACTCGGCCAGGCCGTTCTGATGGATGACGTCGGTGTTGACCGTCTTGTTAGAAATGCCGCCTTGCTCTGCGTTCCACGAGTCCTGGTACGCTGCCTTGTTGTGGATTGCATACTTGGGGAAAAGGAGGTCCCGACCGGGAAGCCCCATCCACTTGCCCTCCGCCGCGCGGGCATCGAGGGCGGCAGGCACATGCTCGATGGCCAGGTCCCGAGCCACTGGTGCGCTGATGGCCAAGACGCCTTCGCTCCGTTTGCAGTCAGACCCCTCCGGCTGGAACTCACACGGCCACCCGGGAAGGGGGCGCGGAGCGTGGCTTCGAACGGCCGGCGGGGTGGGCGGGAAGCCGATAGCCGACCTGAAAGGGTCGTCGCAGGGGAAGTAGCAGGGGAAGTTGGACGGCTCATTCATATCGATCCAGAGGCCGTCGATGTCGACACCGGCATCCCTCGAGAAGAACAGGGCAAACTCATTGTTCCAGTACCTGGAAATGTTCGCCGAGAACCAGTCAGGAAACACCGAGACACCGGGCCAAACAACGCCTAGCCATTCGGAGCCGTTGCTGCGTTTGAGGAAGATGTTATCCTCCACGCCCCGAATATAGGGGGTGTAATCGGCGTAGGCCACAGCCGGGTCCACCATGACGATGTAGTGCTGCTGATTCGCGTGCAAATGGTCCACGATGCCGCGCATCAGGGACATGGGAAACCGTTCGGGGTCGTTGGAGAACACCTGTCTCGGTATCAGCAGAGGCCCACGGCGGAATCTGGGTATAACGGCTGCATACCCGCCTGCGGTCCATGTAGTCAATGTCAGTCCACATTGTCTCTAGCGGGATCCGCGCACTGCTATAATTGTACACCACCTCGGCCACCTCAAAGGCATCCCGGTAGCCGTACCGGCATTGGTGGAAGCCAAAGCCCCAGTAAGGCATCATGGCTGGCAGTCCAACGATTTGGGCGTACTGCTGCGAAACCTCGATGGGACTGGGGCCGGCGACAAAGTAAAAATCCAAGACGCCGCCTAACGTATTATACTCCAGGTACTGGCCGGACTGGCCTTCACGGTCGATCTTGATGTCCATGCCGTTAGAGTTGAGCAAGAATACGCCATGGGTGCCGCTTTTGCGGTGTTCAAAGAACACGGGGTGGTTTCCATAGAGGTTTGCGCCGTTGGGTGTACCAAAGGCGTCCTGCGACCAGAGGGTTCGGATATAGCTGGTGGTGTTAAGCCTGAACGGATCCGAGTGCTCGCCAAGTCCGTAGAGGTTGGGATTATTGGGAAGCTTGGTTCTCAGGCGGAGGTACTGGGACTGGAAAACAAGCGGCGCCGCAGACGTATCGAAAAGCACCTCGCCGGTCCTGGCACGTGAGACGGTGAAGGAGAAAGGGCTGGTCTTGTAGTTGAAGACCAAGGCCGATCTTCTCGCGTTGGCTCCAGTGCTCTTTGGCCGGGGAAAGACAGACTCCGGGACCTGATAGACAAGATCCTCAGCGTCCTGGATCTTTACATGGAGGCGGTTCTCTGCGCATCATGCCATGGTTAGCGTTGCTGAGCAGTACCTCGGATGCTTTCATCATTCCTACACGGCACTCACCGGTTTCATAAGTGACCTCGAGGCGGAGTTTCTCCAGATCGGTCCCGTATGTGTTGCAAGGAGGGCCGGCGAGCTTCAGATCTGCCGTGAGGCCTGTCGCACTGGTCTTTACATTCGAGGCTTTGTACCCTGAACAGCGATTCAGGTCTGACCGGGGCAGCAGCGCAGCGGAGCAGACTCTGGCCAGCAGCCCAAAGCCAACGAGACTCGAGCCGAGCATGTTGTCTCAGCGGGCGGCCGCACACAAGTTTGTTCGAGGGAGTGGCCTGGGCGTTGGTCGCTTGCTACCAGCCCAGCACCAAGCAGAGGCGGGATGAGGCGGGTATTAAATCCAGGGCAAGGAACGTTCCATTATTAACATAGCGGCGAACCGGACCCGTTTGTTTTCCATGGCCCTAAATAAAGGCAACCGGCCTGGATGTAGTCGCGCAGCTAGCCATCCTCGCCATCCTCCCTTGTAACCTGGTAACCTGGTTACCTGGTTGGAATCTGGAAGGTACCCTAACGTACCTGCATCAGTGCAACGCAGCCATATTGACCCGTGACAATGCTGGTGCCCGCGTCGCTCACCCTAGTGTAGGTATTCTCGTTTCCCCATGGCGATCCAGGATGCGTCCCGTTGTTCTTCCCCGCAGTCGATCATCCGAGATGGCGCCGATCACTTGCAGGCTCCAAATGGAAATGGAACGACAGGCCTGCTAGGGCAGCAAAAGCCCCGCATATCTTTCCATGTCAGACCTGATACCAAACGGCAGAAAGCAGGCCCGCTGATGATGCTTAAGGAGAGAAAAGCCCGTTCATCGAAGCATTGGACCGAGCACGATGGAGCGGTTGAATCTTGGCAACGGGTACCACTGCAACTTCCCCGCGGGGTCGAAGCCCACTTAGCGGAGTCCATGCCTTGGCCAGCGATTGATGAATCAACAATTTCAACCGAGGAACTTGAAGCAAAGCACCTTCCCAATTCCATCTCAGCCTTCCATCGCCTTTTAATTTATATACACTAGCGTACAATCGTTTCTCTGTAGCGATGTAGACTGCATAAGCTTCTTCGCACTCGGCTTCTTCTTTAGACTCTTTTTCACCGTACTGAGTAATCAAACCTCCAACCTCCAACGTAACGCCAGCTGTGGGCCCAGCCATGAAATGTCACGCGCTGCGGTGAAAGGGCCGAATTCCATCCATCGTTCAATACGAGCGGAGAACCTTGAAGCCCGCCGGGTCGGTACCATTCACATCCGATCCGAGTCGGCCCGGCTCCACTGTGCTTCGGCGGCCGAGGCCGAGGGCCACCGATGGGTGACTGGCCAAGCAGTAGTAACGGTCCCGCTGAATGCGGCCACTTCTGTGTTGGTATAAGTGCCGTGGCATGGACGACAATCTTACAAATCCTCACTTTCCGATGCGATGCGATGAAAGAGCCCCTGTCGTTTTCAGGTCCGCGAGAAAACAGGTACTTGCACCACATCAGGACGACACCAAACCGTTCGAAGGACGCTCAAATTCGATTGATACCTGCTTACCTGCCTATCCAATATCCAAAGCCCATGCAAGACAAACGCAAAACCAACACCTTTCCCCCAAGACCATATGCAAAAACGGTCAGCCAAACCTCCCGTCCCAACCGAATCAGCAAGGTGTCGTCGTCAAGTCGTGTGTATATATATAACCCCCATCCTAGAACGCCAGCTTTTCCATAACGTATACCTTGGTAAAGCCATGCTCATCCCTGGGAGCAAAACAAATCCGGCCGACAACCGACAACACCAGCAGACGCCAGTCGTCTCCTTCTTCACCGGCAACATCACTCGTCCTTGATAGGCATATCAATCCACATCCATCCCCTCACCCGCCGATACCTGCACCGGCACAGCAACCGTGATAGACGTGTTGGTAGACGGGTCCTCATCCTCCTCCAACTTCCCACCGTCTTCCACGAGGAACTTACTATTGCCATCACCGCCACCACTTCCACCAGAACCACCACTACCGTTCACTTCTCTCCCACTTCCCCTCTCCTCTCCTCCCCCGCCCGACCCATTCCCATTCGCTCCTCCAACAAGCCTATACTCCCCATCATCCTGTCGTTCAATAATCCCCTCCTCCAGCGCCCATTTCGCCAGCAACCTATCCACCCCCATCCGCTGCGCCTCGCCCTTCTCCATATGCCTGCCCACATGCTCAGTCCACTCATCCCACGAACCAGGACCCTCAAAAACACTTTGACAATCCGGCTTTGGACAAGCCGAGCGCTGCGGGGGCTGGCGTCTAACCACCAAACACTGCGTCTGCATCTCCTTTACGTGCAGCTCCCAGTCGGCCTGGAGTTTGCTGCCTTCCCCCTTATTAAGAGCCTTTTTGATGGCGAAAGGCGCGTGCATGCGGCGGAGGTGCTGAGTGAACAGATCCTTGCGGTTGAACTCGTTGCCCTTACCGCCGTCGGCCGTGCTGGTCTGCGGGCAAGACGAGCACCGGTAGTACTGCAGACACAAATGCTGTGAGGAGATGTGCCGCTTCCATTCATTTTTGGATCCGAACGTGCTCGTGCAACCCGCAAACAAAAAGGCGCAGGGAAACGGCCTCGTGTGCGCCGCCGCGATGTGCTTGCGGAGCGAGGATGAGTCTTTGAAGGGCGCGTGGCTGCAATGGTTGCAGCGGACTTCTTGCTTGGGAGTTTGCTTCTGCAGCGGCCTCCTGGCCTTGGGCTTGGCAGAGGGCGTGCCGTATTCTGCACCGTACAAACTCCCATCCATGCCCGGCTCCGCGGCTTCGAGCGGAGAACCAGGATCACCGGCGTGCCTGACAGCAATGCTGTCTCCCACCCGCGTTGTCTGACGGTCCAGCGGTGCCGGCGTGTCATCACTCATGTGGCGGACATGGCTCAGCGCCTTGAGCTGTTCTGCTGCCTCCTGCATCTCTGCCGAATCCTCAACCTCATGCTTGGCTCCTGCGGCGGGCGTTTCAACCGGGCTTTCTCGGGATACGCTGGCGGGCACGGCGGACACAGACGTGTGAGGTTGATGGCTTCCGTGCCTCGCCGGCGTTTCGTTTCGAATATAAGTGCAGTGGTCGGCGTGCTCACGCCGAGCCATCAACGGGCTTCCCTTGTTTTCGGCGTCTTTGACCGCCAGAGTTGAACCATTGGCGGCCGAGCTGACGAGCCGCTGGTAGAGGTGAATCATGTTGTGGGAGCTGATATACCCAAGAAAGCAGCAGACCTTGTCATGCTGCACCACGTTCCAAACGTGGTGGGGCATGGAGATGAGAAGCATGGTGGGAGGCCCTAGAAACATGCCCTCAACCGTGATTTTGGATGCTGCAGGCGGCGTATTGTGGAGCCATTGATGGAAGAAAGCCATGTCAGGACTGGCGTCGCCAACGAACGTTGTACATACCAGCACCCTCGGTTCGTCCAGAGTCAAATCGGTGATCTCTTCCGGCCTAAGCGACTGATCCTCGGTGCCCGACCTCCACGCACCCTGCGCATCCACATCGGCCGACTGAGGCGGCGACTGGAGCTGAGCAGCCCTCGGGTCCAAAGGAACCAGGATTATGCCCTGGCCTTTCGCAGGCGTGAGGGTGAAAAAAGCAGGCGATCTCTCCGGCGGCGGGGTGGGCTTGACAGCCCCATTGGATAATCTGGCCAATGCCTGGGCAGTGTCCTGCTGCCTCTGTTGCCGGAGATCGTCGTACAGCCTCTGGACGCTAAAGGGACGGCCCGACGTGCTCAGCTTATGGAGCGTGTCGGCCAAGGAGGCAGTGAAAGAGCGGGGCCCAGGATCGAATTGGGTCTGCTCGGGGGTATAGGCAGCGATGGCTTGCTTCGCGCCGTGGCTGCCGGCCAGGGGCGCATCGCGGACGGCACACGAGTCAACCAGGAGCAGGATTTCGGACTGCGCATCCTCAAACAGGCAGCGGACGCCATCCCACTTCAGCTTGGCCGCATCCTCCCGCGTGTTGCTTGGGGCACGAGGTCAGCACGAGCGGGCGAGTCGCAGGAACAGCATTGTCTACCCACCAAGCCCAGTACAGCTGGTTATCAGGCCCTACATAGCCGTGGCCAGCATAGTATATGATCAGGAGGTGGTCCGGGCGCGCATTCTCCAGGAAGGACGCCATCTGGACGCCAAGCTTGATACTGGGGTTCGGCACAGTAGGGATGGCCCATTTGTCCGTGTGGTAGTGGTAGCGATCCCGGAACACCCTCTCAAGAGCCACGAGGTCCTGCTCCACCGACGTGTCCTCCTCCCACCGTAACATGAGCACCGATACGCTGGTGTGTTTTGGCTTCAGCGTTTGCTGCTGGATGTGTATGGCGGCATCCTGGAGATGGCGGGCAAATGCCTCGAACTCGTCGCGCTCTGGCAGACGCGCAATTGTCTCGGGAGGCGCAAAGTGCTGCGGTGGTACCTAGGGGGTCTTGTCAGTCCCCTGGAAGGAAGCGGTGACGGCAACGGCCCGGACCGGTCCTGTCCGAGAATATACCAACCTGATCCTGGGGGAAGCTATGTGCCGGAGGAGGCTGAGCTTGAGTCTGTGGTGTCGGCGGAAGAGACGGCAAGGCCGGAGGATCGGGGACTTTCGGGGCCAGCCTCCTCCGTTTGGAAGCAGGCTCCATGGTATCGAAGGGGGGAAGGAATTTCGCAACAAAACGGGCGGGGCGGGAGGAGCTAAGGTGAGCTGGCCTAACCTCGGACTACTTGGAGCAGGAAAAAGGAGCGATGGGAAGGGGTCCCGGGGAGCTGCAGCGGTTACGCAGCGAATGCCCCTATATCGTCTATATCGTGGGAGAGGATGTCCAGGAGGGCCAAAAAAACACCTAAAACAAGCAAGGGAAGCCGAATTGACAGCGATAACGGCGAAAAGGAAACACAGTAGGGTAGGGCAACCTGAAAGGCGCACAGTTTGTGGGGGGGGTGGAAGGCGGGACAGCGCAAGAGAGAGGCACCGGACTTGCAGCAGTAAGGCTGTGCGCGGTGAACTGGAAAGAACCACTCGGCTCAGATTTAGCCTTGTGGGAGGCGAATGCAGCTGCCGGATTGGCTGCAGCCGACGACTCGGCTTCGCAACAGGATGGAGCGACGAGAGGGGGAGCGGGGCTGACTTTCGGCCTCGTGTCCACTCAGAGCCTGCCAAACGGCAATGCACGAGCCAAGTGTGATTAATTGCCTTAATTTGGCGGTTTACTTGGCTCGGCTGGCCAGGGATGGTGGGTGCGTGCACTCATGGCGCTGCACTGCACTGCTGTGGGTATCATTAGCGGCCTGTAGTGTAGACACCGTTCCAGGTCCACACCGCTCCACTTTCGCAAGGTCGGGTGCTTAGGGCTGCGGTGAGCTGAGCTCTTTTTCCCCTCTTGTGGGCTGCTTCATCTTCGGTCACCTCCAAGAGCAACAAAACCTCGTTGGACATGCTTATGAACTTTCAGCTTCCATTTTATGGAAAACCTATGGAAAGTACCCGTGCAACACAACACAACCCCTCTCGCAGCGCAGATTGCCATAAAGCTTGAATTGCGAATTGCGAATTGCGAATTTCGGATTGCGTCTTGTCGCCTCTGCCGCCGCCGACATGCTCTGACAAAGCTGCCGCATCCCTCTTCCATTGCGAGACAGCTGCAGCACCATGGTTCCATTTCACCCCGTCCCCGCTCCATCTCTCTCCCCCCAGTCTCGACTCCCGACTGCCCGATCAAGGCTTGCCCGCATCGAAACGTTGAACCAAGGGATGGATGGAATGAGATCGGTCTCTTGCAGTCTTCCATTGCTAGCTCACACTCACTTACCTCACCTTGAACCCAAAAGTTTGCCCATGCTGAGGTGCCCATGCATGCGTCTCTGCCCAACCTCTCTGATGCTATAGCTCGGCACAGCCGTAGCTTCGTTGCTTGTCTCGGCCCTCTCTAATCCGCCAGTTACCCACGAAGAATGAAGGCACGAATCAGGCCAGGAACTGGCCATGCACGACGAGGCCCAGGATCGACCAGAGCTGCACGAGTGCGGCCTTTGGGACTTTTCATTGGAGAGCGTCAGCCTTTCCACAGCCAGGTGCAGCTTGTTTGATTGGGCGCATCGCCGCCAATTCACCAGTCTTATCCAGACAAGCTCCGCCCTCAACAAGGCGTGGGCAGAGAGCTTACCACAACATGTTGTAGGTAAGGCAAGGGAAGGTAGGTAAGGTATCCGGATGTAGGTGGTAGGTGGACGGTTAGCCAGCCACCTCGACCTCGGGTACCTTCGTATTATACCTGACCCCGCTACATCTCCTGGTTTATTCAGTCTTGGACCAGCACTGCTGCTGCATCTCAACTGCTGCCAGCCACCTGTTCTGTTTCTGCGTTCGTGTTGCTCCGGGCTCGCACTCCATTCCTTCCCATTCGCTCTTGATGCAGGGTCGGGTCTCGGCACACACACACCACAAAAGCACGCGCGGGCAAGGCATGCACCCGCTTCCTGGGGTTCGATGTGTGGTCGGAAGCCGGGCTTCTCTCTCATGCGGTTTTCTCCCGGATGCGTCACCGACGGGACTTTGTTGAACCGGGTTGGTTGAATGGTGAGTTCTCACGGCCCTGTTCTGTCGGCGACTACATATCTGCAAATTTGTCTACTACTACTACTACTTGCCAGTCACATGGACAGCAATGGCTGCAAGCGCTTCTCAATGGGCAGTCGTGGCACTGGCGGCGCCGCGGGCATTTACCCATATCCAGTGGGCAAAAAAGATGTGACTATCAGCCGTGCTTTCTGAGGCGAGACGTGGTGCACCCGGCCATGAAGCCGAGCACTGGACGGACCTGAACCCCTGACCAAGGTCTCACGTTATGGCCTGCATGTTTTCCAGGATCAAGCCCAGTTGTTGTCCAAAAAGCGGCGCTGTCTTATTCTGTTTTGTACTCCGTACATACTGTGCTCTTATTCCCTCGCAGCCCCTGCTATTGGTGCTTATTTTTCGGGTTTCTAGTCTTCTCGTTACGTGGTTTGACCTTCCCGGCTGCTCAAACTGACGAAACCCCCACCCCAGTTTGCCCGCCAGATAGACCAGACTCTGCCTGCTGGCGAGGTGATGCGTTTTAGTACACACGGCGTGGTGCCAGCCGGCCGGTGTTGACCACGGTGCTGTCCAATGAATGGATTATACCGCAGACCGCCTCCTACCAGCCCCTTACCCACTCATGGCCGGAATCTACCCAAGTCAAGCTCCCACGCACGCTTGAGCCGCCTCAAAGTTTATCACTCGGTCCGAGCAGTTTTTATGCTTGAGGTTGGCAGCACAGCGAGCATCTCGAGAGGTCTGGCGGGCGGATCTTCGGGTCCGGAACAGGGTGTCCTGCGTTAATACCAGAGGGACCCTACGGATGATCCGATGACCGGTCATCCTTCAAGGCAGCCGTCGCGCGGCGGAGCGTACCAGCACCGGCAGCGGGACGGCCCGTTACATCAAGAGGCCCGACACCGGATGCCGTTAGCCCCGTGTTGCCACCAACGGGAGGGCAAACCGTTCCGGCCCCGAATTCGCCAAGGATGAACACCGGACCGTCTACCATCTCCCGAGTCCCAGAGGAGCTTTACTCGGGTGTATGCCATGCTAAGGTTCCTGGAAGAAGCGAACTGCGGCTGCTCACGGAGGCGTCCTCCCTCTCCTTACTCGGCTGACAAGCTGTTCCCGGCGCAAGGGTATATCCACCAAATTGTCGTCTTAAGCCATCGCTTAGCGAGGTGAGAGAGAAAGGAACAACTCACAACTACGCAAAGCGTGTCGGTGGTTTCCGAACATACCATTCCAGCGCTGAAGGCTGTGCCATGGCAGCCACACAAGTCTCTAGCAAGGCCGCGCAGACTAGGGGCGACTGTAGACACTGCGCTCGTGGGTATATCTGGTCTTCAGATTTGTGGAATGGTGGTGCTATCAATGTTGAACGGCGGAGCAGGACCCTCTAGGGGACTGATGTTAGACTTAGACAACCCGGGTTGGCCTCCCCGCCTTCCCTTCCCCGGTGACCTGGACAGGTTATTGTACGTTTCTACTCTCTCTGTTTCTTTCCCCCTATAAGTCCCCTAAGCCCAAGAGTGAATACTTCCATTGCCAAATTGCCCCCTGATAAATAGAGCTCCGCAAGCAGCCTCATGCAATGGCACGAAGGTGATAACGAAGGCCATGGAGAAGTTAGATCAGCCTTGTGGCTTCTTGTCCTACAAGGCCACGTGGTAAGTAAGGAGGAAAGATAGTCCCAGTGAACTATATTACTCTAGATATCAAGCCCGTCGCTCACGCGGGACGCGCTGCCGAAGCCCTCGTTCACGGATACACTCATATTTCCAGGACGTCTGCACAGCCCGTGAAAACGCCCTTTCATCCAGTGACAACCGGGAGCGGCAGTTACCCGGTACTTAATTACTAGCTTAAGATCTGACGCACTGTTGGGTCATGCACACCTGGTGCTCGCTCCTCTGGCCCATATTGGCCCCTTGCTTGTAGCCCCCGTCGTGTATATGTAGTAGGTATATAACACACCAAATTCTGACAAGTCATTCGAATGCACGCTCTCAAGATGCTCCTTCCCCTGCTTCCATCCCAGCCACCGTGGCATATTGCGTGTTTTGAAAGGGTATAAGACAAAAACCAAACAGACTCATCTTCCGTGTAACCAGTTGCCAGGCACGGCATTAACCATCCCATCCCAATTCAAGTTGCCTTCTACGCCTTTCTCCGCCAGGAGGGAGGAGCTCGTTCGTTCATCGCGTCACCGTTGTTCCTCACCAAATCCTCTCCTCACAGGACGCGATTCCCGCCCCTGAAGTTCCTCAGCAGCAGCCGCAGCTTGCGCCTGAACGTGCATCCTCACCTCGGACGCCATCATCTCAGAAGACGACGACGACGACGACGACGACGACGATGACGATATACCTCCCGCTCTCCCAGTTCCAGTTGTCATTGTCACCCCACGACTCTGCTCCTCCGCCACACGCACACCAACACCACTACCAGTCCCTGTCCCAGCCTGAGTCTCCCCCACAGCCAACCACCTCTGCAGCTCCAACATCGCCCGCATAACCCGTGACGCAATCTCCCAGTTATCCATCCCAATCTGCAACAGACTGATATTCATCATGCCCCTCACAAACCGGTCATGCTGTTCCTGCTGGATCCCACCTCCGGCGCCCGCACTCGCACCCGCACTCACACCCGTACTCGCACTACCATGCTGTGATTGTGAAGAAGTCTCGTCCAGCGCACCCCCGCCGGAAAAGGACACGATAGGCAGCAGAATCCAGTTGAAGACACCCAAAAGGCTGCGCCAGGTGGCCAGCGGCACGCGCCACGTCGTGGTCCACAGCCGGCGGGCCTCGGCGGGGGTGACCACACGGCTGAAGGGGCGGCGGGATGTGATGGTTCGGCTGTAGAGCAGGGCTGCGAGGCGGACGGATTGGTAGACGTAATCTGCCGGGGCGGTTACCGGAGGTGGGGGGGATGGTTGGGGAGGGGAATCATGATGGGGATGTGGTGTGGAGTGTAATGGATGGGGATGGGAGTGGGAATGGGAATGGGAATGTGAGTGTGGAGGGGCCGGGGACGGGGACGGTTCGTTGCTTGGGAGTAGTACAGGTACAGGTACAGATAGAGGTCCTGGTACTGGTACTAGTACTTGTACACTGCCGGGAGCAGGGGATTGTTCGTTTACTGGGATATTAGTGCCGGGACGACCCCGTGAGCGCCGGCGTCTGTCGTACGCGGGCTGAGATGCTTCCGGAGAGAGCCTTGTCTGGGTGAACGAGCCTTGGCTGGCACGGTTCAAGTTGGTCTGATTCCCCTGCGAGCGGCCGCGATCTTCCCCACCGCCACCACCACGCGGGCCCATTTCCGGCGTGGCTCGCTCAACCTTGACCCCGCCGTCAAAAGTGGTGGAGCTCGTCGTCGTAGTCGGGGCAGGCGATGGCGGTGCGGCGGGGGAGTCTGCGGGCAGACGGGAGATGCGCTCGTAGATCCAGGTTGCCGTCTCGCGGACCTTCTGCAGCTCCTTGGCCGACGGGGACGGCTTCTTCTCGCCGGGCAGCAAGGCGAGCACGGCAGCTATGAGAAACCGCATGTCGTCGAGGATGGCCGTCACGGCCGGGTGCATGTTGAGCGCGTCGTCGCACGACGAAAAGGGCACCAGCGTCGAGATGAAGGGCGTGTTCAGCGCCAGACGCAGGGGCAAGAGTTGTGACGTCTCTCCCCGGAACTCGAATTCACTGCCGCCTTGTAAATATGGGGATACTTCGAAGCACAGGGCGATGGCGACGTCGGTTCTGATACGTCCCCGGGTTGGTCAGTCCATTGCGCTCAATACTTGCGAAGGAATACCATAGTAACGGCTCACGTTATGGCAAGCTTGCTGATCAGACCATGCAGCCCGAGCGTGCGGAAGCCGCCTCGGAATCGGATCATGTCTCGCAGACCGCGGAGATGGGCCCGCAAATCGTCGGTGTTTCCCCAGTGCCTAGAGGTAGGTGAAGTACGCTGCTGTCAGTGCTCTTGCTTTCACACTAAGCGGGCACTGCCCAAGAATTGACAAGCATCAAAACACGCACCACTCGTCCACAATCAGCTGGACCACGCCGGCAATCACCTCGTCGCTCGTCAAGTGCTGCGACCGGATATGCTCGTTCAAGAGCTTGATGACATGGCCCTTGTGCGCCATGGCCACCGTCCTCTGCACATGGCCCGTGTCGATCAGGAAACATGCGGCCGTATAGATGGCCACGTGCACCAGGAGCTGCGAGTGGACGCAGTAGGGGACGTAGTGTTTGATGTACGGGTTCGATGCGTCTGGGTTCCCGTCCAGAGAGGCCTTGAATTGGGATATGAGCTTGACGTCTGCATAGTAACAAACAAGTAGTTAGCAACGCCTATCAGGGGAAATGGTCCGAACGAGAACAAGTTACGGAAAAGAGACGTGCAGCCTGGCGTACAGATTGACAGCAGCTCGGAGTTACGCATGGCATGATTTTGCGCTCCTGCTAGATGGATGAGCCCCTGAGTGGGATCGGCGGCCGACCAGAAGATGTTATTGTTGTTGTTGCTGCTGCTGCTACTGCTAGAAGTAAATCCCCTAGCCACCGGCCAGGAGTTGTTTTCAGGATTCCAACTGCTTGTATTAGTAGTATCCCAATGCCTAGACCCTGACCGGTGGGCGCGAAGGATCCGCACAGCAGCATGGACCTCGTTCGAATGCTGCGTACAGTCGTCCTCGCAGGCCGTCACCAGCCAATAAAGGGTGCCCGGTTCGGTGCTCCAGGCATACTGTCCCGCCGCAGGGTTGGTTGGGGAGTGGCTCGAGACTCGGAGTTCAAACCCGGGCCATTGTGCCGGTGACTCGCCGATGCCCTGACTGCCGCCCCGCTGGGCCCATGGCGGCGCAAGAGGCTGGGAGAGAGTAGATTGCTGGAAGGGCTCTGTGTCGAAGGGTCCGTCCGCGCTGAGGGTCGGCGGAAAAGGAGAGACGGCAAAGGCTGGCCTCTGTGGCACCGCTACAGCGCTCACCCGGTGCCTTTGTTTGATCAACTTTGGTGAGCCGGCAACTCTTGGTCGGGAGTGGCATGGAAACACACCTGGTGCTTGGCTTGTATTCACACAGCGGCTGTGGAAACCTCCTGGCACAGTTGCTGCATGGGTGGCCCTGGTTGCACTATAGGACAACCACATGGCGAAAGGTTAACGTGATGCTCTGGTCTGCTCTGCAGTTCTCCAGAGCTGGTACTGTACTTGCCTTTTGTTTTCTCCTCCGGCACTCCCCGCACGATGTTGTTGTTCTCTCAGCACGTGGGGGTCGGGATATAGGGACCTGCAGAGGCTCGGACATTGCTCCGTTCTGAACAACGATGAGCGGGACAGGCGTCGGCATCGGATCACGATGCTTGGGCCGTAGGGCTGACTTATAAGCTGGGCAGGTCCTGTCTAAGATCAAAATCGACGGGTCTCGAGCTTGACCATGCAGGGCATCGGAGTTGAGACCCCTTGGGACTAGCCTTGCAGCCTGCCAGCTTATTTCGACAGTCTTGGGCTCTTGGGGGAGCCAACCGATGAGCGTCCCGGTAACGTGAAAGCGGGGGCCCAAGGGATGATCTCCCGGGGTACGTGCCAGTGGATCGGCGAGGGCCCAAAGCTTGTTTCTTCTTTTTAACGTTTTCGAGTGCCGGCTTTTGTGTATATATTCCGTAGTGTCTTTTTCTTTCCAGCGGGTTGGAATGGATGCTGCCAAGGGAAATACTGACAGTCCAGTAGAAATATAGTAGAGGGCAGACAGACCCCTGTTTGCTTTACTGACAAAGGAGAGAGAGGGGGTATTTTAGAGGCTGACTCGACAGGAGAAATAAAGTAGCAGGCCAGATAGACGCAAGGAAGACGTGTCATGACAGTTCCTCGGGGGAAGTCATTGGGAAGGCTGCATTGCGGGCGGTGCTCACTGCTGGTTAGCTTAGTGCTCAGTTTCCGCTCAAACTAACCCGATTTCCCATTCCATGGCGGTGAGTGCGGTGGCTGTCCCTCAGCGGCAAGGCACGACAATCCATCCCAGAAGGAAGAAGCCAAGGCTTCTCCACGGCAACAAACAAACATGTTAGTATCAATCCCTTGCCTGTAACTATCGTGAGCCTGGAATTAACCTGGAGATTTGCAACAACAGGCAAGACGAAAAAGAAGGGAGGATATGCCGAACTTCCGTATGGCAACAGGATGCTCACTCGGCGTCCTCCGGCTGCTGGCACCGGGGAAAATGACTGATATCGCGCATCAAATATTGCGGCCTAGTGAAGTGACGGATGCGGCATCCCCCCTGCTCTGGTTCCCAACCCGGCTGCAAACAGCAATGTGGCTTGAGACCATGACTTACAGCCAAGATGCCCAGGTGCCCAGAGAAGTGAGCCTGGCGGAAGATGCCGCGGGCTTCCTCTATTGGAGGGAAACATGTCCAAAATTCCTCCAGTGCAAGTCGCCACCATTCTGGAACTGACCAGAGGTTGGATGGCAGCTTCTCCTTCTTGCCGGTGTTCTGTGTATAAATAGATATTCAGTACCTTGGCCAATGAGTCGAGACAAACCTGCCACACAAAAAGACATCGACTCACGGCATCAATTTTGTATGTGTACATGACTCTGTCTGGGAACCAATCTCTCGTCTGTTCTCGAATGACAGACGGCGGATGACATACACCACGTCGGCCATGGCCAGCCAATCGACGTTGAGCGCTGGCCTTGGATCTGCTTCCAGCTCGCAGCCGGGCTGACGCCGAAGGGCTGAACAACAGCAAAGCAGCACTGAACAGCAGCAGCCTGGCCGAATGCAGGTTGCTGGAGAAAAATAAGAGAATGGAGGGAAAAGAAGCCAGCCAAGGAAAATCTAAATTAACAAAACGGATATAAAATGAAGACTTTGCTTCTTGAAAGATGCATTTCGATAGCAAAATTATCCTATAGACCCGGGAGCAAATAATGTGTCTCAAATGTCGTGTGTATTAACGGGTAAATCACCCTGTTAAAATAAAGTTGACCCCAACCCATCAATCCCTCTCATCAGTTGGGAAGTTGGGGACGAGATTTGCACCGTTTCAAGGTTTCATCTGCACTGTGACGTAGCGCACGGCAGAAGCTTCAGCTGTCCACTCCGGGGTCCCGGTACGCCCGGCTATTGGCTGCAGTCCCCATGTCAATCTCCCGGGGGAACGGGACCGACACAGTAACTGCCGTGCCAGGCCGCCTGGCTCGGGGGCCTAGACCGTCAACTCATTTTTGCTCCCTGCCTCGCCTGTCCAGGTCATCATCCTACACCGCGCATCAATACATACCTGTCCATCATGTGAGTGTGAGTGAGCGAGGACTGCACTGCCTACTCGTATGTACACGTAGCTGAGTTGAGCTGAGTATGGAGACACAAAGACACCAAGTAGGTAAGTAGTGCAGTGTACTGGCAAGGCTGTTCTGCCCTTGAAATCCCCTTTCCAGCATATCGCAACGGAGTGTGGTGTGTGTATCCTAAGCCATGGCCGAGCCTCAAGCGCATGCTATATTTGGTAGAGAAATCGAACAATGGCAATGCTTAAAGCGTCAAAGAAACAAACAGAAAAGCAACACCCAGCCTCTATTTACAAGTTGAGATCTCCGACCCAAATAAAACACCATACACCCAAAATCCAGCCCAGCCCCCGCCAGCCCTCCATAGGGAATGTCGACTGAGACCATATCATCCCATTAAAACTAGGTTGGTATCATTTCTCATCATCATCATGAACTGTAACTCCGTATCATCAGAAAGGGGAATAATGGGGCAAGGCAAGCTGGTTTCACCGCCACCGCCAACCCAACACCCCAGCCCACCCAGCACAGCACAGCACAGCACACACCCGCCATGCCATGGCCTACACAAAGTTCTTAGGCCAACTAGGCAGGCAGTAATCATACCACCACCTAGGCACCTACTACCTAGGCCTGTAAACAGGCTTCTTCGCCAGGTTAACCACAGGCGGCGTATCATCGTCAAGCGGATAAGGCAACACCGAGCCCGAGCCCGTCGTCCCCTGCCGACCACCACCACCACCACCACCACCATACCCCGCCCCCACCGACTGGCGCTCAGGAAGCGGTGTCTTAGGCGGCAGCGGCGGAGGTTCCGCGCGGCTCCCTCCCGGGGATTGTTGTTGTGGTTGTTCCTGCTGGAAGCTGCGTCGGGGGTAATCATCCGGCCCCACGATGGCAATCTTATCACTCCCCGCCGCGGTCCGGTACTGCGCCGGTGTCGGGGCGCTAACCGTGAGCCGGTCCGCGTCCTCCGTACTCCTTTCACCCCGGCTCGTCATTGTCACGCCGGACGGCTTATTATTGCTATGCCGGCTGGCTGCGCCGGCGCCTGGTGAGAAAGGCTGCTGGTTGGGTTTGGGCGACGAACGTGGCGGTTCGCCCACCGAGCTTCTTGGCGACGGGGTGCTGGGATGTGGCACGGGGAGCATGTCGCTTCCGGAGTCGTACGAGCGTCGGTCTGGCGGGGTGTGCTGTTGTTGTTGGTGTTGAGGAAATATGGGGAAATCCCCTGGCAGCTCGACCGCGAGCGGGAGCGAGATTTCGGGCGCGGCCTTGGCATACTCTGGCGCTGCTGCGCCGAGGCGCTCCCACCGCTGCTTTGCAAAGTGGATTTTGGCCAGCTTCGCCGACGCGCTTTGCACCATTTTCTGCTCCTCTTCCTGGGCGAGGTACTGCCGCGTTTTGGTGCTGATATCGGCCAGCCGGTGCCACTCGTTCATGCCGAATTCTCCAACGCCGACCTCCACGTTGAGCCGGTAGTAGTTTTCGATGTTGACGCCGCGCTTCGCCAAGTGTTCCTTCTTCATGATCTCGTGGATCCGTTCGCAGCCCTCAATCTTTGCAATCAACTTCCTCCTCGCCTCGGCAAACTCACCCAGGAACCCCTCGTACCATAAAGCTGCGTTCGAATCGCTGCCCTTTGGTCGCTTTCCCGTCCCGACACTAATGAACACGCCAACCTCCCGGCCAGGCCACTCATTCACCACCGCCTCGTCGAGTGCCGTCATGGACGGGTTGAAGTTTCCCGCGCCGTCGTCGTGAAACACGGATTGCCCAATCTGGATCGGCTTGAAAGCGAGACCGATCGCACACGTCGCCCGGCCGGCTTCCCATATCTTGCAGTCGAATTCCGGAGCCGGCTCTCGCCTCGAGTCGTAGGAGCGCAGCAAGGCGGGCGCATTGCCTTTTGTGCTGCCTTTGTACATGGCCGTGACAGCGCTAGAATCAGGAGTTAGCTACGCAGTTACATGACGCGACTGACTCAAGAAAAAAAGATAGGCTAACGTCTTGGTCCGGTTTTCCCTCTCGTCGTATAAACGAGCATTCGGATCACCCCAGCGGGAAGACGATATCGGGGGCCTGACAGTCTGGGCACCGGGCCCTCGGGCGCTGAAGCTCACGACGCTCGCGTTGCTGGAGTGCCTCCTCGGGTACGAGGCGCTTGTGCGGGAAACGGGACTCAACACACCAGCGCTGCTGACATCTGAATAGTCGTTCCCTTCTCTCTCGTAGACGGTGTGCTCTCTGACACATTGCATGATTGCCTCCTCTAGTTTGGTCGCCTTGAACAATGTTGAGCGATAGGGTATCCCCGCGATGGTCTTGTCCGTCTCGAAAACCATGCGCGTTAGCCGGACATAGAGTTCCTTGCATGTCTCAATGTCGAGGCGCAATCGGCCGAGCATCAGCGCAATCAGGCCGCCGGTGCCAGTGCCGACTATGAGGTCGAAGTGGTCGCAGGGCTTTGGAATCTCGTTCCGGCGCGGCGCTCGCCCTTCAATCTCGACAAAGGTCCGGTGCATCACCTCCTGGAGAATGAGGAACATCGAGTAACCGCGCACGCCTCCTCCGTCTATCACGCGAGCGATCAGTACCACACAACCAGGGCTGCAGAAAAATACTTGAATCATGAAACTTACCAAGCGATAAGATGCGCAGAGGCGGACCCTTTGTGGTGTCCTTCCGTTTGAGCCCGCTGGAATCCATACCAGCGGTATTCCTTTTTCGAGATCAGCGTCGTCGGCGATGAATGCAAGACTTGAACAATGCGCTCGGTAGTGATAATGTCCAGTATCTAGATAGTCAAAATCGCGGCGAAGGGTAGGTAAGCCTTGAGGTTTTGCCTCGCGGGGGAATGGTGCGTGAGCGAGACTTGGCAAGGTTGGTGGTGACGCAGAAGCTCTGGCTAGACTGGAAGCGATCAGCCCGACACAACGCCACGCACCGTTGTGCAACAGTGTATGTAACCCGAGAATACTAATCAGGCGTGTCTTGGGTTTCTGTTGCCCAGGCTAAGGTCCTGCAAGTGACTCGACTTTTAACCAACTTAGAGTTCACAGTGGAATGTGGCAGTGCCGTATGCCCGATCCGTGAGAACCGAGAAAGACATGAAAGAAGCCGAGTTTCCACAGCATCTTTAGCGGAGGCCCCCGAACACTTGATGCAGAGTGAGAATCTCGGTAACGTTACCGGGTACCTAGACAATGAAAGCAGTGACAGGCTGGCCCCTTGCCTTCGGTTTCCCTTGTGTAAAGCTTGGAAGTATTGGATCGCTGCAAACACCGAGTACACGTGTATGCGGGATGTGATCTACATACAGGGTCAACCGTACACTTCTCGAGGAGTGCCTGGAGTTCGGCCCTGGCTTGGTGCAGGCGGGGTGGGGCTTAGCGGGGCAGTCACAGGGGCCCGGATTCGGCCTCGGAGCAGCATCAGCAGGTTCGGATGCCCCGTGATTTGATGACGTCCCTACGCCAATGACCCCGCTGAAGACCCTGTGGCTGTGCTCCAGAAATTATTGGTTGGATGATGTGGCTCCACAACCTAGATCCGTAGTGCCGCCCAAAGCCGACCAAACTTCCAGGTTGGATCCGCTGTCAAATATCATCTTATCCACGACAGTTCATCATGAATTGAGTGTTCGTTCTGACCGCTGAGCAATGGGCTGATATCTGGCAATGCCTACCAACACATCTCAAAATCTTGAGTTGAACCAGTTGGCCGTTTCAATGCGCCCCTGAAATATGTAGGCTCGGACAGCAAGATGTGAGGAGTGCGCCGGTTCTTGTGCGAAGTAGTTGACGTCATGGTCCGTCATTGCGACCGTTCAACTTAGCATGACGGCTCACAATGTCGACATCCAACGTCCAATGTCTTCCAACACTTCAACAACGGGCTCCTTGTTGAATGTTGATACTCACTCGGAAAATTCACCCGCCACTAACACTACAGTGTAAGGTGCTCCGGAGCTGCCACCTGTGAGATAGCCTCGCAGTCATGTCAATGTCGTCGTGGTGGTCGTGGTGTGTTGGGTCCGGCGGCCGTCGCAATCGCCGACGGTCGGCCGAGCAGGAGCCTCTACTGCCGCGGTACGATGACGAGACGGCGCTGCAGCGGCGGCTGCATCAGAAGCTCCACACGTACCAGATGCTCCGGGCCCTGTCCAAGGGCTTCATGCCGTCAAACGAGCAGGCCATTGCCAGCCTCCGCACTCTTCTTGCCTCAGACGTTCTGAACCCAGACAATGCTCAGCTCAGCGACTCGGGCCAGGCCCTGGTGCACTATACCAAGCAATGGATCAAGCAGCTCATCCAGCTTCTGCAGGACAAGAACTCTGGCGACCAGATCCAGGACTTTATCTGGTATCTGTCGCAAGCGAGGGTCGCCGTCGATATGGAGCACATCGCTGAGCGCGCCAGCAAGGCCAAGGCCAAGGCCGACACAGCTGCCAGTATGTATATCCCAGGGGCACGCTCTGCGCATTTTCTAACACGAACTTTAGTCTACAGCAGCCTTCAAACCGTTGGCTCCCTTCTTCTCACCAACTCGGATTTCCGCTTGTTCCTGAGCGACCTCAATGTGGTTGCCCGGGAGGTCTTCAAAGACACTGCTTTTGCTCTGTCCGAAGCCTCCAAGGAGGCTGGAAAGCGTCTTGAGCCTTCCGCCGAAGAACAGGATTCACTCAAAGAGCCGGGCAAGGACTCTCACAGCCCGCCGTCGCAGCAAGACCTAGCCGACCAGACCACCGAAATCGCCACTGTCCTGAGTGGCAGCGCTTCCACTGTGGTCGAAGGCGCCGAGAACAGCATCGCCAGTAAACTAGAGGGCCCGGAGAAAGACACCATGATCGCCCGTCTGAGGCAAGCGGTGCTCAAACTCCGACAGCGTCGCGACTACTCCGATTCGGTCTCAACGCTGTCGCTGCTCCTCAGGCGTTACGCCATGGTTTACTCTCGCATTGCCAGCGACACGCTGCAGGCCGCAGACGAAGATGTCGACCGTAACCCCGAGACGGACCGGGCTTTGCAGAATTTCTGGGCCTTCATCAGGTCGTTTGGTGAGGCAAAAGAATGGGAAGAGCTGGAGAAGCGTTTTAAGGCAGTCATGGAACACAGCCGTAGCGATCCCGATTTTGAAGAGCTCATCGGCCAGCTTGGAAACGCCGTGCAAGACATGTTCACCGACCCATCCTTCTTTGACCATGCCGAGCAGCGGTTCCAGGACCTCCGCGCCAAATCCCGCCAATTATCCGCCCACTCCTCTTTGCGAGACGACGTAGACGGGTTGCTCACACAGCTGCAGTCTACTTTCTACGCAGTGCTCAGGGACAAGGACGTAACTGCACTCCTCAAGACATCGGCGACGATTGGCAAGATCCTCTCACCCAAGCATCATTATACGAATACGGACCTGGTAGCAGACGCCATCCACGTGTTTGTCCCCTTGCTTGTCCAATCAGTCAACTACGTGCCCATCCCTCGCCTCGAAATCTCCACACCCCAAGTAGACCTCCTGCTCGAGAACTTCATCCTAGAGCCCGGCTTGACGGTCAACAACACATCCTTCTTCCCCTACAAGCTGCGCATCGAGACGCTCAACGACTTCGAGATCCGCAAGGCCCGGTTCCGCACAACCTCAGCCATCAAATCCCTAGCCCGGATCCGGATCGACGGCCTGTCCATCCGCGGCGAAGAGATCGGCTTCTGGCTGCGTGCTCACTCCGGGCTCTTACGCCTCGCAGACCAGGGGATCGCCTCCTTCGCGCTGGACGAGCGGGGGCTCGACATCCAGCTTGATGTTGAAATCGGCCGGGACCGCCTCGAGAAGATCCTGTCCCTGCGAAACGTCCGCGTGCGCATCCACAAGCTCAACTGGACCCTCCGCCAGAGCAAGTTTAGCTTCTTGTCCTGGCTGTTCAAGCCCGTCCTGAAACCACTGATCCGCAAGGCGATTGAGATGAAAGTGGCAAGCGCCATCGCCGAGGCGCTGCATTTCGCCAACCGCGAGATCATCTACGCCCGCGAGCGGCTCCGGGCCACGCGCATTGCTGATCCCGATGATTTGAGGACGTTTTTCAAGGCTGTTCTTGCGAGGCTGACGCCGGCGGATAATCCGGATCTTGATGTCCGTGTGGGTGTCGCTGAGCCTGGCGGGGGGGTGTTTGAGGGGGTTTATGCGCCGGGAAGTATTGTTAGGTTGTGGAGGGAGGAGGCTACGCAGGCGCCGCAGAGGATTAGGGAGAATGAACGGGATGGGTGGAGGAATAGTGTTTTTGATATACATGCGGCGACGCTGGGTTGATGGTGCGGAGATGATGTCTGGGCTGGTTGAGAATGCTTGGGTGAGGTGGGTTATGCGTTATGCGTTATGATATCCGCGAGCTCTGTACTGGTTAATGTTAATAAAAGTACTGTCATGGACCTTTGGCTGGTCGTTGTTAAGCGTAGAAGGTTGATTTCCGAGAGCAGAACTGTTAATCGGCCATTCGCCAAGGGATCCTACAAGCTCTTCCATGTGTTTACCCACTTCTGCCCGTTGCCCGGGATATGATGGACTCGTCCACGGCGTTGATAATACAGTACACCGAGATCTCTTTGTTGTGACCAGGAACTAGCGATTTCCCATACAAATAACGATGGGCCCAGGATATTGACCGTCAAAGGCAGGTAATCATTATGCCTTGACGGAGAATCGTTATGTGTAGGTCTAACTGTAGTGTCGAACTGTCGATGCAGGAACCTCCGTTAGAAAGGGTGATTTTTGGCGGCGAGACTGGTCCGTGTGGCGCCGGGGATGCTCGAAATGCGCCACGATTGTCCTTTCTATGGACGTAAGGCTTGCCGTGACTCGACGTTAAGGTACGGAGTAGGTCCCATTGCATGCCGCTACTTGTTCCTCCCACCTGCTTAATACGTGAGAGAAAACGCTCTTCTAAAAGCCACCGTCTATAAGATAGAGGGTCTATATGCGTTCCGACTTGAAGTGGCCCTGTAGATCAGTGACCCCTTGTTCCAACCGTTCAAAGTTTGGATCCAGCGAAGTGCCCATATCCAAGTTAGACCACAGAAGTAGAGTCCGAGTCCTGAGGCTCCTCCTTGCCCCTGAAGCATGACAGATCCACAATGCACTTTGGAATCAACATAGTCACCACCTGCGCAACAAACAACCACACCGCCGTCATGTCGGTCTCGGACACGATCTGGTTCCGCGCTATGATGAGCTCCGTCCACAAGATTAGAGGCCAGGCGAGAAAAACCAGCACGCCAATGGACCCCAGGGGGATGGCAAGGTATGTGCGATACCACCTGGCCTCCTTCCCCACTTCCGACATAGTGATGGCGAGGAAGATCGCCATGTAGATCCCGCCAGCGCACCAGAGCGAATCGAAGATATGCCAGAGCAGGAAGAGATACTTGTGGAAGTCCTCGTCGATGGTGCGCCAGCCATAGAAGAAGAACTGGTAGACGCCGTAACCCCGCGGCTGGTGCACCGCCCAGGCTTTCCAAGAGGAGACCGTGTTGAGAATCAGGACGCTGGTGGTGCCAAGGCCGAGCGGGACGCCCCAGATTAGGCTGCCGGAACTGACGCCGCCCACATAGGTCACGGCGTAGATCAGGTTGAAGTGCGGCAGAATCAGCGATAGCGCGTGGATGTCGCTATCTCCCGTAACGGCCTTGTGCCAGGCGATCTGGGTGTACAAGTTGTACGCGAGAAAGCCGATATTGCTCGGGCAAGGGTTGCCCAAGCCTGACACGAACTGAGCTGGGGAAAGTAGGAGACTGGCGTAGAGAATCAGCCGGTTGGTGAGGCTGAAGCCTGGCACGATTTGAACGGACATGGCGGACAAAAGGACCTCGTGTTGGGGAAGAACCAGTACTGGCCCTCTTCGGACCAGTGAGAGAGACTCGGAGGTTGTTCTGTTGGGGCGTCGAGCTCGACGACTTGAGCTGCGATGTTCCAATCACCGGACAAACCGTCGATGGTTGTATGTAGAGTCCAGTCCACTTAGAGGAAACTGGAGATCCGGGCGGATGTTATCAAGGCGATGGGATCTCATCCTTCTATGCTCTTTGGCCAACACAACAGACTGTTTAGGTTATTGTGATGTTCTGCCTCGCTCCCGGGCCCTTTCCTAATCAAGGTGTGGTGTGAAGCCGAGGCGCACACTATCGCCGGCGGGCAGGGTGCCGTCCCCCAGCTAGCCCCGTTCCGTCCAGCTGGACCGCGCCTGACAGTCAACCTAGGGACCTGCAAAGCCTTACATGATGACATCTTAAGTGAAAACCAGCTGCAGGAGGCATGACAAAGCTGGAGGGCACATAGAAACTGAAACTGTCGTTTGACGTTCGACCGCTTCTGACCCGAATGGGCTAATCCGCCCTCAACATATTCTACTGGCTTATGCAACCAGAAGAATACCTTAGGGACTCATTACCATCGTACCGGTTGGCTCGTGCTTCATCGTCCAATTTGCGGTGTAGGGGCCAAGTCAGTCCGACTCAGGGCCAGGCTCTTTGCTGATCTTGCCTGGTTCCCTCATTTCAATTCCATTGGGCAATCTAACTCCCCAATCAAAGCAAATCGAGCCTCCGACTTAGCTTACTTTACCTCATTTTCCAGGCCTTTGTCTTGAGGGATTGATTAGTTGCGGGGAATTGGTGTTGCGTGGAACCAAGATGGAAGAACGAAGTGATGATGATTCGGATGAGCGTCGAGCTCCGAGCTAAGGAATGCTAATGAAGTGGTGTGTGGGGCAGGTCATGTGACTGAACCTGCAAACCCTGGCGCCTGGATTCCTTCCTAACTAGGTAAGTAAAAGTGGGTCATTCAGACATAATGCGCAACTGTATGGTAGTCGCATCCGTTCATCTGAACCCCGACCGCAGGTACCCTCCCTCATCCGACCAAACGTAAGGTAGTGACCCCTGGGTGTATCGTACAAATATCGCACTGGAAGATCCGACCCCATGGCATGAACTCGCTTCTCTTTGAGCGGTCCACGGGCAACGTGGGCCCGGAAGTGTTTGCCCGGATCCAGACAAGCTCACTTCTGAGGTCGTTCGCCGCCGCCCCGCGCTTCCGTTTCGATGGCGGAGAACGCTCTCTGGTGGGTGGCAGTGGCCAGAGACATGCAGTCAGCGCTGCGACATCATTAGTCCGGAACTCTGCTGCCCATAGCAATGACAACGACAACCACCGGCTCCAGCCGTCGTCGTCGTCGTCGTCTATCTGGGCTCACCAGGCTGGCGTGAGTGCGCTGGCTTTGGAGCGCTTCGATGGCCGAATGTGAGTAGCGTCCTTCCTCCGGTCAGTTCTGGACTGCGCTAACCAATCGACACGCCTTTGCGTCCCGCGCTGCCCGCCTTACCTTAGACTCATCTCCGGCGGCTCAGACGGGACCATCAAGCTGTGGGATCTCGAGCAATGCTCCAACCCATCCTCACCACCACAAGCACATACCTACCGCCCGCTGGCCACCATACCACGCGCCAACAACACCAGCACCAGCACCATCACCAGCAACTCCCCCACCGCCGCGGCAGCCCACCGCTTCGGAATAACCCACCTCTCCTTCTACCCCCTCGACCCAGGCGCCTTCCTCTCCACCTCCTACGACCAAACCCTCAAACTCTGGTCCACCTCACAGGCACAGGTATCAGGCAGCTTTGACCTCGGCGCCAAGGTGCATACGCACGCCATGTCTCCCGTCGCATCCTCCAACCTGCTGGTTGCGTGTGGCACGCAGCACCCGGCCGTGAAGCTTGTCGACCTGCGCTCGGCGGCCGCTGTCCAGTCGCTGGTCGTCCCCGGACCGATGGGCGGTGCTGCGGGGCCGACGCTGGCGCTTGCCTGGTCGCCTGCGCATGAGCATGTGCTTGCTGCGGGGTCGGTGGATGGGGGGGTGAGGATTTGGGATGTCAGGAGGGGCGCGGGGGGGTTGGTGGGGATGTTGGATTGTGAGGATGCTGTTGGGATTGGTACCGGTAGTAATGGGGGTGGTGGTGGTAGGGGGGATGGGCCAAGGTTGTCGGTTAAGGCACATTCCGGCCCGGTCAACGGACTTGCTTGGACCGATGATGGGGATTATATCATCTCGGCGGGCCACGACCGGCGGATTCGCGTCTGGGACGCCGCGACGGGCGCGAATACCCTGGCCAACTTTGGGCCGAGCATCCGGAACAGCCAGCTGGGCAGGGTGACTATGTTTGTTTCTCCCACTGGGCTGACGCCGCCTGGCAGGGAACTGCTGTTCTTCCCGAATGAGACGGAGATTTTGGTTATGGAGCTGCATGAGGGGACTATTGTCACGAGGTTGCGTGGTACGGGGCCGGCGGTGGCTTCTGTCAGGGCTGAGCGTGGGGGAGAGAGGACTGTTAAAAACAGGTTGACGAGCAGTATGCTATTCCCAATTTTTATTCGCAGTTGCGTGCTGACTTTGGACAGTCGTGTGGAGAGGAGCCGGCGGCGGCGGCAGTTCCAGCGGGGTAGTCATGGGAGGGACCAACGCTGCTGGCGGTATCTACAGTGCACATTTGGATGGGCAGATACGAGCTTGGCTGCCGCAGCTTGAAGGCTCGGACGGTGAAGATGAAGAGGAGAGCCAGCGGAATGAGGATGATGTTGGAGCTAGGAAAAGGAAGGCTCTCGACGATGCTTTCCAGAGTTTGATGGGGAGGAAGATAACTTTCTCCTAAGTCGTGTCATGTCGAATGCAGCCGGGGTTCCAAGACACAGTATCTCACGAAAATAATGAGCGTTACGAGCAACTCATAAAGCGGTCATTGGGTGAGTGGGAATATTAATCTACATTCCTCTCAATCTTTGCCCTGATTACCCAGTGCAAGGTGGTATGGAATTGCTAACGATACAAAGAAAAGCCGATCATAATCCATTATTGGTAGCACATTCTGCCCAATATCCTCAGATACCGCTGAACGTCTCCTGGTGCGTTCTTACACTGTTGCGCCTCTCCCGGTGGTGGGTATCATCGTCGTGTTCGATGGAAGGGGCGCCAAGGTGTTGTCTCAAAACTGAAGGCGGTACCTGTGCAGCATCGGTTGGGTCCCGGTTGAAGGTATCAGATCTGTCACCAAGTCAGCATCTGCCCTTCCCACAATTTCACCACACCAATCCAAGCCAAACGCTCTTACTTACTTACTGATACGTCTTGTTCCCGCCCATGGTCTTGCTCCCGTCGAGATCAGAATCGACGCGCGGGTCCATCTTGTTGGCCATGTCGCTCTTGTGCGGGCCGGCCGTGTTGGGCGCGGGGCCCGGGCCAGTGCCCAAAGCGCCACGGCCGTCACGGTCGGAATCAACACGAGGATCAGCGGCATTGGCCATGCGCGAACCGTGCGGGCCATATGTCCCCGCTGTCGCGCCGTGGGTGCCTGTCATGCCCGTCACACCAGAACCGACACCGGTGTGACCATGTGTGCTGCTCCCAAATCCTGAGGTACCGCCGGTGTGGGTGCCGTGCGTGCTGCTGCCGAGCCCGCTGAAACCTGACGAAGTGCCGGTGCTGCCAGTGCCGAAGCCAGTACCAGCCCCGGTGCCGCCAACAGTCCGTGAGTTGTCGCGGTCAGAGTCGACGCGCGGGTCAGCCGCATTGGCCATGCGCGAGCTGTGCGGGCCGTAGGCGCCCTCGGAGGTGCCATGCGTACCGGTGCTGCCGAACATGCCCATGGGGCCGCTACCAGTAGTGTGGCTGGTGTGTGTGCCGCTGCCTATGCCGCCAACGGTGCGTGAGTTGTCGCGGTCAGAGTCGACCCGGGGGTCTGCAGCGTTGGCGAGGCGAGAGCTGTGCGGGCCGTAGGCGCCCTCAGAGGCGCCTGTGCTGGTGCCGTACCCGCCGGTGCCGCTGCCGTACTCGCCGTGGCCGGCGGTGCGGCCGGTGCCCATGCCAGTGCCCATGGTGCGAGAGTGGTCGCGGTCAGAGTCGACGCGCGGGTCGGCGGCGTTAGCGACGCGGCTGTTGTGCGGGCCGTGGCTGCCCTCGGAGGCTTCCTGGTGGTGGCCGCCGCCCTTGACGGCTTCCTTGATCTTGTTCATCATTCCGGACATGTTGATGGTTGTTTAGATGTGATGATGTCTGACTGACTGAGTGGTTCTTTTGGGAGTTGTTGATGATTGTTGAGTGTTTTGTTTGTTCTGTGTTGTGATGATGGGATTCTAGAACGGCTCGATCGACGGACGGGAAGGGGTCTTATATACACCTTTGTGAGCCACCTGCGGTCTGATCCCAACGGTTGCCGTTGGCGTCGCATGGCGTCAATGGCATCATCTTGGCCAGTTTGATCAGCTAGCGCCTGCCTACGGGTAACCAAGATGCATCCCCGCTGGTTCAGGGACCAGTGCCGGTGCCAAGAAAAGGGGGGCCATTACTTCATGTGTCGTCATGATTGCTACGCCCAGGCCTTGGAGAACAATGGGCGGCAGTCTGCTGATGGGAGCAAAGCATGCTGCCAGGTACGGCTTCCCCACATCCTGACACAGCCGAGACCAGCCTAAGAAAGGGGCTACGTCGTATCGTCGATCGAGAGCCACTTGGACTGGTTCTGACTGCTTCCCATGTGGATCGCTAACTCGTGTGTGGCTTGTAGCGGGTGTGAAGTTGGTGAGATCTGGCGTCATGGAGCGGCAAACGAGCAGGACCCTGTGGCTGGTGACGTTACTGATCTACGTTGCATGTACAAATAAGGGTCCTGATGATGCTAAAGATGGACATCTGTATGTCTGCGCCCCACGCTGTACGTCGCTGAATGCCCAAACATTATGCTGTTTCTGTGGTATCTACGCAGGTACGGTCCCAGTAACATTACCCCTTTCAAAGACGTAGAGGCCGTTCTTGCTTACCCGATACACCTCGGTGTTTTCATCCAATGCTTCGCAAGTTTGTACCGGTAGACGATGTGGAAGAAGAGAACTGACGTCATATGCGTGGCTTGACGTACCCTGGTCCTGAGGCGCAAGCACCCCTGGTCTCTTCGAATGGGATGACGCATGAGGCATTGACGTCATTGAGCCCAGCGGTTCCTCCTCCAAACACTAACTGAGGTGCGCAGCATGTTTTGAGGTCAACGTTGACGAGTCCATGGCAGTAGAGTCATTTACACCCGCGGATCAATGCTAGTTGTTCTCTCATCAAAGCATTAAACGTCAATTAAACATCAAATTAATGCATTCCCCTGTCGGAGAATGCGGTACAGCTGATAGATAGGGGGTATAGTGACTCGAGTGAGTAGATTTCCATCAGTTTCATGGACGGACAGGCAATTCTCCAAGCAAACTCGTCCCATCCACAGCATTTCTCATAGGTCTAAGAGCCTCAAGCAACTAGTTGAAGAACAGGCCTTGCTTCCTCCATCAAATTAATTGGGTTTGCCGAGAGCTCAAGAAATAAAGAGAGTTGCAGAAAGGATGGTGATGATACATGTAAGTCGGGTATCACTGTAAACATAGACTCAAAGATGCCGCTGTAAGCAAATCGGACATGTGGGTACTTTAGGCCAATGATCCCTTGGCGTAAGTAGGTAGTTCTTCTCTTGCAAGTTGCAACCACCTTTAGACGCGCGAACGATACCAGCGGCGACGGTGGTAAGGGCCATCGGCGACTGTGACGGTGTGGCGGCGGACCCAGTAGATGCTTTCGCAATTCAGTCAGTATCTCACAGAAACTGGGACGAGCGAGGTTGCCTACCCTAGAATGGCGCTCGCCAGCCAGCAGATGGCGCTCAAAAACGTAAAGGCAACGGTGGCCTTCCACTGCGCGCAGGTGGCCGTGCCGTAAAAGTCGAGGCCGCGCCAGTCAAAAACGTCCCTTTTAACATGCACCAATCAACAGCACATTCTCTAAGGTAAGGGATAACATGAACTCACCCGCAGGACTGGCCCAACCAATCCACCAACAACCCAAATGCCGCAAACCAGCAGACACTCATGATAAAGTCGGCAGGCCAGTGGATGAAGGAGCTGCTGAAGGGGAACAGCCAGATGATGGCGAGCAGCATGGCTAGCCCGGCCACCACCTCGGTGTAGATGAAGCGGCCCAGGTGCCACGCCGACACGCCGTGCACCGCGTGCAGGTAATCCCCGTTCAGCCCGGCGACGATGGCGGCAAAGGCCAGCTCGGCCAGCCGCAGGATGATGGAGAAGAGCTCTGCGAGGATCATTTTGGGTTTTGGGGTGCTGGTTTTGATCCGTAGATAATGGTTATGGTTGTGGGAATGTGGTGTTTTGACGGCCGAGGACGGGGTGCTACTGCTACTGAATTGTCGATGCAATTACCTGGGTGCTGGGCTGGTGAACTGAAGTTGTGCGAAGCTCTGTTTCTGTGTTCCCAGCGTGTGGAGGCACTCGGCAGTCTATATAACGAAGAGGCACTGCCGTCGGAATTCAGGGATCGGCAACTAGGCCAACATCCATGGCCAAGCAAGTCCAACATCGTCATCACCGCTGGTACCAACACCATGCTGTACGCCTTCTTATTTTTAATGCGTGACTTGTCCAACCTGCGAGTCGAGACTGACGGGAAGCCAGCATTCATGCCTGAAATCATGCTGTATCCCAACCAATTCCATTGGCTGGTTACTTTGCGCGCGACCCTGTTGTTGGGTGTGCCTGTTGGGTGTTCCTGAGAGCTTCCTGCCAGAACATGGCTTGCCGATTGTACATAGTACAAGCCGCACCGACTGCTCCCACTCAAACAGCAGCACCGGGTGGTGTCGGTTCTTTTGCAGTTTGTTGGATGATGTCATCACCCTACAAGCAAACCAAGGATAGCTTAGGTAATCCAGGCCAAACCAACTACCTATCTCGAGCCTATGTATTCAACAAGCTAAATTATGCCTTGAAATAAGCCAATGAAGCCAAATCGAGCCTCCTATACGTTTGATTAGTTCAGCGTTGTGTGGTGAGGTGTGTTCTGGAATTTGGCGGGGCATTTTCAAGCGATCATGCGGGCACTGTACGAAAATTGTAATATTGTATGTATCTTACGCTGTTTTGTACTGTACTGTACGTATCCGTTACATGCGTTATTTTCGCTAGTTACATACAGTGATTCCAGAGATCGAGAATCCTGCGGGTCCAGAGGAAACCACGAAAAGCTCCACTCTCGAGCGATAAGCTTCCACTAGTCGACGACATTGGCTCCACCTTTGACTTCTCCAATGTCAACAAACACCAAGAATCAGGGGTAATTACTCTGCAGACGTTAACAGTCATGCGGTTTGCGTGAGATATCCATCTCTGTCACGCTATTTCGTCTCTGTCACTTGCTCTCAAGTGCCATGGGATTGTCAAAATACATGAATTGGCTCTGTTCGCCTTCTAAGGTAGACTTCCGTGAGGAACCCCGTCTGCATGCGCCTGTGGTTACCAATTTGTTTTCTTCGATAACAGATCGATGTCGATCCTGCCGGCTAACCATGATTTTTTGCCGTTGTCTTCCGTTCATCCATTGGGTAGAATTGCCGCCCACTGTCTTCAGAATCACCGCCAGCCTCTCTATCGGAAACCAACCCCTCAGCGACTCTACTGTCGTCCCCCTGGGTTCATCGGTCTCCCCTGTCCTGACTGATCCTCACGGTTGCTAGGCTGATGAATGTCGTACCAATACCCTTGACTCTGACCGGGATGGATGCTACCTGTGTTGACCGAAGGGTGGTTCACAGCAGTCGCCCCAACGTTAGCGAAGCCGGGTTCCCGGTTTCCGTAGTGCCACGGCTGGACTGTGGCTGAGGGTAACGGCGCAGGATATAGCCGCGTCGCCGCGTGCAGGAATTCCAAGTGGCCCAGGTCGCCTCTGCTTAGGTTGCTGCTGGTGCCGGCAGGGAAGTAAGGGGTTTGATAGTCGTGGTGGGCAAGAGCGGTGCTCAGCATCGGAACTGGAAGCGAGAGATTGATGTGGTAGACATAGTATTGCGGACAGGAGTAGGTATAGGTTGGCTGGTTGGTGGTTTGAGTAAGGGACCGATGCCCGTTTTGCATGTGCGCATGGCCGCTTGCTGAAGGCCCACGCCAATGCTCCTGTTGCACCGGCTGCCGCGGTCGCCGTTGCGGGCCCGGTCGAGGTCTGCCACCTAGATGACTGACCTGATCTCGAGCAGACATTAGGCGTGGCTCCCGTCTCAAGAGAAATGGTGCTGTGTGGAGGAAACAAGCCAGCAAGCCGACTGGCTGGCACACCGAGGTGTCGATGTCTTTATAGATAACAAGGGGATCAGTTCCAAAAAGCACGGCGAGTGGAATCCAAGGGAACCACCGTATACTCTCGGGAAATCTGCCGTCTTCTCCTGCACAGTCTAAGCTTTGTCACCAATCCCAACCTTGCACTATCCAATGCGCTTCAACTATGCCAATGCGTTGCGATGTCAAACTCAGTGTTTGAAGTGGGTGGAATACAGGATGAGAGACGTCACGTCACCTGGCTTAGACTGTGCAGTAGAAGAGGGCGGATTTCCCGAGAATCCACGGCATCTGTGGTCGGGAGCAGAACGACTTACAAATCTTTCACTCCCTGATTCACATGCGTTGGCAGAATGGGACGACTTCCATGCACGAATTGGGCTCGCCTTACACCTCGAAGCTACCGAGTAGACCGATATAAGGTACCAAAGAAGCCGAGTAGACCATATAAGGTACCAAAGCAGCCCTACGTGGAGGGGGGTGGGTGGTGTCAAGAAACATTTCGTACATGTACCTAGTAGTGAGAGTGTTAGTGTCGCAACAGAACTAAGATTCCCAGAACAGCCTGTTGCTGGCTGCAACAGATTATCTCACCTGTGTTCAGACAACCAGTGGTAGTTAGCTATTGAGCAACAGAAACAAGCTGTCTACAAGACATCCTGTTAGCCTAGAAGCAGTCTGCCTTTGCGAATCGTCTGTCTCATCAAACCAGTTTGTCCCTTTGTGGTTCAGCCCAGCCTTACGGGCTTAGGGAATAAACCTGTAGAGGCCTTGACCGTTGCCCCCCGATTGAGCTATACAACAGAGCCAACAACAATCCGTTACCTACCTGACCTACCTACCTAGGAAGAGTCTGTTCTGGCGTTGCAAAACTGTTGGCTGGCGCTGTAATGTGCGCGAAGGGACTGCTGGCACCATTTCCGTGCCAAAACGCTGGTAAAACAGTAACAAGCTCACACAGCTCTTTTCTAGGACCCCTCCTCCCGGCATGGAGTACCTACTGGCCATGACTCCTGATGGGCCCGACGAAGCCCAACCAAGCAGGCCGATTAGAATAGTAACTGGGCGCACCCCTATGAGCGTGCAAGATGACTGCATTGCGGCTATGCAGAGAAAAAAAACCTTCAAGGACCCCGATTAAAGACCTTAAACGTGTGCCGAGCCCTATCGGTACCGAAGGAGATTGCGGAGCAAAAGAGGCGGCTAGGCCACCTCCTGAATGCGTTCCGTCAGAGCAATTGAGCGCATCCTCGCACACCTCAATTGGATTCCAAACCACCTATCATCCCGAACCATAGTTCAATACTAGTAACGTATGAGTTCTACAAAAATGATCCCAGGCCCTTTCACAGAACCCAGCCCTTCCTCAATCGCAACCCAGAGCGGATGTGAGGCTACAGGCAAGACAGCGAAAAACTATGCTCCGAGTAAGTTAGGTCCACCAGTTGACCACGACCCTGCCAAATGTTGACAGCCTCTTGAGCAACTGAAGGCAAGGGGAGAAGGCGTCGAAGCAGCAAGCGACATCGCAAATACCAGCGGATGACGACAAAGGACAGCGCACGCATGGTCAATGGCTCTTTTGGCCCACCAGATTCAGGAGTTCAGAACTGTGGTGAGGCGCTATATGAAGGGTGCATTGCTTCAGGCTCAAGTTTAATGATGAATGGGGATGTTGTTGGATGTGAAGGAGTTCAAGTCCTTCATCTCTTGCTGTCTGGACTCTCTCTGGGCCGTGATTAGTTGAGAGGCTGGAAGGACGAGTACCTAAGGTAAGGTAAGATACCTTACCTTACACAACACGGGCAAACTGGAGCTGACCTGGAGTACCAATTTACAGAAAAGGAAACCAGCTTCCTTCCATCCACAAAGGCAATAGACATTAACTAGGTACCTAGTTACACAAAGAGAAACCAGCTCCTTCCATCCACAAAGGCAATAGACATTAACTAAGGTAGTTCCACAAAGAGGAACCAGCTCCTTCCATCCATCAAGGCAACAGACAGTTCCAACTAGTTAATAGGAAAGAACAGCCAACGACCCATTACATCCCCGAGTTAAGCTGCAGACTCTGAATGAGCTGCTGGTTTCTATATTGAGGCGTTCACGCTCTTGTGTGTTCCATAGCCGGTTGTCCACCTAGGTACCTAAGGTGTGGCAGTTGAAGCGTCCTGCCACATTGGTAGCGAGTCGATCGCGAACGCTAGGTCAGGACAACTTCAGTTCATCATCATCCGTTGCTACCCGTGACAGGCGCCAGCGGTTATGCTGCCAATCGGGCCCCGATCCAGATCCTTGGAAAGCGGAAAGACCATGCAGTAAGCACAGCCTGCAGGTAATTCCCCCTCCCACTCAGGAGGTAGGTCAGGTAGTAGTTGGGCAGAAACTTGCCACTCGAAGCCGCGTCTCCTAGAGAGGGAGCTCCATTAGTCCAACTAGGTAAGATACCTTGCACGTTTCCCATTTCGCCAAACCATCATACAACGTGAAACCCCTTCGGGGAAATTCGAATCTGTGGATCCAAGCTCCTGTTGTCAATGAAGAGAGCATCGGGATTTGAGTGGCATAACTTGATCTGTCGTTGGCAGATTCCAGGCCGGCTCAAGAACCAGGCGTTGGGTACAGACACATTCATGGGGATCTGAAATTAGGTGGATGTAAGCATGGGCTAGAGCTGGGCTGTGTAAGAATCAAGAATGTGCGTAGCAATGCGTGGCGTATTCGCAGCTCATCTCTCTCTCTTTCGATATCGCTCTTCATGTTGCTTTCATAAACGCTCTTTCCCCTCACCACGATCTTTCTTCTCACTACAATATTTTCTCTCTTTCCTCAAGACTTTCACCACGCTCTTTTCAGGCTCACTGCGCTCTTTTCAGGCTCACCACGCTCTTTCCTCTCACCACGCTCTCTCCTCTCACCAAAATCATCTCCGCTCGCGCTCTCACTCGACAATCCTTACTTTCGCTCTTCACGATGGCCGACCACCCTCCTGCCACCCAGTCGGGAATGCTCGACCACATGCAGCGCTTCTACTTGATCACACCTGGGGCAGCCCGCACTTTGATCAATGGCATTGAGCTGCCTATCACGGAGCCACCCGACCTCTTGGAGTGTCTCATGGCCATGGCCCACAGACACTCTACTTTGCTCGGGAATGCCAATGGTAAGAAACCACCACCAGTTCACAACTTTGAAGTGCTGTGCTGACCGAAAGCGATGAGCCACAGCAGCACGACTGCCAGTGCCACCTCGGTTGCAATCAGAATCGGCACCACGAACGCCCCGCATGCCCCAGCCATCTGCCGCCGGTGACGGCATGGCATCGGCAGCTGCTGGGCCGGGCGTGAAGCCCACAGCAGGCAACGGGACGTTCACGTACGAACGTGTCACTGCCAGAGGAAACGCCCTGCAGTTCAATGCCCCCGTTGGCACCGATCCGGCCATTTTCAACTGCAACATAAGCCACAGAGACACCTGTGCCTCGGACTGGAGCGTCATGTTCAACGCGCCTGTCCTGGCTGACGCCAAGGAGATTGTTAAACTGGACATTCACTACAAGGAGCGACGCGACGCGGCTGCCGCCGCGGCGCCTGGGCAGGGCTGATGTCGCTTATCCACGGCGCCTGGTCTTTACTGAGACTCGACTCATCAGGGGGTGGATTATGGAAGCAAAGAGGCCTTGGTATTCGTTTCTCATGTGCTTTATAGATTTGGGGCTGGCCTCGAATCTCGACTGACCACACGTCCGTTGGGTTAAAGGATGGGACGGGAATAGAGAAAAAGGGGTTGGCTATAAGGACATCTAAATGCCAATTCAATACATTGATATTTCCCAGTTGTCGTTGACTTGGTGGTGCAAACTTGATGTCCACGAGCCGGGACACATCAGCATATCCCTTCAAGCTACCGTTCATCCTCTGATTACATGTTACTAAGTACCTACCAGCAGTGTATTTGGTTGGACTGTACTTTCCCAAGCAGTACAATAACGCTAATTCAATCATGAACACCGGTCTACCTTAGTTACCCGCGCATTGCTAGTATCGCCTGAAGGGCTGTAAAATCCGTCCGCCCGTTCACCTGGACGCTGTAATCCTTTGCCTGCATCCTCGTATATTCGCATCTGGCCGGCCAACCCCAGTCCGTTGATCCAACGTCTCCGTTGAATTGAATCGCATGCCCTTGCGAGGTGTTCTCGAAGTAAGGCAAACTGGAATATTGGGTGTTGGTTGATCAGCTGTGGTTAACGTGGATCTTTGTTTGGTACAGAGAAAGAGAGAGACTTACTCTGAACTTGAAGGTGACGCCGCATGCGGTAACGGTAGCTCATCGATAGCAATTATCGTGTCCCCTCCCTCAAACGTTGTCGTAGTTGTAGCATCAGAACTGATAGAAGATGATGTGGAATGCGGTAACGGTATCTCGTCGACAGCAGTTATCGTGCTCCCTCCCTCGGCCGTCCATGTAGTCGTAGTATTAGCATTGATAGAAGGCTGCTCACCCAGGCTATCCACGATCCTGTCCCCAGCATTCAGGCCCGTCTTCGCCACGCTCTCCTCTACCCTCCTAAGGATCTCAACCTGAGCAACATCAATCACCGTATCCAGCAAGGCCAGGGAGCTCCCAACTCGCTCTAACCTCTCGCTCATCTCCCGTTCCAACCTCCCGCCCTCCAGCAAAACCCTCAGATACCTGCCCGCTTTACCCCCTTTCATTCCCACCCTCATCTGCCTCTCTCGAAGCTCAATCTGCTCTTCTACCTCCTTGCAGATAGCGTGGACCTCTTCCACATGCTCCATGACCGCTTGGTTGCCAAGGAGGTATGGTTCCGCCTGAATCGTCTCTAAGACATGCTGGATACGCGTCAGTTGGCTCCGGTGGCGGTCCAAGACGGCAGGGAGCCCGCGGACAGTCCTGTGGACCTGGACGAGCTTTTGGACGATGGAGACGGCCTCAGCAACGAGCTCGGTAGCGGCAGAAACGGCCGAGACTACCTCCTGTGGTGGCCGCGTTAGCGATGTGTGTTAGAGGCATATCTTTGGCTTTGGGGGAGAAAGGGGGGCGAGGGAGGGGTAAGGGTTTGTCCCCGGCCTCTGCAAACAGAGTGATAAGGTAAGATACCATGGAGGAAGCTCTTGACGAGAACCTCGAAGCCTCTACATATAATTTCTTGAACACAGGTCGTAGCGCGGTAGTAGGTGGTTGTGGTTATCGCAATCTGGAGACCGCCTCCAAGTTCCATCACACTCTCTCTAAGGGGCGCTGCCGGGTCTTTAAACTTGCTGTTACCTGCTCCGCCCCAGCAGTCGACGGACACGGCCAGTCTTCATTGCTACCTTACATAAGACGGTTGGCTCCTACCGACATATTGAGGGCCCTCCATGCGGTGCGGGATATCCTATCACGACGGCACACATCTGCATATACATCATGTACGTGCCCCGCTTCCATAACAAGCCTCAGGATGTTACGGGAGTGATGCCTCGCAACTTGACGCCCTATCCCTGAACAATGGCACTGCCTTTGCCTAGCAATTCGAGTCCTAGGCTGAATCGCAAAACAGTTAACAGTATCGAATACAACGTAGAAAGACTCCCGTCCAGACTGCCCGCCCCCCGACCTACCTTTCTCACTTTGCGCCTGACAGATGCCATTGCACAACCTTGAAGTTCCAGTCAGGGTACGTTGAGGTCGGCCTGTTGGGCTCACAGCTCCGTGCTGCCCAACAGGAATTGGGACTCAGTAGGCTCATGAGTGAGGTATTGTACATACTGTTGGTAGGTATTGTATCCAATGTTACGGAGTACTGTACAGTATTGTTTCGAGACAGTCTGGACGGGGGAAGTTGCAACACCAGCAAGCAGGAGACGATTTTAAACTGTCAAAGCCGCTTTGTGAAGCTCAAGTGCTTTCGTAGCGGTCGCCGGTTGGATTCGTCACAGTCGAATTAAACGCAGTAGACGCAGTCGATTTCAACGTAGTTGACTTCAATGTGGAAGAATGGCTGTAATCGCGTTTTCTGAGCTTTCTTTGCGTGGAAATCAAAGGCAGGAAGATGGATGTCGGGAGGGTTGGCGGCGGCGCCCGAAATAACCCTAACCCCGGGGGACTAGTGCCCCCAGGAAAATGTGCTAGTGCCCCCTGAAGCAATTCCCTTAGTAAACGGCTGGCGGCTTCGCCGTTTTTCGCGAAACAGGGCTGCAGATTTCAAGGTCAGCTCGGATCTCGTAAAGCGATTCCAGGTTGAAGGTGTCGAAGAGAACAGGTCGGAGCAGGGTAACCAGACCGACACCGAGGATTGCAAAACATCGACGAACTTCTCGGCGGCCCAACCCCCTTTCCCAGAACCAGAAGGTCAAGTAAGGGGTTGGAAAAGCCAGCGGTTTGTTAATCTTAGAACCTTTGGCAAGAGTATCTGTTTTACGAAGTTGAAGCCGGGCAATTGTAAGCAGTCCTCCTGCCCTTGAAGCGGCTTGCGAGACTCGCGGCTTCCAAGTTGCTGTCAAAAGGGCAGCTGGTAGGCAGGCCCCGGACAGCGTATATCCGAGTCTAGACAAGTGATAACGAGGCAGATGATTATAAAGATGTCATCTTCAGAGCGAGCTGTCATTAGTTTTAGTAGTGGAATAAGGTACAGATAACGGAGAAGCAGAAACCCCTGAATGAAGGGGAAACTTGACGGGCAGTGGTGATGACATTTCACGGTGCAAACCTGTTTCGTATTGGCACGGTGAAGTCACTACAGCGGCCTAGAACTGGCCCCGCATTACCAAGTCCCGAGGCACCCCGCCTTTGTTATCGCACCGTGGAAGCCCGAACCGGCAAGCTTGAGCCCTGAGGCCAGATCTGTCCGAGGCTGAGAAGGAACGTGGTGCCTGTTGTCCGCACATCCCACCGATCTCACGTAGGGACTCGCGTGATCGTCTTGGCCGAGGGGAAAGAACTGAGGGAACCCAGAGCCCACAGTGAGGAAAAGAAGCAATCAAGTAATTTACGTTCTGTATGTATGTACATACGGAGTAACGCTCTGCATAACGTTGGCTATCACGCCTTACCTTGCCTTGCCTGGGCTTTTATTTAGGTACCCCACACGCGACCAACCTCGACCGACCTCGACCTCGACCACCATCGACCAGACCCCCAGACTCCCAGACCATCATCGTCGACCAACATCTGCAAGCGACCAACAAGTGTCTTGTCGCCTTTCGCATATGACACGGTGTATATTTGCCAGCGTTCCCATTAGATTCTGTTAGCAGCTGCCGACCTCGTTCCCGGTTAGTTGCGAATTTGGTCGCCTCTCGTGGCCGATTGCCCGCTTGGTTTGGGGGCCTGTTGCCACTAACGTTACGTAGAAAGTGTTGCCCTTATTATTAGTGTGCGGCGCGACACACTTTTGCATTCCCCAATCTCGCATCCTCACCAGGTTCCTGTCGTCTGGCGCGCCTTACTTGTCAGCTGCGGTTTACCCTAGGAGTTGCCACATCAAGTAAAATAGAGGAGCCCTCCCGCAGGCACAGGCAGCACACCTAGCGACTTCCAGCCAAACCCCGCTCCACCGCCAAAATTGCTCGGTGCAGTCAATCAGTACCGGTAACCAAATCAGCACTCCCAACCGCCCTCTCGACCCCTGGACCTGGCAGAGCGAAGACGGGCACTGTACACCAGTCTTTTCAAAAACTGGAAGCTAAAAAGACGAAGCGCAGGAACAAGAGAAGAGTACCTGGCGGCAGCCGCACCTTAGGCTCGTGTTGAGTTTCCTTTGAGGTCTGACCAATCTAGCCCTTTCAACGTCATCAGAAGAGGAGCACGGCCGCCGCCGCCGAGAAAAATTCAACTCTCCGCCTGCCTTCCTCAGTGCCCGATTTCCCCGTCAAAACCACCCCCTCCAGCACCACCCCACTGCAAACTGGTAGCCACGCCGCTGCCCGAATTGCACCTCGAGACCGCATCATCATGGGCCAGACACTCTCTGAGCCCGTCGTCGAAAAGGTACGTGCCATCAAAGTGCCCGCGCATTTCTCACAACCCCCGCCTGGTTCCGCTGCATCCGTCCGCCGTGCTGTCGTGGGGTATTTTGGGGGCTCCTGGGCTGTGGTGATGGTGGTGCGCGGTGCTCGGCTGCCCCTTTCCCTCGTCAGGACTGGGCTCCGAGGTCACCATCTGCTCGCATGCCTCGCTACATCACCTCCTTGTCCCTACAAAAATGGGCCTGGCGCCATGCGACCGCGTCGGAGGGTTGCTTTCCTCCCTTTGTGACCTCCTCCCCGCTCCCCCGCCTATAGAGGCGTTGCCTTCTCCCCAGGTGTCGAAGGGTTAGACTAACGCGATGGGCATCGCCCTTTCTTCTTCTTTTAGACATCAGCACATGGCGGGGATGAACGGCTAGTCTACGGCGTGTCGGCCATGCAGGGCTGGCGCATAAGCATGGAGGATGCGCACACGGCGGTACTCGATCTGCTTGCCAACAACCCCAAGGCGGCCAAGGAACACCGCTCGAAACTCTCCTTTTTCGGCGTCTTTGACGGCCACGGCGGCGACAAGGTTGCGCTGTTTGCCGGCGAGAACATCCATAATATCGTGACTAAGCAGGACACATTCAAGGCGGGCAACTACGAGCAGGCTCTTAAGGACGGCTTTTTGGCTACCGATAGAGCCATATTGAACGGTACGGTCACCCCCGTCCCTTTTTTGCACCGCGTCCCGCTCTCCACCAGCATTTCCGCATTCTCCTTCTTCTACGCGAGCCCGCTGACATGGATGCTCTCGAGCAGATCCTAAATACGAGGAGGAAGTATCGGGCTGTACGGCTTGCGTGGGCTTGATTACCGAGGACAAAATTTACATTGTTGGTCACACCCCCCCCCCCCCCCCCCCCCCCCCCCCATTGCCGGGATTACTTTTGGTATCTAATCTTCCCAGGCAAATGCTGGCGACTCGAGAGGCGTGCTGGGGGTCAAGGGCCGAGCTAAACCCTTGTCATTTGACCACAAACCGCAAAATGAAGGTGCGCCGAAAACCGCCGTCTCCTGTCCCCTCTGTTGGCCTCCACGGCTGGTTGCTGACTTGGGGTTGTTTGCGCGGGGTTTGTAGGCGAAAAGGCGCGGATTACGGCTGCAGGCGGCTTCGTCGACTTTGGCCGCGTCAACGGAAACCTGGCCCTCTCAAGAGCTATAGGAGACTTTGAATTTAAGAAGAGCGCCGAGCTCTCGCCGGAGCAACAGATTGTGACGGCGTATCCCGACGTCGTGGTGCACGATCTGGCCGACGACGACGAATTTCTGGTCCTCGCCTGTGATGGTACGTCTGCCTGAGACTCGCGGCAAGCCGTGATGCCTTGTACCCCCTGGCTGACGAGTTGACCCTAGGCATCTGGGACTGCCAATCCTCGCAGGCCGTGATCGAGTTTGTCAGGCGAGGGATTGCTGCCAAGCAAGATTTGGACAAGATCTGCGAGAACATGATGGACAACTGCCTGGCGTCCAACTCGGAGACGGGTGGCGTGGGCTGTGATAACATGACCATGATCATCGTTGGCTTCCTCAGGGGCCGGAGTAAAGAGGAGTGGTACGAGGAGATAGCCAGGCGGGTTGCCAATGGAGATGGCCCTTGTGCTCCTCCCGAATATGGTAGGGACTCGCCGTCTTCTTGAACGTGCGCAAAGTTTTATTACCAGTTTTGGCATACCTTGTCTTTTTCTTCCCAGCTTTCCCCGCTCCTGTCCCTTCCCCGACCGAGTTGGTTCCATCCCACCTTGTTCGAGACAAGCGTGTATGTGTGCGTCTGCGGGCGTAGAACAAGAAAAGAGCAAGAAGGGGGGGAGGAAGACCAAGAAGAAATATACCCGGCGCCCGCTTGCACGTTTGGCAAATCAAAACGAAACCAAGGAAAAGACGCTGTTCTAGTTGTATCGTTGGTTTCTTGGCTCTGCTCTGCTCTGCTCTACCGAAAAAATACCTTGGCAACCGCTTTACTAATATTCTTGGTGTGCCGCCCGGCTATAGCTGAATTCCGCGGACCCGGCGTACACCACAACTTTGACGACAGCGACAGCGGCTATGACATGGAAGACCACCAGAAACAGTCGTCGTCAGGTGGTGGCGGCGGCAGGAGCTTTGGCATTGGCGGCTACCGGGGCCGCATTATCTTTCTGGGAGACGGCACCGAGGTGCTGACCGACTCGGACGACACGGAAATGTTTGACAATGCCGAGGAGGATAAGGACCTCGCTAGCCAGGTCCAGGTTTCGAGAGCCTCGGTCGATGGCGGTGCGGATGCCCAGGAGGAAGGAAAGGGCAAGGGGGCAGGGGATGTGGATGCTGCTGGTAGCGGTGTTGCTGGTGCTGGTGAGGGGGAGGTAAAATTCGAGGGAGACGCCGAGGGTGCTGCTGGTGCTGAGGAGGGAACAAAGGTTTCCGGGAAAGAGACAGAGGGGGGCGGCAAAGATGTTCAACAACATGCCGACCAGCAGCAGCAGCAAGGGAAGGTAAACAGTAATGATGGGGAAGCGGGGGTGAAGAAGGATGCGTGATGATGTGCGATATCGGGTATCAGTTGAGATTCATGTCAGAAACAGGAACGGTTGAATGAATGGATGGAATGGAATGGAATGGATAGGGTATCAAGACAACACATACCAACTGATATGCACGCACGCAACGCACTTTGGGGTTGGTTGGGGCCCGGGGAAGAGAGGAGGGGAGGGGGGTTCTCTGTTTTCTTCCTTTTTTTGTTGCTCTCTTACTGTGGGTTTCGTCTTCTTATATCCCATTTTTTTTTCTCGTTCCAGGAACAGGAATCAGCATGATAAGCAACTATACCACGCAATCATCATGGAACTGGGTTCTAGTACGAAGTAAACGCAGCGAAGCTACCAGTGAAAGGGGTGTTGATATATTCGCCAACCAGTAACAGTGCTGTAAGTGTATATATTGAACATGCTTAACACACTGGTGGGTTGTCCCCTGGGTGCATAGATGCCCCAGCTCACGTCTCCTGGATTGTACTGTACATGTACATACATACATCCAGGACTGAGCTGAGGATACTACCCCAGTCAAATTCCCATAACCTCCTCCCTAGCTACCTACCTACACACCACCAACTTGCTGGCTTCCCTAGGTACCTGACCCCTTTACCGATTCAAACTCAACAACCCCTCGATATACCGTCTGGTATCCACCCCAATCCCCAGCGTGCCCTGTGCCAGACGGCTCGCACCGTCCACCACCATCCACCCGGTCCCAACACCACCACCACCACCACCACCACCACCACCACCACCAGCATTACCACCCCCCACTCCCAGACCCCCACCAGTAATACCACCGCCGCCGCCGCCAGCGGCGTGATCGCTCGCCCTTCGAATCAGAAAGACCTCCTTACCCCCCGCAGCCACAACCCTGCTCTTTTCCTGATCTTGATCCTCATCCCCGTCCGCCTCCGAACCACCACCACCAGAAGACACTTGTTGCTGCTGCTGCTGCTGAGGGGGGTTGTACTCGAGCACTCTGTTCCAGACAACCCACCATCCGCGGCTGGTTTTGCAGGTCCGTTCCATTTGCACCGGGTGATCCTGGTTGTGGTTGTCGCTTCGGGTGGCGGTGTAGAGATTCAGGATCTGGTTGTGTGTGTTGAGCGCTTCGACTCTTGTCCACACCTGCTGCTGCTGCTGCTGCTGATGTTTGTTTTGCGATTGTGGTGGCGGTAGCAGAATCGGCGGGCCGGGGGTTGTAGTGTTGGTCAAAACCGGCTCGGGAATGTTGGGGATGGTGGAGTGGATTGTGAGTGTTGCCGGGTCAAAGACCAGGTCGTAGATCTGGGTTCTTGGGGCGGAGGGGAGGCCCGTGTCTGGTTTTGCTGGGCGGTAGGCGGTCGAGATGAGGAGCGGTTTCTGCAGGGCTGAGAGGTGTGTGTGCAAAGACTCGGAGAGGGCAGGCCAGTTCCATGTTTTGGCTGCAGGGCTGGGCGTGGTGCGGAAGAGGAAGACGTAGATGAATGGTCTGTTGACATAGATGGCGGGGCGAAGGGTGGCGGTCTTGTTGTCGTGGTGGGTGTCATGGGAATCCGGCTGTTTGCCCTCAATACTGAGATCGCCAGGGCCTTCTGACTGTGGGTGATTGTCGGCGTGAGAATCGAGCTCAACAAAGACAGTCCTAGGATCTGCGATGGGGGTATGCCGCGGCGACTCTGACTGATTTAGCTCGCCAACATCCTCGGTTAGGCCGAGCAGAAAGTGGCCAGCATCGAGTTCCTTCAGAGGTTTATGGGAGCGCGCGTCCTCAACGGGATCCGATTTGTTCGCTGAGCCGCTGTCTGTATCTGACTGCCCTGACGGCGTAGATGAGCCCAGAGACCACGAAGTGCCGTAGCCCAGCTTGAGGTAGCTAAAGATCTTGTCCATGCCACGCTCCCCTTTCCCAGCTTCCGGGGGAATCTCGGCAGCACCACTCGTCTTATCGTTCTCATCCCTTTCCAGGGCGCCGCTAGTTGCTGGCGGCTCTTCCGGGTTAGATTTCCCTTGCTGCCGCGATTCCCTGTCCTCTCTGGTCGGGGTGATTTGCATAACACCCGCTCTCCTGCCCGCCGCTTTCCGCCGCTTTTCCTGCCGTCTCGTGGCACTCACACCGTTATGAACACCATACGCATTCTCTCCCCACGTATACACATCCTCCATCCAGTACGTGACGGCGCGGAGAGAGTGTCGGGAGAGCGCCCCGACGCCGAGGAACACGGCGCCATCCTCGGTGCCGGGCTCATTCCCTATTCCAAGCCACTGCCCAGCCTCAGCGTCAGCCGAATTCTCGTCCACCCCTCCCTTCCCCTTACCCTCCTCACCACCCCGCATGGCGGTAGGAACCTGGCCGGCCTGCCCATACCGGCCCACAACGAGGTCGACCAGCCCTTCAACCCTGTCCACCAGTCCCTCGAGCACTTCCCGCTCGCCGCTGCCGCGGTCCTCCTCGCCGACGCCCATGCCGAGTTCGCCGCTCGCGGCAATCTTGATGCCGCCCAGCACGCTGCAGGCCGGGTTGCCGTGCAGGAGCACATTCCAGGTCGCGAGGAACGGGTCCCAGTAGCGGGCAAGGACAGACACAAAGGCGGCGTGGGGGGTTGTCCGCGCGAACAAATCAGACAGCGAGCCGGCGTTGTGCAGGAGAAACACCGAGTGGGCGCGCAGCAGGTCCTGCAGCAGCAGCTCGGCCGGCTTGACTTCGCGCGACGAGTACTCGGCCTTTTCCTCGCCCGGAGATGATGACTCCCGGGGGGCAGCCGGACCTTGGCTTTGGCTTTGGCTTGGCGCCGGCGCAGCAGAGGAGGAGGACGATGAGGGAGCACGAGCACCACCGGCCTTGCTTTCTGGCAGGGGCAGACGGGTGAGGTCAACGGACTGAGCGGAACATTAGCATCACATCACATCCACCGTGCCAGCTCGGGCTAAGCGGGAGTAGCAGAGCAACCGGCTAAGTCGTACGTACAGCAAGAATCCACCACCCGGGCTCCAGCTCGTGGAGCACCACACGGGTGCGCTCCGTGTCGATCGAGTCGACGGGCTTGCCGCCGGAGAAGCTTCGGGCAAACTCGACCATGGCCTGGGCGAGGCCGATCTGCCTCAGCCGCTCATTGCGCTCCTCCCTGGAGACGGCGTCGGTTGGGCGGGCCGCGTCCTTGTTATTCGAGCGGTGACGGTGGCGCCGTTTATGGCTGGTCAGGGTGCTGGCCGAGGCATAGTAGACGATCTGGTCGTCGACTGTCTCATCGGTGGTGCCCAGGCTGGGGTTGTAGATGGCGAGGAACCCAAGCTGGGCAGGGACAATACCAGCAGTTCTGGGTGGTAGCGTGTTGACCATGCTGCTTGCTTCTAGAACCCTTGGGTGACTGGGTCATTAACCGCGGTCGCAGACACTGGGTTTCATGGAGTTCCCCTCTGATGGGTTTGCCAGGGCCGCGCCCAAATGACGCAGCAATGCATGGGCGCACAGCAGCCCGGTTGCACTCTCTTGGATAATTACCGAGCTGAAACGAGTTCAGCTAAAATTCATGGACTCGATTGTGGCTTGTTAAAGTTGGAGGAGAACTGGTGTGTCGTCAATCGTCATAGCTCCCTTGTTGGAAAGAGCTTGTGAGTTTAAGAGTTGAAGCTTCCCCGCATTGTCATGAAAGATGAAACATTGCCTACGAATGCGCTTAAGATCCATGAGCAAAACGCCAAAAGATGACATTCTCCCTAGAAATGAGATTCGGGGCAGCTTTTTGATGAAAATACCTTACTTCATCACTTCCCAATACTGCGTCCTAGCATTCAAAATACCGAGTGTGAGAATGCATACAACCTAGCAGTCCCTCCATGCCTCGTCTCTAGGGTTCAAGCGTGAGACCTCTAGCTAGGCCTACACCTGTTATACCTAGCTTGTGACAATCTCTTCACCTCTAGAAATTGCAAGAAACATCAGCCGTAGCTTAGTTCTCATTGAACTTGAACTGACATAACATAGCTGAGAAGCAAGTCGTTACACCATTGCTCGTCGCCCAGAAAGCCAGCACCAACCCGATCCAGCACACATCATGATCACCATCATGACATCCCGAAGCAGAACCGATGTGATATGACAGACCAACCGCCCAACCCGCCAAATTCACAACCAGGAACTCCGATTCACAGTGCCTCTCTCACCGACCTGGAACCAAAGCCCTTTATACCGAAAAGGAAAGAAAATAGAAAAGGAAAGTTCAAAAAACCTGCCGTCTCCTCACTCGGCCGGTGATGAACCTAGCCGAGGGACTCCTCATTCATTTGCCCGCCTGTCCACCTTAGCCATCGTCCCAGTACACCTTGCTTCCAGGCAAGCTTGCCATAGATACAGTACATAGAACAGGTCGTTGAACAGGCATATCGCAGCAAGATATCAAACAAAATGAACAACAGGAAAACGGAAATATCAAATGGAAAAGAAGAGCAAAACACGCAACTTGGCATGACGAGAAAAAAGAGGGAAAAAAATCCAGAACGAAGCCACCCAAGCCATGGTGCCCTAACCAGACACCCGAATGCCAAAACCAAACCTCGCCCAAGCCCAAGTGATTATAATCCCTTCAAACATCAATCTCCATCCTAGAAGCAATATCCTCACTGACCCCGCGCACAGAACTCTCTCTCCGCCGCTGCTTGTCATCTTCCTCCTCCTCATCTTCTTCCTCATCCTCATCCTCATCCAACTCAAACTGGTCCTGCTCGAGCTCAAAATCCTCCTCATCATCGTCATACTGACAATGCACATCCCCATCAGCATCCCGATTCCATATCAACCCATCATCCATCTCATCATCACTGCCACTCGTAAGCCGCGCAGCCGCCTTGTCCCCCAGCCAAAACCGCGCGCGCTTGTTGGCGCCCACCACATCGTCCTCCAAATCCTGGTCACCCAGTCCCGAGAGATTTCGGCCCCTGCGCGAGAGGCTTGTTGAAAAGTGCGGCAGCTGCCTTGGGCTGTGGCTCATGACGGGCACGCCGCGGACATAGAGATAACACACACGCTTGAGAGCCTTGTTGAAGAAGAAATAGTGCAGCGCCCAGATGGCGCCCTCCTCCTCATCAAACGGATCATCAGCAGGTTGGTACGAAAAAATCGTACAATCCTTGAGACTCATCTCCTTGTCAATCATGGACCACATCTGGGGGCCCCAGGGGGGCGCCATGTTCGAGACGCCCGTGTTAAAGCTTGCGGGGGAGCTGCCGCTGCCGCGAGACGGGACTGCCGTGTCGAGAAGAGTTGCGTTGGGCCGCACGCTCGAGAGCGTGCTGTCAATGTGCGCCATGACCTTGCGCAGCACGCGTTCGCGCCGGAAGTCGGCCGGCCGCAGCACGTGCGAGAAGTCGTAGTCCGGGTGCGATGCGTTGAGCGTCGCAATCAGGTAGGCAAACGTGCGCCGGTTCGACACTTCGTCCAGCGACCCGAACGGCGAGGAGCGGCTCAGGTTGAGGCTTGCCGCCATCGAGCTCCGTTGGGGCGGCGAGAGAGACGCGCCGAACTTGAGAAGCGCGGCATGTTGCGATTCGAGTGATTGCTGGATGTTCTTGTACAGCTTCTTGTCTGACCCCGCAGCCTTGGTCGTGTAGAGGTCGCAGCTTCCCGTGACGTGGCAGTCGGGCGTGTCGAAATTCAGCGCGCTCGTCACGACGTCAAACGTCGGGAGCGACAGGTACTATTATAATCCGCTCAGCAAACTGCTTCAGGTTCGCGAACAAATGCTTTGCGTGTATACCTTCATCTTGCCGCCAGATGGAGACGGACAATGCGATACCAGCGGGGGAATGAGTATGCAAACACCAGTTTCCGTCAGCAGCGGGTTGAATTGTCTGGAGAAGTCTCGAGGATAGGCGACGTGCAAGTTCGAAGTGTCGTGTCGCCAGCGCAGCGGAAGGAAGCCGGTAATCGGTGGTGGAGATGCAGTTCGCGGCAACGAGGCGGTGTAAGCGCGCCCGGAGACGCTTGCGGTTACTTGGTTGCTCGCGGTTGCGAGTGGTTGCGAATTGGTGATGACGGCCCGTTGGCTGAAGAGAGGGTAGTTGATTAGGGGAAACCGGGAACGGCGAGGAGCGCAACCCGGTTCTAATTCTCGTTTCGGATGGAGCTGAATAAAGCCGGGCGCGGGGTGACGGGCTGACAATGCAGCTTGGGGTGGTGTGGAAGCACGTTGATACAATCGAGTGAGGTTGAAAAGAACGTTCTGGATGGGATTGCGGAAAAGAGAGACAAATGGAATGAAGCTGTTGTCGAGAAGTTGGTGAGGTGGTTGCAGGTCGGCATTGGCTTCCAAGTGTCGGTTGCGAGTCTCATGTGGCAGGCCTGCATCATCAGCGACTTCTGCCTGCCAAAGTGCTGCGCCGGGGCCACGTTGGTAGCGTAATCCCGGCTTCGGGAATCGTACGGATAATTGATCGGCACCCCTCCTAGGCACCCCCAACTTCCTCTCTCCTGAGATCTTGCGTCACATGAGATACCAAGCTGCGAACGAATGAGATAACGTCAAAATCCCACGAGGATTACCTGCGAATGCCGTCACTGATTAGATTCTTGCCAAGGCCCAAGAATGCGCGCTGTTGTTTGCTAGCCGTTCCTGCACATGGCCGCGTCCGGTTTGACAAGTGGATGCGAGGGCCCAGCGTGTAGATGGCGTCCTAGTATTTAGTAGGTCGGCTTGCAAAGCCCAGAATACTGGATTGCCGGGTTCCTGAAATCCGTCTTCGAAGACGGCGCTGTGCTGCATGGAGCCCTCGATAGGCCCAGCACTGACAGGCTTTTATCTACAATATGCCCATGTCTAGGTTCTGCGAAAGGAGTTTGCTCCCTCCTAATGGGTAAATGTAGTCCCAATGCCCCCAATGCGTGCCGCCGGTAGCCTGCCTCTATCCGGATCGGCCACTGTGTAATTCCCCTCAACGCCTTGTCATCCTGTTGCCGCGGCATGGCGTGTCCAGCGCTCATTCGTCGAGTCCGCTCTCGTAAATGGGTATCGTGAAAGTGCGACGGCCTCATAGAAGCCCGGCGGTCTTTAAGGCGTCTGTAACCTGCTCCATCTCCTGTATCGTGTATGCCAAGATGCATTAGCTATTACCCCCGTTATGCCACAGTTCCCGTCGCAGGTGCACAGCTCGAGAGGGACCGTCGTCGGGAGAGGGAAGGACTCGAGGGGAAAAGTTGCGCCGCTGCTCCTCTACATGATCTTCGTGACTTCATCCTCAACCTGAGGGAGCGACACGTTAGCAAGATCAAAAGAAGGGGCAAAGGCGCAGTCGAAGAACGGTCAAGACATCTGTGCAATCCAAGTCAACCGCCAGCTGTAAGGAAAGCACCAACCTCCATGTCTTCGAGGGCATCCTGCTGGGAAATACACCGCAACACATTCTTTTTGCTGCTCTCCTGCAGTTCCCCTGCCAGCAGGAGCTCGTCCAGAATGTAATAGGCCTTTGTAAAGGAGAAGATGATGTCAAGCTCGCAGACGTTGCCGTAATACTTGTCCATCTGTTCGACGTAGCGGTGAATGATTTCAAGCGTGATTAGTTCGTTGTCTTCGGACGAACACCCGGCGATGAAGAACAGCGAGGCGTATCGACGGTAAACGATTTTGGTGTCTGAGTTGAGAGTCAGTACCGCTTTGGCGGAAACAGAAAGCGAGTGCAGCGTTGGCTATCGGGCGATCAGGGTCACTTGCCCTTATACTCGAGAAAGTTGCACATGCGAGTGCGTCGAGCCAGGACGAGTTGTGAGACATCCTTGACAATCTTGGCTTTCTCCTTGGGGGAGAGCGTGGTAAACCATTTGGCCAGCCGCTGTAGTATGTAGCCGCGTTAGCCTCGTCAAGTCGACGACTGGGTGCGTGCTGAAAAACCGACCACTTTGCCCTGCCGTGAGAGCAGGATAAGATAGCTGTTGACACCATGACAATCAGCAAGCGATCGAACTCACGATTGGGGAGTATTGGCATACTTGATGGCCATGATGAAGCAAGCTCGATTGCTTCACGGGCAATAGGAGAGAGAGGTGGCCGATGCAAGTCGAAAACGGCTTTGCGCAGTGGTTAATTTCCAACCTTTGGGCTGTTTCGGGGTTGGCCACGAGATCTGCGGGAAACATTCTGTGGTTTTGCAGCCTGAGGTTCAAATTCGGGCGCTTAGCCCCACTGGGAGGTCCATACTGTAACTTTCATTACCGAAACCTCCATACGGATACAGTAGCAGGTTTGGTACGGAGATAGTTACACCTATAGCTCCATACTGGTCTATTGTTTCAGACGGCATCCATACAATGTCAGCACTATTCGGAAACGAAGGAGAAGACAAATCCAGAGAAGCAGCACGAAGAAATAGAATCGATGACTTAGAAAGGAGTGAAAGAGGGATCGAGCTTGTCAGTATGTAGATTTTCGAATACTAGTAGGTAACGAACGTTACATAATCGCACAATACAATACCGACCCCTGGATCCGTAAGTCCTCCGTAAATTCACCTACTACTGTACGTAGCACGGTTCTCAGATCGAGAGTGAAGAATGCAGATGGGAATCCCCTAGAATAAGGGTCCTTGAGTCGTTTTCATAGACTGGGATAGCTCAACTCTCAGTCTGCTATCTTCCAGCTGGTATTGCTTCCTATGAAAGGCTGAGTGGCTTACGCACATTGTAAACCACCGTCGCACGTGCAGCTCCTGCTTGGGGGACCGCACTTTCCCACCCACTCAAAGCGGGGGAATTTGGGGAATTTGTGAGCGCCCTTCAACCTCGACCGCAACAGAACATGTAGAGACCGAGCCGCAGTGTGGGAGGCACTGCAACTCCCCACGTCCAGCAATGAGTTCAACAAGACGGATTGGTCTGGTATCAATCGGTTCCTTCTCTCATCCCGCGTCCTCGCTCACGAGGTGATCCAGATCTCCTCAAGGTAACTACAGCACGATCGATCATGAGACATCTTCCATCCTTACCATCTGCCTGAACCCCCCTAAATTCACTTCTGCTGCCATCAGCATTGGGACTATTTGGAACAGTCTGGAACCCGCCTGATAACACAAGGGTCTCGCGCTTACCCCTGATTATTCTCTCGTGTTTCTCTACACTATCTCTCTCAGTCTCTGGTGCGGAGGCAAGTTCACATATGTTATCGGCTGCGGTAAGACTGCCTGGCGGGGCTCTGCTATGAATCATTAATAATTCACGGAGAGGGGAGCCTACTGCTTGAAACCCCGCTGAAATTTCGGCATTGATCTCTTCACATCTCCTAACGGTTGAGGACATTTACACGACTACTGAATAGGGGGGATATTCTTGAATCTGTGAACCAGCAATGACCAAGTTAATACTTTCCACCGGGTAAGTTGCGCTCGGACAAGGCTTGCTTCCCCCCGGTGCGACCGCACTTGGGTGCGCTTGCTTGAAACCTCCTGCCGTGAGAATGGCTGCTGATTGCGTGATTGAAATTTGTCGCCAACAGGAACATTGTCTCGGGCGGTCCCTCGATCATCCGTAAGCCCGGGGCGTACCGCTCCAACCTTGAACTGACCAATTCGCTCCGAAGCAATTTTTTGGCGGCGCAGGAGGAAGCGCAACAACAACACCAACAATTACATGGAGACGACATTGCAGATAACAACAACGTCAACAACAACGACACCAGCAACGGCCATGGCGTACACATAGACGACGACGACACCGACGCTAACGGGACGCGCGGGCGCCCGCCAGCGTCGGCCTGGACAGCGGAAGAGGACGGCGTCCTGTATGTGCCCCGCATCGATTGGTCGATGGCGGGGCTGCAGGAGGAGCCGGCGCAATACGACATCACGGCCAAGCTCTTCTTCCTACCGACCGATGCGCCCGTGTCCGACCGAGCGCGGTACGCCAGGGAGGCGTTAGATCTCGTCCTGAAGGAGCTACGGGTTCCCGCGGTCGACCTACTCATCGTATCCTTCCCGGGCATGTCGTTTGACGGCGACTGCGAGTGGGAGGCGGACAAGATCAACTCGCGGCAGGGCAACGACGAGGACGAGATTGCGACGTGGCACGCCGCCATTGAGGGGCTGTACGACGCCGGCCTGGCCAAGCGTATTGGGCTGGCGGAATTCGGCAGCGAGAAGCTCGCCCGGTTCTTGAAGAGGGTGCGCGTCCGGCCCAAAGTCAACCAGATCAATCTTAAGAATTGCTGCAACGTGCCCCCGCCCCTGGCGCAGCTCGCCAAGGAGCAGGGCATCGAGCTCCTCGTCCACAGCGATTGCACCGACATCCTCCCGAAAGGGACCCTGCGGGAGCTCCTCGGCCAGGGGCTCGGCGGCGCGGGGATCCTGGCCGACACTGAGACGGGCAAAGGTGGGTTGCAGGGAGATCTCACTCCGCAATGGGTGGTCAAGTACACTGCCGTTGTCCGAGACCGCGGCGTGATTGAGAACAAGGGCTATTTCGCGGGGGCCGGGTTGGACGGGGCTTGACGTGTGGCGTTATCAGGGGTTGATCAATGGATTGCGAGTTATGGTAAGGCAAGGGGCCCTTGAGGCTACTACCCATCCTGTACTGTACGGAATGGAATTGTTGCGGCATTTGATTGCAGGCGACGACCATGGCATAAACCTCAAACCGAGCGAGGACCTTGCAGCTTCTATGTTGGGTATCTTTTCCAGACCATATCTACCTATATACATGCTCGAATTAACCGAGCATGCTCCTCTTCCGCCCGCGCATCCTCACGTCCTCCAACTTGGCCAAGACGGAGGGCGCCTTCTTGAAGGCCTCCCTGTACGAGTCCAGAACGGTGGTGAACAGCCTTTCGGCTCTCGGATGCGTGCTCGCAAACGCCCTTTCGAGCACATACAGATCCACCGCGCGGTCCTCGTCGGACATGCTCTGCGTGGCCAGCCCAAAGTCGATGAGCACCACATCGCCTTCCAGCACCTTGCCCTTCTGTTTGTCTTGATCCTCCTCAGAGGCAGCGCATCCGTTAGGCTGGCCCTTTTCCCCCCACGGCCTAAGCATCATGTTGCTCGTCGTCAAGTCGCCGTGTACCACGCCCGTCCGATGTAGCGCGCCCACGACAGTCCCAATCCTCCGCATCAGGTTGACAAGCGGGGCCTCCTCCTCGCCGGCAGCTGCTTCCCCTGCCCCCGGTGGGATGTCTTTGTCCTGTTGCCCTTGATCCTCCTCCTCCTCCTCCTCCTCAGGCCTCTCACCAAGCCACTCGTTAATCGCCATCCGCACGGGCACGCCCTCAATCCACTCGAGCATCATCCAACCCGCGGCCGGGTCCATGGCGTAGACGGCGGGGACGGGCACGCCCTCGCGCCAGCACCGCTCGAGGACCTTGGCCTCGGACGAGAGGCGTGCCTTGGTCAGTCGCGCATCGAGGATCGGGTGTCGGTAGGCCTTGGGCGGGCGGTACTTGAGCGCGCACGGCCGGTCGGGGGTCAGGTGTGTTGTCTTGTACAGCCGGCCCTCGGCGCCTTGTGTGATGAGGGTTGGCGGGGCTGACGCGGGGTATGTCAGGACTTTGGGGAGGGGGAATTGTTGTGACTGCGTCGGCGTTTCTGAGGGACTTGAAGAGGTAGCCATGGGTAGGGCCGAGAGGTATGGAGTATGGAACACGATTGAAAGGCGAATGGAGAGGATTTGCGCAGCTGGAGAGGATATATGGTTTGAGAATCGGAGGATGGAGGATGGAGGTTTGAAGGTTTGTCGCCAAGACTTTGATTCGTCCTATGCGCAGCGGGGTCTGTCAAGTCAAGATCGCAGTGGAGGGGCAAGTACGAAGTACTTTGCGACCCTCGATTTGCATTTGCCTACCAGAACGGACAATTCATGCGGCTCACCTGCAAAGCAACTCTAAGAACTCAACATTGGAGAAAGCCTCGCCATTGTATTGTCAATACTCTCGTGGTCCCCGTGTCGTTCTCAACATTTCAATCTGTCTGGGCGCTACGAAGATAGCATGGTATCTACATCGCCGATACGGCCCTCTGCGGACCCCCGCTGCGGTGTCACTCAATTGACCATCACAAAGGACGATTCGCTAGGTAACACCATAAAGAGCTGCTTTAGTGCCAGGTTGTTTAATATCAGCTAACTTACATTCTACCTTTCACCTAGAGAATGTAATGCAGGTGTGGTCACTCCACGGTGGCAGCCAACTGGTCGCTGATCCCCTGCAGCGATGCATCGTAGCGCCGTGGTTTGGTCACTTTTGGTGGGCAGTGGAGTACGACCGAGGTTGGTTCCGGGGGCTTGACCTCCGTCATCACTTCACTCACACGCACATGTTCCACATTTCCAACACGGAAACTCCGCAAATGCGCCGTCGGCTGTTATTCAGCAGCAGCGTCACTCTCCCCCCGTCTCGACCTGCTATGACCTGAAGACAAGCCTTTTTCTCCAGCGCTGGACACACCATGACCGACTCGGCTACCCGGCAGTGGATCCTTGTGCTGTCGCTCACCGCTCTTCTCCTCTCGGTCGCCGTCCTCGCCCAGATTGCCGGCCGCTACGCAAAGGCCTACCTGGACGCCCCCAGCGAAGTGGCTACCTTTCTCGACGCCGTCGACAGCTCCATCGCCGAGAACGAGTCGTACGACCGCGATATCGCCAAGGTCAAGCGCCTCGACGACAAGCTCCGTCTCGGCCGCCTCTTGCGAGATATTCAAAAGGGTGGGGATGCTCTGCGCGAGGACCTGAACGCCCTCCTGGTGGACGGCGGGGAGACCCCGCGTCTCCGCATGGCCGCGCGCATCTGCTGGGCAAGCCGCCGTCTCGAACTCGAGGAGAAGGTCCGCCGGCTCGACCTGCTGAGGATGCGCTTCCTTGTCGTCCACATGGGCATCATTGCCAGCCTGGCGACCGAAGCGGCGACAAAGACCACCAGTGCTGCCGCGCGGGACGCAGAGAAGCCGACGGTCGACACAACAGCGCCACATACGCCACGGCCCAGCGGGATCCCCAAGGCTCTAGCAGACAGCATCAAGTCCCAACCGCCGTTGAGGAGGTTGACGGTGCAAGCCATTGGATACCAGGAAAACGTCGAGGGCAGCCACCGCAAGGGTTGGGCGGGAGTAATAAAGGAGTTGCAGAAGAGCCCATTGCTCCGGGAGAGGCATGCCAGCATCGAGACGGCCATGTCCCGGACGCCGTAACGCGCTTCGCTTGATATGCGCTTGCTTTGCCAGCGTCGTGGCATTCTGACGAGATACGAGTTTTGACGACGAGACGACGAGTACGACCATGTTTACGTACGAATCACGCTTACGCATCGCATGACGACCTCATGGCTGCATTAGAAGATCTGCTAATGATTTGGCTTTTGGCGGGGCCCGAGTTCTTGGAGTTGGTCACTTCACATGAGATACCCCTATTTCTTCCCTTTGCATCAGTACTGTTTACTTCACTTCACTTCACTTCACTTACCAGTTCCTTACCTTGCGCCCGTTTCTTTAATAGGCCCCGCAAGGGGTTGTCCTCGTGTCGCATTAACGATTTAAAGGCCAACAGGTTTCTTGGACGAGTCGATAGCATGTTTATGTAGACCGATACAAGGTCACCGTTGTATTGTAACGACGAAACGGGCCCGTAATGATGTACCTATTCCCCCCTATTCCTCAATCCAGGCATCGTGCCCTCTCTTGCGGCCGGAGATGGAAGTTCCCTAATGCGCTGCGTCTGGCCCCATCGCGTTCCGCTCACCCACTGCAGCCGTCGTCAGTCTTCGCTAGGCCCTTCACTACACTTGTGAAGAGAGTCAAGACTCACCATCCAACGCCACCAGAAAGCGGCTCACACAGTTGTAGCAAGCAACCTGCATCATGGCCAGTCAGTCAGTAGACAAACCTCATCTCTCTGCAAGAGTAAGAACCCAAGACAAGAACCCACCGTGGCCGTAATCTCCACAATCTCCCTCTCATTAAACAACTCCCTCATCCGTTGAAACGTCTCCTCCCTAACCTGCACATTCCGCGTCATCTCATCCGTGTAGCACACCACCGCCCACTGTTTCTCAGTCAAAACCCCCTTTCCATCCGCCTCCCCATCCTTGCCCTTACCCTCCCCCTTTTCATAGCCCCCCTCCCCATCCCCACGCACAAGCCTTAACTCCCCCTCCCTCCTGACCACCCCGTCCCTCCCCAACGCCTCCTTCCCAACCCCAGCCTGCTCCGCCAGCGGCGCATGATGCATCCACTCATACCACGCCCGGTTGACAACCGCCACCCGGCAGATGGCCAGCTCACGGAGGTCTGCCGACAAGGAAGTTTGCGTGCGGATGGCGGCGAGAAAGGAGTTCCACCCGTCTGCGATGGGGGGCGAGTGGAGGAGGGTCAGGTCCAGGGGCTGGAGGGGACGGGGTGCGCGGCGGGCGCGGATGCGTTGGATTATGGCTTCGGTTGAGGTTGAGGAACCTGAGGGGGAGGTGGTGGGGACGTGGACGTAGGGGAGGCGCATTTCGAACAATGGAAAAAAAGGGGAATGGATGGAGATTGGTTTGGGTTGGTTCGGGTGTTGAGGTGGATTGAAGAGGGAGGGATAGATAGGTGCGCTGGATAGATGACCTTGGGACGGTACGGTACGGTACGGGGGATGAGTTGATTGACCAGTCGGATTGCTCAGGGAAACTGCTTCGAGCTCACATTAGAGCACAGACAAGGTAGACGAATGTAATCTAAGCAGGGCAATCATCAAGTCAAGTCAAGAGAAAGTAAAGTTGAAATGGTGGAAAGGTGAGAATTACCTAGGTTCACTGGAAGTTGCGCGTCGTCCACATCCGCAGTGACGGGACTTGATGTCATCCCCACTCGGACTCATCCGGTCCCGGTCCCGCAGTCGGATCACAGCTCGGCAACAGAGGTAACCTGGAACTACCGTCAACGTGGAACGGAGCCTTGAATAATCCCGGGTGTTCAATTCCGACCAGATACAAAAATCCCTCCATTTTCTTCTCCCCGGACCACTGCTGTGCAAATGGCCCGTATAACGTACATACACAGTGAAACCTAGATTATTGTTTTCTACACCACAGATGCATGCACATCCAATACCAAGATTGGCAACCACTGCTATACCCCAAAAAGGTGCCGTGCCCTATACTGGTGTAAAAGACAACTCAATCCCGAAAAATTCAAGTCCAAATCCAACCCCGTTTTTAACGCCCTTGTTCCCCTGCGCCTGCCCCGGCGCAGGAATATAAACAAACACTTTGGTACTAGAAAAGCACAGCGCTCGACCGCGACCGCCGAAAAGAACGCCCCCCATGCCATGCTAGTGTTGTTGTATAAGCTAAGCAACTTCGCTGGTCGCGCTATCCAGATCAAGATCAAGCCCCAAAGCCGCAATTATAAAGGTAATATGAACAGTCGAAAGCAGCTGGAAGTATCAAAAACCCCAAGCGGCGGCCCGTCAAGTAGGTAGGTACGGTAAGTACGGTAAGGAAAAACTCGGCTTCATGTCGTGCCGTCAGTGAGCGTGAGCGGAGAAGGTGTCTGCGTCAGCGGTGGTGATTCCACCATTTTTTCCGAGTAAATAGGTGAGAGGGGAGCGCCGTTAACCACGCCGCCGCCTGCTGTGGCTGTCCCATCTTCCATGGGATCCTTTGCTTCTCTCTCGGGCGTCTGCCCTGGCGGTGTCTTATCCGGTGTCGTCTTTTTACTTGTCGTCTCTGGTTCTTCCTCAATGGTCGAGAACTTCCTCAAAACCTGTTTCAGCGCCGGTCGGCGGATCGGTTTGCTCAGGAACTCGTCCATGCCGGACTCTATGCACTCCTTGACGTTGCTTTCCTCGGAAAAGGCCGTCAGCGCGACAATGGGAGCCGAGTAACCCAGCTTCCGGATCAGGCGCGTCGACTGAAGACCGTCCAGATTCGGCATTTGTATGTCCATGAAAATCACGTCAAAGAACTGATTGTTCTCCATGGCCGCCTTGACCAGTTCGTACGCTTCTTGGCCGTCCTTGGCAATGGTGACGTCGTAAATGTCCTCCAGTTTCAGCAATCGGCTGACAACCTCAATGTTGGTTGGGTTGTCCTCGGCCACCAGGACCCGCAGCTTTCCCTGGCACGACTTGTTTGCCATGGCTCGGCCGATGGCGGCCATCTGGTCTTCCTTGCTCAGTCGAGGTCTGTGGCTCCCGGGATTCGTGGCGAAAAAGGGCTGGCTGAGGCCAATTAGCCGCGGCTGCTTATCAAGCATGGCCGAGGAAGACTGCTGGTGCTGGAACTCTGCCGATATCTTCGAGCTTCGTACGTTCTCCCCGTCTATCGAGCCTACGCTCCCAGGCCTCGAGTGAATGCTGCTGGAGGCTGTGCTTGAGGTACTACATGAGCTGTTAGGCACCGTTCCGGTTCACGAAAAAAGCGCGCAGAAAGGGCAGACTTACCGATCCTTCACATATCTGAGGGGAATCTGCATCGTAAAAGTCGAGCCAACGCCCACGGTGCTTTTAAGCGAGATACTGCCTCCCATGAGAGTAGCCAACTGCGAACATATACTTAAGCCAAGACCGGTGCCGCCATACTTCTTGCTCAGCCCAAGGTCGCCCTGGACAAACGGCTCAAAGATTTGCTGTTGCATATTCTCAGGGATCCCAGGCCCAGTATCTTCGACTTCGAATTCGAAAAGGTAAGACTTTGCATTTGGTGGCGGAGGCGTAGGGGACCGCTCCCTGCTGTGAGCGTGCGTAGAAAGCTTTGGGTCCATAGGGTTGATGGAAAGGGCCGTTCCTCCTTTGGGCGGAGAGGACGGTGAATGGCCACCCTTGGAGCTCAACGAGTTGGCGGATCCCGACCCGATCCGATGCCGGGGGCGCCCTTGACGGCCCGAGCCCGTCTTGGAAAAGGATGAGGCCCTGCTCTCGTCGCTTGACGACTCGGTCTCGCCGAGACAGCGTATCCTCACTTCAACCCTGCCTCCGGCCGGCGTAAACTTCAGGCTGTTGCTGACCAGGTTGATGATGACCTGCAGAATCCGGTGCTGGTCACCCCAGAGACACATATCTTTGAGCCTACCAGTCCCGAGAGGGCCTAGGGCCGGAAGCCTCTTATCCATGCTGGTGCGCCCTTCAGAGGTCGGAGTGGGCTCTAGGTTTTCGGCCCCGACAAAGTCGACTGCGAAAGCGATCTTGCCTTCGCGGACCTGCTTGTCAAAGATGGCTAATATCTGGGATGGTATATCGCCCAGCCGGAATTCTCGCTCCTCAAGCCTGACTTGCTGCCCAATCTGATTCTTTGAGAAGCTGAGCAGATCCTCGAGTAGATGGAGCAACAGGTCGCCCGATCTGTAAACAGTCTTCAGCGACTGTTTTATCCTGTTGACATCATCTTCCTCCATGCACACCGCACACATGCCCATAATTCCATTCAGGGGCGTCTTAAGCTCGTGAGAGATGTTGGCAATGAACAGTGTCTTGCTTTCGTTTGCGGCCTCGGCAGCTTTCTTGCTGAGCTCGAGTTCCCTGGTTCGCTCAGCAACTTTTTCGTCTAGCGAGGTGTACTGCTTTAGCAGCTCGTCCGTCATCTCGTTGAAAGTTTGGGTGAGCTCCGTCAGCTCGTCGGTCACGAAATGCTTGCGGTCCTGGACCCTAGCTGGTATTTTGAACGACCGACGGCTTGGGTCCGTGGCGATCCCTTGCCTCAATTTCGCCCTCCGTCTCCTACGGATATGGCGACGGATCCTGCCAATAACGCCTAGGTCGGATCCTCTCCCGGATGTAGTACCGCCCGAGCTGGGGTTCTCCTCATCCACCGACTCGTCTTCGTCGTCCTCATAGCCCGGCGGCGCTATGGACTTCTCAGTGGCCGCTTTCAAACGCCTGATCGGCTTGACGGACAAGTGAGCACAGGGGAGGACGAAGACCAAGGCCAAGCCGAGAGTGCCGAAGACGCAGCCAAGGAGAATATTCCGCAGGGTCTGAATCGGCTCGTATGCCTCACTCCGATCCTGCTCGACGACGACAGCCCAGGATGCCAGCGATGTTTGCGGCCGGGCAACGCCCACGGCTACCGCGTACCCTTGTTCATTGGTCGTCGACAGGTCGCTTGTGGCATTGTTTGGAACCGGATTCTGCTTCATCAAGACATCGAGCACGGCGGGATACTGGCGAAGCTGGAAAGGATTGCTGAATTTGCCAGAAGCGAAGCTGTGCTGATCGTGCCGGTCTGGCTGACCGTTCAAGGGTTCAGGTGGGAGGAGGAACCGCACCGTCTCTAGCTCAAATTTGTCTCTCGGCGGGGTCCAGGTTGCGTTGCTCACGGTCATACCGGCGCTGAAATGATTCCAAGGATTTGTCGGACCGACAAAGAGTACGATGCCGGTACGGCCGAGGCCTTCGTCGGAAAGCTGTACCTCAATCAAGGATTTGGAAGTAGCAACGAGGGTCATGTATCCGAGGATAAAGCCGGTGTTTCCATTCATGCGGACGGGGATGGTGACGGAAATCAGGGCGAACGTCGAGTTGACGACCAACGGGCCAAGCAGGATGCCGTTTCCGTTGCTCCCGTTGCCCAGGGACACTCCGGGGAAAACAGTGGCCGAATAGGCCGGTGTGTTGGGCATGTAATCGTTCGGGCGGTTCAAGTTGACGTAGGTGATGTTGGGATACAGCGACGGCGGGTAGCCATACTCGGGATCGCCCAAATAAACTGGGTCGCCATCGGGTGTCTTATAGGGCAACAGGACTGAGCCGGACTCGTTGAGATTGCCGGTCAGGCTGAGAATTCCCTTGGGGTCGCCGGTCGAATTGCGCGAGTACAGACGAGCCTGAAGCAGACCGGCGTTACCGGCGCGGCTGAAAGCGCTGGCGATGTCTTCTCGGGCTTGGGTCCAAAGGCTGTCGGTACTCTCATTGTGAATGCTAGCATTATAGAAATCCCGAAAGGCGTTCTGCAGCAACAAGCGGCTCGAAAGAGTCGTGCAGATTGTTTGGATCAGGTCGAGTTCTGACGAGATGCGTGCGGCCTTGAGTGAGGCAGTCAAGGACAGACCGCCCGACTCGACGCCAACCACAAAGTCATTGACATAGAGCCATACGGGGATGGAGACGACTGCGAGCGCGACGAGGATGGCAAAGACGACGAGGGCTGCGAGCTGCTCCCGAATCCCAACCCTCATCTTCAGCAGACTACGATGCACAGTCTGGGGAGCGGGAATGCCGCGCTCGAAGCATATTCTTTTGAGAAAGAAGCGTGAAAATCTCTCGATTCGAGTATCAGCAATCGAAAGGCGTCGGCGTCGAGAGCAAGCCCGGGGAAGGCAGAGCCGGGAACCGCGTCGTTGGCCGTAATCTCGCTATCGCTCCGAATTGACTGGCCCCCCGAGCCATCCGAACCGAACAAGAACGATCCGAATCCGTTTCTGCAGGGCTCGGGACCTTGATCGGTTGTCGGCGACAGACGGGTTTGTTTGTTGAGGATTCTAGGTAATGTTTTACAGTCTCGGCCTAGTAAGCTAAGGTATGTACACGGGACGAGGACTGCGGGAGTCGTTATGGCCGGGAATCAATGTCAGTCAGACAGCCCCTGCCAATGCCGGATGCTTTTTGTAGATGCGCAAGATTGGCCCGGATGCAAATCTGCGATCGCATTCTAGAAGACGTACCTCCCCCACTCCGTTCGCGAAGCTGTAACAAGTGTGCACTCCAGTAATGAGCGTCTCCCACTGGTTATGGAGACGGAACAGGGCCGGATCGACACAAATCCAGGCTTCTGGCCAAGAGATGGGTTCGAGGGTTAGTGGGTTTTCAGTGGGGTCTTTTCACTTTTCTAGTGGGTTTGCGGAAGAAATGCACCGGCAGACTTCTTGGTAAAGTGTCACCTCGTCACCTTAGTGGACGCTGTGTGCTCGGTGCGGCCAGGCAAATCCAAGTGCCTGATTCGTTTCCAACACTCGGGGAAAGGCCAGCTCTTTGACCGAGCAGAAAAAAGATGCGTTACAAAGGTAATTTGTACCATTGTGCACTGAATTGGCCGCTTACAAAAGAGAGAAGTTTAGAACAGTCAAGATCATCGCGATGCAGTGTAACCGATCCCCGGACTGTCCAATCCCAGGCTGTTTCGCTTGCACAGACTTCAATTCCTGATCCCTGTCGCCGCCCGTTCCATGGCAATCCAGACCACAGCCACCAAATTGTGGCATTCTTCAGCTCGGCATCGCGTTTCTGAAATTCCCCCATACAATCGCTTCCCCATACAAATTGCTTGAGACGCCTTCACCACAACGAAGCCTTTCAGCTCACCCGAGCTCACTTAGCAGCACCACCCACCCCATCTCCATAACCAAAAGTTTGCGGTTGACGGGGCAAGCGGCTATCGTAAGTTTCTCGACGGTTTTCTTCAGTAAGCGGTTGGAAAAGGCCGGCGGCTTGAAAATTCTCATTCGTTTGGTAGGAGAGGCAGCTAGCTGCTACGAAGCTCAAGCCAGATCGAGGCAGTTGCAAGCGGTCCACCTGCCTCTGAAGCCGCTGGTCAACTTCGCGGCTTCCTGACAACGAAATGGCTCAGGTGAGCAGCCACTGAGCTGAGGTGGTCAACTAAAAGTTTGCGGTTGGGAAATTGCTAAGCCGTGTGTATCCCTACGGGTATCACTGCGGTCTGTACGAAGTAGAAATGGGGTGCAACCCCTAAGCAGTTCAGTGTCATTCGCCATGATAGGTATTCAATTCAATCATGTCAACATACAAAGTATCGTATCGTTATTTGAATCATAATTTACCACAAAGGAAAAGAGGTCATTAGAAGTCGTAACCGGTCGGTCGTCCCATATCCCATGGTATCTTTTCCATCTCATAGTCATCCATCCATCTGCATCCCAATATCCCATGGTATCTTTTTCCATCCATCTCATGTTATCCCATCCCATGCCATCCCAAGTGTTTGATAGGTAACGTGTAGGTGCCGTGCCATACCCTACCGTCCCATAAGTAGGTAGATTGACCTTTCAACCCCAAAATGCCCTCCCAAGCAGCCAAGATGCCCATCAACTCCGTAGTCCGTACCCCCCAAGGCCTCGCGGCCATCCATCCATCCACAACTTGAAGCAATCCAGACGCCACCCACCCAGACACACCATCCATCCAACCATGCACCGCCCGTCCGGCATCCCATCCCATCCGTAATCCGTAACCGTAGGTAATCCGTAGTGTAGTGTAGGTAATCAGCCACCCTCCCATCCCCCCATCTAGTACTCCGTACCGCGCCGTGTAGTTGCAACACGATAGTAAATCACGACCGGCTAAAAATCAACGGCACCAGCGCCGTCTGGCTATCCATACCCCTACCGGTATTCTCAGCAGCACTGCTCGCCGCCGCCAGCGCCGCCACATTCGCCAGGCTCCGTCCAAACAACCCCTCCCTAAGTCTTGCGGACATATTACTACTCGACGCACAGCTCAAGTTGTGCGAGGTGCTGTGCGGCAGGCTCATGCCAAGCTGATGATGATAATGATGCAGCGCCGATACGCTGGCGGCAGCGGCAGCCGCCGAATCGGTCTTGTTAGAGTTCTCCTTTTTCAACCGCCTGCCGTTGCCCCCGTTGCCGTTGCTGCGTTTCGAAAACTCGCGCGTGAGTTTGGTCATGACGGCCTCGCGGGCGCGTTTCAGCGCGGATGAGCGTGCGGCGGCTTCTTCGGCTTCGGCGAGAAGGTCGGCTTCGATGGAGCGTTGTGCTGAGGAGAGCAGGCCGTCGTCTGCCGCGTCGTGGGGGTGGGGTTGGTGGAAGTGGAAGTAGTCGTCGGCCGGGATGCTCTTTATGCTGGCAGGTGATCCGCCCTTGTTGTTGTCAGTGGTGCTTGTGCTTGCATTGCTGCCCATTCGGGTGAGTGGCACGCGGTACTTGGCCGACGGGTCGTACACGGTCGGCTGGAGCATTACGGGCAGCGGGTCGGGGTTCAGGATGGGCACGCTGATCTCCATCTCGGGCTCTTTTGGAGTTGGGCGCGGCGTTTCGGGGCGGTAGGACGAAGCGTTGTTGTTGTTGTTGTTGTTGTCTGTGCCGACTCGTTCGGGAATAGCAGGCTCTTCCGAGTGGTGCCGGCGGTGGTGCCGGCGGCGCCGGTGGGAATGGGAGGAATGCCTCTCGCTCGAGTCGTCGCTGCTGCGCGAGTGTTTGTGGCGGATCCGGCCGTGATGGCGATGGCTATGGCTATGGCTATGCTGGTCGTCGCCGCCATAGCGCTCGCTCTTCTGACTCTCAGGGCTACAAACAGCTTGGTGTTCTTCTTCGGCGACATATTCGTCAGGATGCCGAGGAGACCTCCTTCGGATGCGGCGCTTCTTCAGCTTGGTGGTGAACCCTTGGCTGGCTTGTTTCGCGGCCTCGATATCAGATGCCAAGCCCCCATCGTCTTCCCCTTCCCCTTCTTCTTCCGCCTTTGACCTGGCCGTACTAGGACGTGACCCGGCGGCCGCAGCGGAACTGTTCTGTGCCGCGGCAGTAACCCCGCGCGCCCACTCCTCTACACCAGCCTCGAACGCATCAACATCATTCACACCGCCAAACACCATACCCTCAAGGTCAACCTCAAACAGCTCCCTGCTCGCCGCCTCCGCCGCAGCCGACGACGGCGGGAGCTGCTGATCCTCGACCGAACTCGCCACTGCCGACCCGGATCCCGAAGTTGCCGTCCCCGGCCTGCTGTTGTCGCTACTGACGGCCATTGACCGGCGCGACCAGGCATCAGCATCGCTGCTGCTGCCATCCGTCAGCGGCGCGAGCGCCTCGTCCCAGCTGCCGCCCTTGATGAGCGCCACGTTCTCAAAGTCAAATTCGCGGACCGTGCCCTTGTGGTTGGTGATGAGGCCGCGCAGCTGCTCAACGTTCATGGTTGCGTTGCGCACCGCCATGGTCCGGACGCGGGGCATGAACAGCGGCCTGCGCGACGGCCGCGGTGGTAAGGGGGACATGGGGCTGGTGACCTCGTTGAAGAGCTTCTTGGCACTGCGCGGGGGCGCGAAGAGGGGGTCGCCCGAGAGGGAAATCGGGCACGGCCCCCGCCGGCCGAGCCAGGTGAAGGCAAACTTGTCGAGCCGCGGCGCAAAGGCGCGGATGTAATCTTCGATGATTTTGAGGTGATCCAGTCCCGGCGATGGGCCGTAAAAATCCCAGGACTCGACCGAGATGTACAGCTTCCGGATTTGTCGCCATCGTAGAGCCGCGGACGGTGATGCGCCGAACCCAGGCACGTGGCGGAGGTAGTTGAATGCCGACGGATGGACGCCGGACAGGGAGAGCTTGGACAGCTTGAAAAGTGGCGCGCGCTCAACGGCGATGCGCAGACTGATCAGGGCATAGTCGACGATGTCGCGGCGGTACCGTTCCCTTGGATCCTGGCCGGGCGTCTTGATGGTGAGGTGCCTCAGGTTGGGCAGCTGCTGCATGGCGCTGATAAAGGACGACACATGAGTGGCCGCATGGAACAAGGGCGAGTATTGCTGCGTCAAGATCTCTCCGAGCTCCGAGTTGCCGTACTTTGGTCTGCTAAGGCCCGCTGCTGTTGATGTGGGCGGGCTATACAGGAACATGATCTCCTCCCCGGTTTGAGGATGGATCAAAGGAGGTAGAAAGGTGGCGTTGGAATGGGGAAAGTAGAATGTAAGATGCTCAATGTGATGACCAACTCTCGAGAGAGATTCGATTCTGCTCTCCTTGGTAAAGCTGTTTGCTGTGAAGGTCACGTTGGTTCGGAGGAATAGCCTCTTGGTGACCAGGTTGCAGCATGCCGAGTTTGCAAGTCTGAGAGCGCAGATGTCCTGCTTGGATAAAAGCTCAAAGAGCTTCTCGCGGACGGCCTCGTCCCGCCACAGGCAGTAGAATGCTTGCGGGCTCGTCGCCATAGCGCTTGCATGTCGTGAGGGCGATCTGGCTTTACAATGTATGTGTTGAAGGTAGATATAAACAGCGCCAACCAGTCGCCGTGTAGTAGTACTCAAATTCAAACGATCGGTGTTGATGAAGCAGCAAGTTTAGACAGGTAGAAATTCAACAGATTTTGCTAACAAAACAAAGGACTGAGTGGAGATGGATCAGGAGAGTTCGACTCAAGTTCACGGAGAGCGGAGGGCGATGCTGGGAACGTCGGTGACTATGAGGAGGAGCTGGTGGGATAAGGGGGTGGGGAAACGGCTCAATCACCGGAATCACATAGCATATCGAAGAAGCCGGCTGATGAGAAGACAACGGTAGGACTTGTGTCCTTCCACTTCCAGTGCGCTAGCCTCCACATCTTCCCTCTGCCCAAGTGGGTTGACGGCTTCTGTCCATCACCGCCCCGGACCGTTGAATCCAGAGATCGAGTGGTGGTGGGTGACTCACCGCACTACGGTCCTGCAGCTTCGGCACGCAGACGCAGACCGGGATTCGCCGTCGAACAGAACGGCATCCATGAGCGCGCCCGACGCGGTGGACCGCGCCGGACCACTTGAATGGCCCGGGAGCCCAGTTCTGCCCAGCGACCTGCATGGCACCAATGCGGCCTTCTGCAGCCGTCTCATGGTCGTCCGCTCCCAGCCACTGGGAGGCCATGAAACAGGAAACATCTGCGGGAGGGGGGTTGCGGGGAAGTGCGGCAAGCCCCCCTGAAGAAGCGCTATCGATAGTGCAGAAAAAGGAGAGGGCAGGGGAGCGAGCGAACGATGCAACCCATGCACACCGCCGATCCAATCATCAGCGCGAGAAAAGGCGAGAAACCCTGTTCGTCGGCTCTTGGGTAGCCACGTCTCACGAAACACACGCGTTTCCCACGCGAAACTGGCGCGCTGCCGATCCTTCGGGGCCACCAGATAAATACCTTAAGCGCCTCCCCGTCCATTTGAGCAAAAGAGAGGCCGACAATGCTGATAGACTTGGGATGCGACAAAATTTGGACCTTTCGTGACCTAACAATAGCCGATCTCGATTGTTAGTCTCGCCATGTTGCCCGCTGAGAACACTCGAGGAGTCACGGTCCGCTAGAATGAAGCGGGGAAAGGGAGGATCGGCTCGAGGAGTTGGGCTCAGCCAGATTCGTGAGGGTTCGACGCGTCGATTCGTCGAGTCTGCGCGACTCGAATGCGCTTGTCCTACGCCCTCTCCGCCTTTCCTTTGCCGCCCCACCTCTTCCAAGTTGTGGACTCTGCCTCCTACTCTTTGCGTGCGCGATTAAATCAAGGTTGTCCAGTATCCACCATCGTTCCAATACTCTCACCGCCAATCGACTGGCCCGGCAACATGCTCGGCGAAACGTTCTGGATGCTATGAAGAGTGACATCGCTTCTGGTTGGACTCGGCAGTTTTATGGCCCCTGATGCACCCCTCTCGATCTTTGCTCGGGGAATATAACTACATTTCCTGGGTGTTCGCCCAACATGAAAAGTAAACAACGACTCTCAGTGTATCAGACGACTCCTCTGCTCAATAGTTGCTCCGATTCCTTTCTCTCTTCCCTTTTCGTGCGCGCTGACCTCCATTTGGCCGACTGTCCTCCCGGTAGCCCTGTGGCGGCAGCGGAGGAGGAGGCCCTGGTGGCAGCGGTGGCTCTGCACGCGAATAGCCCCCCCTCGCGTAACTCGCAGTGGATTGCTTGCTTGACCGCGTCTCTCCCGGGTTGTTAGACCTGCTATTGTTAGAAAAGACGATATGCCCAGTCCGCCCGGCTTTCTGCACTGGCGGACGTATGAAGCCCTCATTCTCCTCATCCTCCGCCTCTTCAAATATGATATGTCTTCTGGGAACAATGCTCTTGCCGAGATCTGGCCTGTCGTACGACGATGCACTGTTGACACCAGACCCTGAGAAAGCAATGGCCACTTCGGTTGAAGCTGGATCTATGTACCGATCGCAGTTCAGCTGGCTCCATGTCTCCCACTGGCTTTTGTCCGCCCTCTGGGGATTCAACCCGCAGACGGGACCGTAGTGGCCTTGGCGACCACAGCAGTAGCAGAATATCGGTAGGGAGCGAACTCTGCGGACAGTGTCGGGGTTGAAGGAGAAACTCCTCCACAGCACAGAACAGGACGCCTCCAAGTGATCGGGAGATTGACAGAATGCACACTCCATTTCCTCTGGGGCCAGGGCCAGCTTCTCCTGGCAGTCCTTCTTTGTGTGGCCAAGCTGCCTACACTTTATGCAGCGTAGGCGTGTCGGGCAGCTGAACGACGGGTGTTTACCCGCGTCAGGGCAGAAGCGGCAAGCCATTTCTGGACACTCGGCCGAGTCGTGACCGCGAGTAGCGCACATCAGGCAAAAGGTCTCGTCTGGACCAATGCCAGGGAAGTACCTCGCACGATATCCGCTATCAAGTCCGTCTGGCCCGACAATGCTCGCACGAGGGATCTCGCTGGCTTTGATGGCCGCCGCAGACAGTACCTTGTCCTCTGCCACCGAGGGTAGCGGATCCATTGGCTGCGGCTCGCTTGGAGGGGGAATATCAGCGAGATCCGCCACAAACTGGGCAGTCTGCGAATAGTCAACAGCTGCGCGCCTGGCAACTGCCGCTTTGTTTTTAGATAGACCATCAACCGTACCGATCCATTTCGAATAGGTCTCAAAGACTCGGTTCCGTCCCCGAGCGGTATCGACTCTGATCTTCTTCCAATTCAGTTGTAGCAATGTCTTGCACCAATCCACAAACTTCTGTTCCCAGACGCTCTGGTGTTTTCCTTTGACCTGAGAGTGCCAGGCAGGAGACGCTGGTGGTGGCATGACCCAATCGCTTGGTTCCTGTGCTTTCTGCGAAGTCGTCTTGACGCTAGCTGGCTGTGCACCGTTGCGAGCCGGTTCCTCTGCAACACGCTCACTCTCTGACTGCCCGTCTTGGGCCGGAGATATCACATCCTCACCGTCGCCCGTCACCCTGCTGTCAGAGACGGAACCGGCATCGAACGATGCTGGGGATTCCGGTGCTCGCGCCAACGATGACCTGGCAAATCTGTCCTTGGCGGCTCCGGCGAAGGAGGTCCGCAGGCCGTTACTGACTCCGTGGTTCCATCCACTGCGCGCCTTTGGGGGCGCCTCGACAGCGCTTTCACTAGTCTGCAGTGGCTCTTGGCCAGCAGACTGCAGCACCTCTATCGTGCCTGCTTTCAGCTCACGTGCCCGGTTGGCGACATCGTCGTCTACCTTGACCCTCTTCCGTGGGGACAGCGAGCCATCCTTCCGCGACTCCATCCCGCCGTTCGGTTCCCCAGAGTGGCTACTGCTTGCGCCGGGCGAGGAGCGCTTCCGGTTTGACGCAGATTTTGACGAAATCTCACCATGACCCGGCGAGGCCACGGAGGTGTCCATGGATGGTCTTGGAAGGGTTGTTGAGTTGCCTCCCTGAGTGTTCTTCTGGGACCTGAGGCACTATTTGTGCCTTCAGATTTGTGCAGGACTGCAGCCTCCCGGTATTACCACGGTAAAATGCTGTAGGTTGCAAACCTAGAAACAAAACGATGAGTTTTTCTCTTCTTGGTATCAATCGCAAAAGACCATGGGTTATTGAACGCCACCGAATGCGTTTAAATGACGAACAAAAAGGGAAACAACGAGCGGTTCCTCCAAGATTTTGAAGCAACCGACTTTGGCATACCTGGGATAATCTTTCTTATCTTTATGTTCCTCTTCTCGCTTTTGAGCAGTGCTCTCTTTAGGTTGCTGGGTTTTCGATTGGGAAGAATATCCTCTGGATTTTCATATGTATGTATGTAAAGTACAGTACAATACAAGCACAAGTATGTACCAGATCTTATGATTTGTGAAAGTTTTGCCCTGGTAATTACGAACACAACTACTGTATGTAACCTTCGACGCAGTTATGAATTCACCGTCTCGATGTCACGAGCTGGCGGATTTGTTAGGGTAACGTTAAGTTACTCTGGCCAAGCTACCTACTCTGTAAAATTCCTTGCTCTGTGTCTCGCCCATCACCCCACCGAAAATCCCAAAACCACAGTGACGGTAACGTACGAAGCGTTGGATTTCCACCGACTCTCGAATACGAAACCTAGGCGCCTAACGCTGCCGAAATGAAATGTTAGTGCGACAAGTCGTTTGACTGCTCCACTTCTCCCCAATCTCCGGCAAGTATCAGGGGTCGAGGTACTAGGAACCTCATCTCCGCCCGTCTCCCCGGGCTTTTGAGGCCACATTGCCATCTGTGCTCAACAAGGCGACTTTCAACGCTCATTCCCTATCTACTAATGTTAACCTTCTGGAATTCACAAGAGCTATAGGACATTGCTGCATCTCTATACAGCCGTTTTTCTCCGACCTTCATTCAAGTTTCGGCACCCCGCTTAACTAAGGCATCCTCCATCTGACCCGACTCATTCTCCATCTGACGCGGCCTGCCAGAGGGGCCAGGGGATTGTCCAATAAGACACCGAGTCAACGACATCTTTCCACCGCACTCTTTCTTCCGGGGGCCACACACGAGCTGCTGCACCACCGCCCGTCGCCGGCCCAGCACCGCACCGAGCCGACATCTTCTACTCCCGCTACTGCCCGCGGCTCATCCGTTTGTGCCGCTTCCTCTTCCCGCCGTTTCACAGCCCTGGAGGCCATCGAACCGGCCATCTCGAATGACTTAGACCGTGGTATCCTTTGGCTCTTGGGACACCACAGTTGTGACATCATACCTCCAGCAACAGAAACTCAGTGGTCTCGTCCGCCATCGGATGACCTCGGCCCCGTCACCTTTTTCCCTCGAACCGCAGGTACTCCGTCGCCTAACCCGGCTTCACGCGTCGAACTTTCCGTTCTCGGTTCCCTTCGAGCGTCGCACCTCGCGGCGACACAAACACCGCCAAACTGTCTTCACCTATTCTACTCTCTCGTACCGCCTTCTACGACGCTGCGGGCACCTACCCTCCGCGTCGTGGTGGGGCTATGCACAGCAGCGCCGCCATGGCGGACAAGAGCAGCCGGAGGAGGAGATCTAGTAGTATTCTCCAGGTCTATCATGAACCGCCCGAGCCGATTGAGCAGCTCAGCGACCAGTCTGCTCTGCCAAACCTGAACGCAAATTGGGTCAATGCAAAAGGTACGTATGCTCCCGGCCGAGCCCCCCCCCGCGTGTCTGTCTCCCTCTGCAGTGCGACGAGTTCAGAGTTGACCTAACACCCGCTACCCCCTTATGGCAGGCGCGTGGACGATACACTTCGTTATAATTGTGTGCCTCAAGATTCTTTACGACATCATTCCCGGCGTCTCCCAGGAGACATCGTGGACGCTGACCAACATCACGTACATGTTTGGCTCGTATATAATGTTTCACTACGTTCGCGGAGTGCCTTTTGAGTTCAACGGAGGGGCATACGACAATCTTAACATGTGGGAGCAAATCGACGATGGCGCTCAATATACCCCTGCCAAGAAGTTCCTGCTGAGCGTACCCATCGTCCTCTTCTTATTGAGCACACATTACACGCACTACGATCTCGCCTACTTTACCATCAACTTTCTTGCTGTTGTCGCCGTCATTATTCCCAAGCTCCCCTTTGTGAGTCGTCCCTATCCTGCTTGTCTCGGGTCTGATGCTAATATCCAGGTAGAGCCACCGCATGCGCGTGGGTCTGTTCTCCGGGGTACCGGAAGATTAGGGTGTGCTCGCGCGTTGGGGTCTGTGGTTTGGCGGAATAAGATTCAGCTCGAAAACACGCACAAAGGAGCGCGCATCATGTGGGGGGTTTAGGCGTCTGATGATCTCGGGGGTCGTGGCCACTTTCCCGACGATACCGTCTCGTTCGTGTCGAGCAGGAAATAAGATTGAGTGGTGGGATTCCACCTTTTCCAAGTTCCGGCGTTCAAAATTCAGCAGCTGTCCATCAACGCGAGGTTCAGAAGGAGAGGGGGTGGCAGTTAGCAGTGAGTGATGCATCGGGTCATGGATGGCCTGCTCTTCGAGCCAGTCCAGGCTAGGTAACAGCAAGGACGGGCAGTATGAGGGGATGACGGACCTACCTTGGGCCGGTGCGACTGGATATCCTCATATATCCCGCCTTGCCGCGCCTCCTGACTACCATGCAGACCAGTGCTAAACACACGGGATCAAATCGCCCCGCTTGGTATCTCCCTGATCCTGCGTTCGAGTGCCCAACAATGCTATTGACCTTGATCAGATCTGTGTGTGCTTCTTTATGCTTTGCTTTCCGGATAGGACACTGCTATGTGGCTGTCCTGTAGTGTTCCTGCCCCCCTCATCTATGGTCCGGGTGCTGTTGTGATTGGGAACCGATCTTACTACATACAGACTAGCAAGTAGTAAGCAGCACTTAGATGGGAAACTAGGGGATCGCACTTCGCAGCGATCAGGGGCAACGAAAATATAGCCCCCGCTTCCCACCGAATCCGCAACTCTCTCGATCACAGCATCTCAAAAGTCACCTCAACCATCCCGTCAATCCTACCCGCCAGGGAATCTAGAAAGATCTGGTAAGACTACATTTTGTGCTGAGTCTCAGCAGAACGTCAAAGAATAGCAGGTTACTCAAAGGGAACGAAAAGGGGTGGGAGGATCCGGAAACGGCATTCAAGTTGTGTGTCCTACGGAGTAACGCATCCAACTTGGCTGGAGATAGCCAAGCTCCGAAACAATATTGTTTTGGATGATGAAGATTTCCAAGCTGCTAGGCGTGAACCCTAGGTACGTTACCAGCCAGCCAGCCATCTCGGACTGGCCTTTTGACTCTTGAGCTTATCGGGATTCGCAGTACACAACTGTCGATCAGGTTGGTTAAATGGTGTCCGGATAAACCCCTAAAATAGCAAAACCTTCCGGTTGGGCAAGGACGACATCACTGCCAATCGCCCCAAGACATAGCTGACAAAAAGACCAGGACTTGCTATGAGACTGATGTTACTCTTCCCCCCTATGAGAGGATGTCTGATGTCGCGGCAAGGACTCGTCCGATCTCACAAGCTTCAATTCTTCAACCTATCGCCCGTCGACCACAACTTCCCATCATGGCTCCTGCAGCACGTCAATCACGGCGGGATTTGCATAGAATCAACTCTCCCTAGAGCGGAAGCAAGCAAGCCGGTGGTCTGCCTCTCGCTGCATGTCAGTCTATGTGGTGTACTCCGTACGTACCTACGTAGTCTCGTCGTCGGCACTACCATCTAATAATCCATGACTGGCCGGCAAGTTCCGAGGTTGGAGACAGGGATTTCTTGATCAGATCTGGTTTGCTCCTTTCGTTTTCCCCGATATAAATGGGAAAATCACACCAAATGAGCAGTGACCGAATCGATCAGGCTCCTATCGTAAATGCGAAAAACCACGATCAATTTTGAACTTGGGGCCTAATTACGTCCGCTTCAGAATTCAGAAGCAGTCTTTCTTTCCCAGTAAGCCCAGTTTCAGACCCTACATGTTCAGGAGCCCTTGCCGAGAAAGGGTCTGTTCGGTCACACCTGCACTCCTTGCACTAGCTCGCTATTAGTGTATACATACATATGGTTAGCTGCAGGGAATTAGGGATATCAACGTTATCCCAATGGATCAATTGTCTCTAGCTGAAATTTCTTTGGGAACACCTTGGGGCCGCAACTAGAAGATATCATCGACCAGCGAAGGGAAGAGCTCAAAGGGGTAGGTAACCCGCGATCCTAGATGAGTGAAACACAGAGCAATACTCCGTAGACGACCTTCTAGTGCGGCGGTGCGCCCCATAACCCAAGAATTCAGGTAGGTATGCCCCTTCTCGTGTACTAGTACTGCGTGGCCTGTGGAGCGAACTTCTTTTTGTTTTCACCCAGAAGCAAGACATACTTCCAATCTATTGGAAGTGTTCTGCATGTCCATCGCAATTCTGCAGCCACATTTTCCACCGATCAACTCGACATGATGCACACGCCAGGGGCCCATGTGCTAAGTAACGCATGGGAAGGGATCGCCCGTGGCAGGCTGCTCAAACAACCGGGGAAGGGTGCCCCTTTCTCCCCGCTAGACCAATCCCGTCTGCAGTGTGGGGTGTCAATCAAATCATGATGGACCCTGGCCCCCTAACCGAGCATTCTCTCGGAGGCTCGTGGAGATGAAGCAAAGCTCTGCAGTTCGGGAGACGGGGAGACGGAAGAGACGCGTCTCGGGTTTTGAGAAAAAGCAGCAAAACCATCGATGCCACCCGGAGCGGATTTTGGCTTGGATTCTCTCCCAAGTTCAACCCTTCGGCAAGAATATCGACTCCAGCATCCCTCACAGCAGGGCGCCGCCAAGTTTGTCGGACCGACCACAACGCTCCCCTGAATCGAGACTGCTGTGCCCCTAGCGCCCAACGTTAAAGTTACATAACCCGGCTTATGTAGAAGCGGTGTCGAGACAATTCGTCCTTGAGCAACACCCGTCGAGCACGATACTCATTAACCCATTCCTGCACCAAGCAGAGGAGGGGAATTGAGTCAAAAGCCGTCGCTGCCTCATCCACTGTCTCCCGCCGTTTTCTTGGCTTGACTGCACCGAACCGCCGGGTCCCGACAATAGGGATTCGCCCTGCCAGGTGCGTCCGATCCGATGTTTTCGCGATCCATTACCCATTGCGAATGGAACCGTTCCGTCGCGACTCCTGCCTACATACAAGAACCCGGCTCGGGCCAGTACTGTATCACTGTCGTGTGCTGCCGTTCCCCAAAGATTTACCGCTTCTTCCTCACGGGTGCTTGCCTCACCCGTTGCCTAGTCGCAGGCAATGGCTTTACATCTTTGCCCCGAGGAGGTTGCGATTGCTGACAATCTTGGCACCCTGCGTTTCCTTCTACGTGAATTGGTTATTTTTTCTTGACTTCTCCCGGCCGTGTTTCGGGAAGCATGAAATGCGCAACGCAATGAATGCATTGGACATGTGCCACTTGCCCGCAGCCATTGTCGAGACACATCTACGAACGTTATGAGGGGTGGCTTTCGCCTGCCTCTTCTGTTGTGCTTCCAGCGTCGTCTTCTGTTTCAACTACGCCACACCCACACGCAAATTCCCAGCGAATCGACTAACACAGAGTTGCTTTCTAGATTTCTTCCGCAGCCCTGGTGAGATCTCGTTGGAGTGCCGCTGCCTAGACCTCCGAGCAACGACGCAGTAAGCTGCTACACACCGCCCCCTCTCGCCACCTGTCCGATCGGCCACCCGCATTCGACTGGTCTGTACGTCGGAAGGGAGTGGATTTCGGATGCGCCGCGCTGCCGCCGCCCTGCCACCTACCGAGGGTGTCCGGATTGGGTGACATCCCCTGCACCTAAAGCTGCACGAAAGTAACGGGGGACCTGCACTCGGGAATTACGCTGGGCAACCCGGCATCTCTGCCGCCATGGTTTCCTCTATAGACTCAATCACGTCCCGCCCCTCGTCTGCTCTGGCCTCTCCTCTGCACAGGATGCCGTCGCGGTCGAGAACACAAAGCTTATCCAGCGACCGGCCGTCGACTGTCTCGCACAGCCTGATGTCGCCTCCGCTGGCCGTGTCACCCGAAGCGGCCTTCATCGCCGCCTCTGCCGCCTCCCAAATCGTCACCAACGATCACGACAGTCACGCCGAGACCTGGTACGACCAGCATGGAATTGAACCGTCGGGCGAGACGGCTGCTGTGTCGCCCGCTGCGTTGCAGCTAGTCAACAACTTTCTGGACCAGCTGCTCTTCAACTTCCTCTCCGTCGCCCGCTCCACCACCCTCTCGGCACTCCGCCCGGCCGTGACCGAAGTCTTGAAGCCGAAGCTCGCCAAAGATGCCATCAATCAGGCAGATGAGGAGCTGAGAGAGTATCTCGGTGGGGACGACGAAGATGCACAGATGCCGGCAGGAGATGCCGGCTCGCCCGCTGATTGGGACCTGGAATTGGCCTGGAAGCGAACTCGCCTGCGTTGCATGGTCTACTCATCCCTCGGAGACATGGAGGAAGAAGACGAAGACTACTATATGGAACAGGGCCACCTTGACAGCGGACTTGACGAGCGCATCTCCGAGGCCGTGTCGCCCGCCGTCGCCATCTTCTTGACATCCATACTGGAATTCATGGGTGAACAGGCCCTAATTATTGCAGGCCAAGCCGCATATCACCGAATGCGGTTGAAGTACGAGAAAGAGCTCAAGGAAGGCGCGCGGAGCCCCACGGATGTCGCCGATAGGGTCATTGTGGAGGAGCTTGATATGGAGCGAGTCGCGCTCGACCGGACCCTGGGTCGCCTGTGGAGAACTTGGAAGAAAAAGATCCGAACCCCTGGATTGGGGTCCACCGATCGTTTGGCGCGATCCTACTCCATAGACTCGATGCGCGGCGTTATGGGCCATATGCGCTCCCCCAGCGTCGCTGCAGAACTTGCCGTTCCATCCACCGTACCTGAACCCGACACCGAGATGGACAACAGAACGACAGGCGCTCAAGACGAGCAAATGGCTGAGGAGGTTTTGGATGAGTTCATGATTGCTGCAGGTATTCCGCTGCCATTGGGACCGAACGACGTTGCCGAGATTGAAGTGCCTGGGCTTGCAGCCTGCAGCGATGACGAGGCCGATGGGGATGACGCTGGGCAGGATGCCGGGCCTTCCCGTCCAAAGAGCTTGATGATACTGAGCGGCGCGCAAGAGCTGCTAACGGCGCCCGCATCAGCTCAGTCATTCACTCCTCTAACCGTCAAGAAGCGCCCAAATTCACTTCCCGCACCTGCACGTACGCCATACGTCTCACCTCCCAGCCCTCAGCAACAGATGGCGTTGGCTGCCGGGGACGCTGAGGGCTCTGAGATACCCGACGCGCGTTCGGCCGCGGCTTCAGATGCAAGTGAAGAAGGCAGACAGGCGTTTTCCGACGATCATCAGGGCTCTGGTGAAGGTGTGACTAGCCTTGCTGACGACACAGATGATGAGATGGAAGAAGACGTTGATGACGAGGTATCTGTGGAAGAGCCACGAATTATCAGATCGTCAAGGGTTTCCATCTTAGGCAGAAGTCCCTCTGGCGCGTCTTCCGATCAGGGTAAGCCCAGTGCTATCAACACCAGCTTGCCAGCCAGGACTCCGAGTATCCATTCCGCACGCTTGATCGACGTTACCAGCCCCCGCAGCCCTGCCATGGGCTCGCAACGCAGCTCCGTAGTCGTTGCTGAGCCGATCCGCCAAGCAAGCCCGTCTCATATCAGCGATGTAGGGCCCTCTCATGCTGCTGAGGATCGGTCACGGCACTCTTCAGACAGCACCTCAGGTGGCAAGCTGGCTGTGGATCACGGTAGCAGAAACGGCTTGGCAGCGAGAGAGTCCATCTCGGAAATCGAAGAAGCAGCGGACAACGATTATTCTGTGTCACCCATTACCCCGACTACTCCTACAAGCCAGACGGAGTCCGGCTTGCCTACTATTCCGGAGCCGGTATCCGAGAAGCGGCGTCAGCTGGTCGAGGCTACTGCTCAAGAGGCCGGGTCAGTGACTGTGAACGGTGTCGATCGTATTCAGGCGCCATTGACCCCTCCTAAGCCTGTGACCAAGGTGACCATATTGCCTGCGACGGCATCTCCGGCATCAACCGCCTCGACTATGAGCGGTACCTTTTTCATCGAGTCGATGCCGGTCCTGCCAGAAGGGAGACAGATCCAAGATCAGGTTTTGACGTTGGCTCAGAGACATCGATTAGGCCACCCCCCACCTGTTCCCGAACGAAATGCTGGGCGACAACCCGCTGCCAATATCTCCGCTCAACGCCAGCCGGCCATGATTGGCCAAGTGTCTGTGGAGCGTTCCCGTGCCCGTAGCCCATCCGCTCCGTCGCCGTACAAGTCCCATGAGCCGGCGACCGGGCAGACTCGGCAGCAGCATCCGTCTGGCTCCCCATCGTCGACCAAGCTAAAAGCCGTACGAACTTCAGAGGATGGCATGCAGGCGCGTATTGATGTCGTGCGGGACTTTGAGGAACTTATCCAAAGCGACCAAACCATTCAGTACACCTTGACTCCCGAAAACATGCGCGACATTGACGTAAGTCTAACTCTTTTCCCCAATGAGGTATTATGTGGTCTCGTTACATGACTGACATGCCACTCTTGTCGCGGTCTCAGGCCGTAAGACAGGCTGCTCCTGGAAGCCCGGTTGTTTCTGTCAAGACGCGAAAAAGCGAAGAGGCTCGTCAGAATGGAGTCCGCTCCCGTTCGTCGTCGGGTGCTAGGCCAAACGACTTTAGGATGGCGCCATCAGCGCACCGACCCTCGGGGTCCGGGTCACATCCAGTTACTGACGCGCATCATGGCAACAGAAATGTCACTTCTGGCACAGGCAAGCATGGCGGCGTTGTGCCACGCTCTACTCCCCCATTGCCATCAAAACCTCGGGCTGCCAATGGCCCTCAACCGAGAGATGCCAGGTTGCCTCGAGAATCGTTGAACGATCTCGCCGAGTTCATCCGCTCGACCGGTCCCAACGGTGGCCAAGCCCCTTCTTCCAACCCGCAGCCTCAGCCAGGTGCGATTGGCCAACGGAACGCCAACCATGCGTCGAAACCCAGCTCCGAGGCAGGCCGATCGTCGACGACCAGCAATCCCAATCGGCCAAAGCTCCAGGCCCGCGGTGCAACCATCGACTACAAGGATGACAATTCGGATTTGATTGACTTCATCCGACGCGGGCCGCCAAGCACCCCAGGTAATCCACGGATTCCAAGGGCTGTTGCTCCATTTCGGACCACGATGGACTCGGATCAGCTGGCTGGCGCAGTTGGTGGCAAAGCTGTGGATGCTCAATTGCGCGACGTTGAAGTCAGGAGTAGCCAAGCCTCCACCAACGTCACCGACTATTCGGTGCCGCCTTCTCTCCACTCGTCGATCAATTCTCACAGTGCTCTTCTCGCACGGCACAAGACGTTCGCCAGCGATGGCCCCGATGCCGATATGCCGATGCCGACACGCAAGACGCGGCGCGTTCGCGACCCCTACGCCATCGATGTCAGCGACGAAGAGCTCGACGAAAGCGGTGATATGCAGATGCCGCAGCCCAACAAGCGCGGCCAGGCGAAGGAGGAGAGTCTTATTGACTTTTTGAACAACTATAAGCCACCGCCGGAGCCGCCTGTGCAGCCCTTCAACATAGCGCAGACACGCAACAAGCCCAAGAAGAAGGCGAGCGCCCCCAGTCTCATGTCCAGACTCACCAGACGCGACAGCGGGCAGGCGACAGGTTTGGGCTTGGGTACACCCGCAAGTCCAAAGGCATCAGCGCAGGTCCCGGGTGAGTCGAGAAGTGTGAGCAGTCGTGCCAGCGGTGCCAGAGGTGGCCACATTCCCATCCAAGTGAGCATACCTGCCGGGATGGACCAGTATGGCCCGCCGAGAACCTCGTCCAAGGCGGCAGCGATGATGATGGGCGGCGGTGGCGGAGAAGGGCGTCCCGCGGCGGCAGCAGCGGCGGCGGGGCGCGTACCCATGAAGAAGTTTGAGCCGCGTGATGCGATCGCGGTCCCGTCCCGCGCAACGTCGGATCTGGCCGAGTTTTTGAAGCACTCGGGCCCCCCGCCCGGCATGTCGGCTGCTGGTGGCGTGCCGAACCAGTTTGCGGGAGGCCCGCCGGAGCAGGATGGAGAAGCCAATGGCCTTTCGAGAGTGTTTGGGAGGCGGAGGAAGGCTAGTGTCTCGGCGAGGAATGGCTTGTGAGGGAGGGAGGGTGTTGGGTGTCCCGCGGGTGCTGGGACGGGTTGTTGTGATGCGAGATGGTGAAGACATTTGGTATGGGTTGGATTGGATTTACATTGTTGAGCCGTTTCTTGTACAAAGTTTGACACTTTTTGGTCTGTTTGGTTCATACCACGGGCATAGCTTGGGCCTTGGATTTGCTCTCATGACAGACAGAGACAGGGGAGGGCTGGATGACAGCATGTTTATGTTTCTTGGGGGGGTTCTTTTTCTTTCTTCTCTTGGTCCCCTTTTTCTCTTTTGGTTTCTCTTAACCTTTGGGCGGGTTGAACTGCAGAAAATCCATTAACCCCTCCCCCTTTTTGGCCCTTTTTTTCTTTGTTCTATCATCTTATCTTTCTTCATTCCCGTTTTCTTCCACATACGGCCAACTTCATTTCGACTCCTGGTCCCTTTTTTCGGAAGCGCGATGTCTGGCCTTCTTGGTTAACTCGGCTTTGATTATGATACCATTGGGAGGCTTTTTTTGAGTCTTGAAAATTACAGGTTTTTAGTTCCGGCTTTCTGCTCTGCTCGTTGATATGCGCTGCTTTTGATCTTTTGTGCTTGCTGTGCTTGCTGTGGTGCTCAAGAATCGTCAGAAAAACACCTGTTTGTATGAGTTGCTGTTATAGCGGCCTGCCTGTGTTGACAGCCTGGCTGACCTAGGTAAGGTAGTTGAAGGGACGACAACCGTTGGTACAGTACTACATCTATTATGTACAATATTTTACATGAGGTTGTTACCCCTGGATTGGATGGACGTCTTAATTCTCAAACGGTTTAACCGATCAGCCCTGTGCTGTTACACAGTCGGAGATGTCCACGGGCAACGTCAGCCCTCCGTTTCCTAACGTGTATGTAGGACTGTGTTGCACAATCTGGGCAGGCTTCGCGGGCACAGCTTACCGAAGTCCCGAAAGGGTGCGGCAGACAAGGACGGGCCGAAAACTGACAGGAGGCGACGACCGACTGTCAGACGAGGGAGGCTCCGGAGGGAGGGCATTGTGCAAAGTGTCTGAGTGTATGAGTGAGTGTGTGTTGTGGAGGGTGTGTGTGTTGTGTGTGTGGTGTGTCGCACAGCATCGCTTCGCTCATCTACCGCTGACCTTACTCCGTACTGTCCCGGACATAAACTCCGAGTGTGATGTGACTAACGTTACGGGACTTGCCTGGCTTGGTTTGGGATGATGAATTGGGTCGCGTCAGTAAGCCAACATCTCTTTCTGGTGTAACCTACCTTGCTGATTCAGTACGGTAGGTGTGGTGCGTGGCGTCTTGATTTGACCCCGGGAGGGGGGAAGGCTGTCCTGTCATCCGTCATCTGTCATCTGTCATCCGGCGTGATTTCGGCATACCTATGTATATACCTTGGACAATTGACTCTTTGATGGAAGGGATATGGATTGATGAGTTGCTCGGGACAGTACACCAGGAGTAGTGAACCAAGTTCCCATCAGCGAGTGGGTTTTCTACTTGATAGCCTTGTATTGTACTGTACAATACATACATAGAGTCATCACAGGCCAATGTCATGGGGAGTCTGTCTGTCAGCGGTTAAGTGTGCGGTACTGCGGTTTGTCTCTGTGTCCGATCTCCGAAGGGCATGGGATAGATGGGATAGTTATGTATGTGTGCAAGTGTGCATGTATGTCATGTATGTATGTCATGTATGTAGCTACTATACAGCTACGCTTCGGACATGAAACGTCCAGAACCAGTCCCTTAACTTGAAGTCCTACACTAGGTAGGTACTGTACCCTTCCTCGAGCCTTTCAAAACGGTCTGCCTAGACGAGTGTGCCAGTGCTATGTTAAGCAAGCGAAGCCGGTTGTGAGCGGGTGCCACGTGGAAAGGGAGGTGCGGCAGGGCTCCTGTTGCGATTCCGGGAGGTTTGGAAAGTTGGTAAGGGAAATTGTGCCAAGTATATCCGAACCCCGTTGTACCGTATTGTTAGGGTCACCGGAGAGCTTTGGGACATGCCAAGTGCTGACACGAGCTGTCATCTCAAGTTTGTTCGGTGGCTGACCCGTCGTTCCCGAAGTGGTAGTTTGAAGGTGCTGGTGTGTGTGGGGGGGGCTGGATGGGATAGGTGATGTGATGGTTGAGACTTAGAGAAGGGGAGCTGGTTTGCACTTGGCAGGAGTACCGTGGCAACAGTACCGTGGCAGCAGTGCGGTGATTAGGTGGGCATAGTCTCGAGCCGTGCAGCTGGAGATCGGATAAGCTGAGCTAGCTTACCTTAACTTCTTCAGGTGAGTGAAGGGGGTAATGCGGTGTCCTGTCTGGTTCTTGCCGTGTTTGTGGTGAGTCTGCGATCAAAATGGTATTGGCTCAGAAGCTTGTCGTTCTACTTGGACGGTACAGAGGAGCACAGTGTTGTGGCACGGTGTAAGTTTTCCCCCCTCCGAGGCCCCCAAGCCCAACAATGCGCAGGCCAAGAAACCCCGCCGTCACTGTAACACAGCGCGCCAGTCTCAAAATCCCCTCCCTCGTTCCCGCCCACGCCACGCCAACCTCAGGAAGCTACCCCGCATCTGCACTGAACCGAGAGGCCAGCATCGTCTGCAGCAAGACGAGCCATACATACCGTTACCGTTAAGTTTGCTGGCCTGGTCAGGCGGCTGCCGCGCATCTCCTGGATTGGCCCAGGATTACCCAGGGTTTGAGGGACAAGGCGAGGCTGCATGCAAGTTGCAACCGCCGCGGCTGGCGGTCATGACCACGGCATCAGCATGACGAGGCCAACAAATGGGGAGCCACAAACCACAGGGGAGATTGCATTGGTGAAAAAAGACTGAGAGAATAAGAGACTGAGTGAAGGAGTGAGGGAGTCGAAGAGATCCAGAGATAGCACAAATAGTTAAACAGGGGGAGAGATGGCATCGCCCTCGCCATCGCCGTCCCCCTCGCCGTCCCCTGCCCGCCGCGGCTCTCGGCTTGCCGGCGACGACAAGGCCGGCACCGGCTCCGGCTCCGACGCCGCCACCGCCGCCGCCACGCCGTTTCTTCCGCAGACGCTCTGGAGCCTGCAGGTGCCGCTGCACATCACGCACATATCTCAGCCCAACAACCCTTTCCTGGTCTCGGTGCCGCGCTTCAGCTACCTCGCGCTGCTGATCCCGCGTCTGACGGCCTACTATAACGGCGAGACGTGCTCGAGCTTCCACCACGAGGAGGTCCACCTGCGCAATCTCGCCGTGGGCCTGCTGGTCGACCTGTACCAGCCGGCGCTGCCCTGGCGTCTGGTTGTTGCTGATGGCCCGCAGTGGGACATTGGCGACACGTTCACCAACTCGGCCAAGGAGGCGGATTTTGTCCGTAATGGGAATGCAAAGCAGATCATGAGCTTGTCCAAGGAGCATAGTACCGCGTTGTGGAATGCCGTTCAGGATAGTGAGTTTTCTTTCTGGTAATATGGTTTATTACTGGGTGAACCATGAACTGACGTGCTGGACAAGACGACTATGCCTCCTTCAGCAAGATCAACAACCGTCTCCTCAACCCACCCACCCCGCTCAAAAACGTCCCCATCCGCATCTACATCCCTTCCTCGCCTAAGGACACGGATGGCAACGGGTCCACGCCGGGCTCCTTCAAAGTCGTGCAAACCTTGATCCCGCCACGGTTACCCAACAGTACGTTTATCTCTTCTTCCCCCCCTTCTTTCTCTTCCGTCATCACGACCCATTCTTTAAACCCCCTTTCCGCCCACCCTTTCCGCCCCCCATTTCCGTCCCCCAAAACAGTAGCGGTTTGGTCTGATTTTGCTTGGTCTGTTGTTTGTACTAACAACACGACCGCGGCGCGGCGCGGCGCGTCGGAAAAAAGGGGCTCCGCAGACGCTCGGCGCGGCACTCAAGACCCTTCTCCCAGACCTCTTCCCAAGCAGCCGGGATCCCATCCTGGCCAATGTCATTCTCCACGGCGGGCCGGTGCCGTTCCGGGCCCCGCTCGAGGAGCTGATGCGCGAGGCGGCCTACCCGGACGGCTGGTTGTGTCTTGTTGTGGTTCTTTTGTGAGTATTGAGTGAGTGAGGAAGGTCGGGCTAGGGAGGAAGTTTGGATTGGGGTGTGAAAGGGGGAGGGGGTTCGAGGGGTGGTAGCAGGGAGCAAACAACCACACATAGATAGACAAGACAGATAGTACGCATGTCCAGCGACCAGGACTTGCTTCGTTTTATAAATCATGACACAGAAAATGGCGGCCGGGCTGTGCCATGCTACGGATTCACGATTACATACATACATACAATGCCTACCGAGATGCTTGTGGTCATGGTATGTTGCCTGGCCCCAGAGGGAAGTATGGATTTGACATGGCATGGCGTACGTGCTATTCTTGGGGCAGTTCAGCCTTACTACATTGCCTATCAGTATCTCGTGATACATAAAACTGCGTCCATTCTTGCCCTCAGACAGGCCACACGTATACATCATGGATGATACATGCAGGACGAACTGCTCTAGTAGTGTATTGTATTTGTGGTATCTCGGGCATGTCCTCCCACGACTCCTTGCTCCTTTTCAGGTCCTTACCTCCTCCACAACCTCACGAGTAAGATACAGAAGGAAAAATGTCAGATGATGACATGACATGAGCCGTAAAAACCCCAGTCTAGAGAATAGCAATCCGTAGTACATGGATTCAACAGTGCCTTGATTCCTAGTATAGTGGCCGAGCCCATGCAACACCGAGCAAGCACTCTGCACCCTGACAAGCTGAACCAGGCCATTCATTATTTCTAGCGGGTATGGATGGGACCGTGATGAAGATGCCCGAGACATGATGAGGTGCAGATAAGGTATCTAGTTACAGAGGGTTGGTTACAGGGTAGTATGTCAAGTAGAATAAGAACGGTATATGTATCCACCCGTAAGGTTTATTAGCAAAAGCCTTTTGAACAAGCCGCACCCCTGCATTAAGAAAGAATAAAGCCAGTGCGAGGAAGAAAACCCTCAGCTAAAGTAAGGCAAGGTATCTGGTGATGTGGTACTGTACGTGTGCTTAGAACATCAGATTGCCGCCGCCGCCGTCCAGATGGAGACAAAAAACAAGAGTGTGACCGACCCGACCTGACCAGACCAGACCAAAACCCGTAGACACGTTTCACACATCGTAGTAGGAGTAGGAGTAATAGTAGTGGTATCTCCGCCGCAGTCGTCCGCTCGATCGCTCGCTCCAAGTAAGGCACGTTACTCGTCGGAGGGGGGAAAGGCGGGAAAAAGAAAATTTTGGAAGAAAAGACAGCGCTAGGCAGGCCAATGCAAATGCTCAAACAGTGACCCCCAAAATTCCCAGACCGAAGATGGGACGAGGTTAGGTGCATGCATGCAAACAAACCCATAATGTGTAGGCAGTAACAAGGTCGAAGGCCTCCCTCTCCCCATCGACTCTAACACCAAACCACACCCCTCGCCACCTCCTAGACCCCACCTAAATCTTGCATGCAAAAGCAAGAACGGAAAGAAGGCTGCTTGAGCAGGGTTACCGGGGAACTCCCTTCACCGTCAACTCCGAGGAACGCCGCTGGGAAAGAAAATGTTCCGCAACCTCTCCTGGGAGAAAAACCAGACATAAGAGTAGACAAGAGGCTATGCAACAGGCGGAGGCGGGTGCTGCATCGGCGGCAGGCCGCCGCCCGCGCCCGCGACAGCGGCATGGACGGCGTCGGAAAGGGGCATCGATCCTTGGAGGGGTGGAGGCCGTCCCGCGCCCATGTTCATCATTCCCCCACCACCACCACCACCACCACCACTATCCATGGGCCCCGTTGTGCCGCCCGGCGGGTTCAAAGGCGGTACGGGCGGGATATTCCGTCCAGCACCGCTACCACTGCCGGTTCCTCCTCCCCCTCCTCCGCTGGTGGTGCTCGAGAAACTGGACCCGGTGGGATGGTCCGTCGCCGTACTGCTGCCACTGCCCCCGTGTTTCCCCCACAGCTCGTGTTCCAGGCCCTCGAGGATACGCAGGTCGATGTGCAGGGCGCTGGTGGGATGAGCAATGATCCGAAAGAAGGCAATCGTCCTGGAAAACAGCTCCCTGAGCGTCTTTTCGTCGACAAAATCCTGTAACGTGGGATCCTTGAAGACGGCCGAGAGGGTGAGAAGATTGCCCCATTGCCTGCGAGTTAAGCGCGCGCACATTAGTTTTACAGTTCCATTTCCTGAAGTGCGTGGATACACTTACGCATGCGCCGTTCCAAACACGTTCGTGATGATATACCGCTTGTCCGGGACACCGTGGAACGCCCGTGTGCTCTCGATCAACGCTTGGATGCCCTTTGCCGCATACTCAATCACCTGCGGGGGGATGTCGCTCGCGTCGGGCGCAATGGCGGGCACCGAAACGCCTGAGCGGATGCCGCCGGATCCGGCGACCATGGGACTCTCGCCCGCCATGAGCTTGTTGTAGTTGAACTCGAGTATTTGGCGGACAAACGGCCGGTAGGTGATTACTTGCGCACCCCAGTACTTGGCGCGGAGTCTGGCAGACAGGAGGTCTTTTGCGGGCGGATCGTCATGGTTGAACTTGAATTCCGGCGGCACGAAGCGCATATCCAGTGAGTCCTGGATGTACTCGATGATGTTGCCGCCTGGCTGCCCGGACGACGCCTGCAGGGGGATCGGGTTCTCGGGGTTGTAGAGCATTCCATGTATCTGGTTCAAGCTCTTGCGCAGGTACAGCTGTGCCAGGTAGCTTCGGAGAACATGGCCGTCGAAACCAAGTTGTTGGGCGAGGTTGATGTTGGGATATGGCATCATGTCCTCGAAGGCCAGGATGTGCGACTGGGGCAATGGAAGCTCGGCGATGATGTCGCTAGATTTTGCTTGAGTGTCAGCTCCGAGTTCCGGGTAACGTCAAGAATGCACGCATCGTCGATTGAGATCCAACCAACCTTTCTAGCTGCAGACATGTCCAAAAGGCAAAGATGAGCTGGTTGTCAGCTTTCTCAGTCACGGCGGTCATCTTTCTGAACCGGTCCACGCTCCTGTTTGCGTTGCAATTAGCTTGTCGAAAACATCAACAGACGGAAGAGGGAAGGCTCACGGTCGCATTTTGACCTGCAACGCCCAGCCAGCCTCTTTGATGTAAGCATAGCTTTCCAGGACCCTGCCCAACTGGCCATGATACAGCCCAGCGAGTATGTAGGCGTAAATATGTCGAAGACTGGTCCCGGCCAGTTGGCCTCCCATGATATCGGTGGCATAGGCAAAGTAGTCCAACCCCGGAATCACATCCAGATTCCTCTTCAGAGACGTTCCTGGCTTGACCGATGGACCTCCCCCTTGAAACGAAGATCGTCTGCTGGGACGGGACCGGTCAGTACCGTCCTTGGGAGACGGGAGGCTGACGGATTGGGAATGTGACGTTTGCGACGGAGGCGACCCCTGGACAGGAGATGCCGGGTACCCGTTCCGCGCCAAGGGCGACCCCTGTGAGACGTCACTGACGGGCACCACATCGGGGATCTTGTCCTTAACGGAACAAATCTTTCCCAAAGCGAGCACTAACAGAACGAGCGCATTGTTGATGGACCGTTGAAACATAGGCCTAGGAGACTTGGACACCACCGGTGGCAGCTCGGCGCCTTCGGGCGCTGGAGACCGCTTCCTCTTGAATCCAGTTTCGGGCTGCGCGGACGAGACCGCAAACTTGGCAAGTGGGGCGCCCCCGGATTGCCTGTTCATGCTCTGCTGGACGCTGTCCAAAAACAGCTTCACCATGGCGTTGAGCTCACGGGGGATTATGAGCGGATGCATGTTCTGGATGTTTTCCTGGAAGCTGTTCACGTATTTCCACACGACGCTCTCGCTAAAATCGGGCGTTTGGACCCCGTAAACGCCCTTGCCGTCAAAGGGGCCGGGCGAGCTGCCAATAGCGCCCCAGCAGTCGGCGGGCGAGGGAGCCCCCGTGTCCGAGTAGTCATCCCGGATTTCCATGACGCCCAGATCGCGGAGGGCCTCCCTGTCACTGCGACTGCTGTCCAAACCCTCGCCTCGGCCCCAGACTCGGAGGAGGCCGCGTCTCTCTTCCTGGCGAATCGGAAATTCATCCACGTACTTGACATTCTCGGCTTCCAGGTAGGGCCGGACCAGGCGCTCGATCGGCCGCCACTTGAGCAAGAAGGCCGCCAAGGTCGTGTGGTTGGGTGGGATAGACGGGACACCGGGTCGCACAAAGGGCCCGGGCTCTACCTCTACCTCGTCCTCCATGCTGCGCGTGATCAGGCGGGCCTCGTTAGAATCAATGGGTGCCTGTGTCCCCGCTGCCGCGTCTCCTGGTGATGATGGGTCAGCTTCTTCCGGGACAGGCGCTGCCGACTCGGCCGACCCTGGCCGGTCGTCGACATCCTGCATCGGCTCCGGCTGGATGTCAGCCGCCGGCGCGATGCGCTTCACCGCATGTTCAAGCTTGCTTATGCGGTTGTTGAACGCGCTAAACTCGTCCCGAAGCAGTACGAGAGTCTCCAAGATGTCTGCCGCGATCTTGTCTTGTCTGTCTCGAAGTATCAGTGGCTACCCTAGACGCTCCACTAGCTCCGGCGTCGAGGAAAACTTACTGTTTGGGGACAGCCTCCCGATACTTGCATTCGACTTTCTTGTCCTTGCAACTCTTGCAAGGTTTCAGCTCATCACACTTAGCCTTGAGCTGTCGGCAATTGTCACAGGCCTGTGTAACCCAATGTCAGCGGCTGCTTCCTGGAACCCATGCCGCGTTTTCCAAGATCCGAAGATTGGGACAAACCTGCGATGCCCTTTGCGCCTTGCGCTTCCCGCTGGCGGCGGTGACCTGGATCGGATACGGAAGCTCGCCATGGGGGGTTCCATAGGGCTGCCCGTAGTCGTAGGGTTGGGCGTGGGGCAATGGCGTCTGAGGCCCATAGCTCGGTTGCCGGCTGTACATGGGCAGTTGCGGGCCGTTGTCGAAACTCAAATGGCGCTTGTCATCTCCATAGGCTTGGGAATGGGGTGGAAGGGCGGAATGTGGCGTCACGGGCGTCATGCTATCTTTGGCGGTGCCGGTCGAAAGCGGCCTGCGAAGCTGGGGTAATGTGTCGTCGGAAGGATCCGTCTTGATCAAAGGCTCCCTGGGTGGATAGCCCGGATAAGGCGGGTGGGCGGGGGACTGCGGAGGTTGCCTGTGTTCTTGCATGGGCGGAAACCTGTCGGGCTCATGGTGCCGTCGGTCGTCGATGGGCGTCTGAACAGGCGGGGGAGGAGGCGGTGGAGGCGGAGGCGGCGGCTGGTGAGGGTCTCCGGGGCCTGGAGGACGGGAAAAGGGAAGGGGTGAGGGTTGTTGATACTGGGCCGACGGTGGGGGATGATGGAGAGGCAGCTGGCCAGCCGTGGGGGAGGGAGTGGGATGGAGCAGAGACACTCCGTGATGCGAACCGCCTGCTGACCATGCCGGGCCAGTCGACAGACGGGGTCGTTTGGAGTCTGGCGGCCCTGGGTCCATGGCTGGGGCCTCTTATATAAGTATGCAGTACATGAAGGTTGAACCAGGCAGGGAGCGGTGGCCAGAGGCAAGCAGGGTCAGGCAAAAGGAGACCGGGAGCAATGACCCCATGGACAGGAGCTTTGGCCGTGGCAGCATGGAATACAAGCGGGGAGCGAAGCCCTGCCTGGGGGGTCAAAGGGCCAGGGAGCCAGCCGAGAGGCAGCGGGCCCCGTGACCGAGAGTGTCCCTTCAAAGTTCAGAGGGGCTCCTCTAGGGCTTTAGAACAAGCGTCTACACGTCTAGTGTGTAGTTGCAGGGTTAGAGCTCAGTGAGGAGAGACGGCAGCTTCATAACCTATACAAAACAGGCGGTGGACTGCGCAATGATGAATGAGCCGTCAGCAGGGAGACATAGTCGCCTCGGCTGAGAGCTTGAGCCTGAGCTTGAGCCTGAGCCTTGTATGTATGATGTATGTGTATGCATGTACGTACTTACTCCGTACCTGGGGCGCAGAAGCACCGCGTCCCGAAAAGAAAGCTGGAAACACTCTTGCCGCACCGGGCGGAACCAACAGTTGGGCAGCAACGGTCGGGTGAGGTGAGGCGAGAGTGGGGAGGGCGTGAAGAGACTGGCCTGCTAAGTCCTGGTTCAAGGATTTCAATAACACAGGCAGGCAAGTGAGGTAGGTAGTGTACTAGGTAGGTAAGGTAGTTAGGTAACGTTATCCGGCAGGCCGGCAAGCAGTGTCGTGCAAGGACGGGGCGGCTCCTTGTCTCCTGTGGTGGTATGTACGGCGTATAGTTATAGAGGCGCGCGTATCAGATTACACGCACAACCTGGGAGCTGGGTAGCTGGGGAGCTGGGAGCTGTATCTGGCGTGTGCGAGACCAGCCGAGCGCTGCAACAAGGTTCCCAAGTTCCAACACGGACCGGCCGCAAAAGACGGTCAACGGGGGCAAAGGTGAGGGAGGGGTCCGATCAATTGTTTGGAGCCCTTCTTCGAAAAGTGAATGGAAGAAAGGGAAGAAAAAAACAAAATTGTGAGCTCCAGACTCCAGTCATCAACCCTGTCAAGCACGTCTCAAGGACCCTGGGCTGTACCAGGGTGTTGGAGAGCTAAGGTAGGAGTGGGTTCGAAGTGGTCAAACGGGTGGGTCAGGATTGCTTTGCTCGGTCCGGAGTCTCCCCTCATCAACTCTCGCTCGGTCTTCCTCCTTTTCAACGAGGAAAGCGGGATTCTGGCTAGCAACCTAGGAGCGCTAGTTAGCACACACACCCACGCACACAGTTGCTCGATATTCTCGGCGAATGGGCTGTCTGATAATTCACTTAAGGGGACGGTTGCCTCGACACGACGTGAAGAGGTCTTGGGGGACTGTTGGTTGGTTTGCTTTTTGAAGCTGTTGTCTAATTCGCCTTTTCCTGGTTGCCCGTTTTTGTGCCGCGTAGTCCGTTTGGTTTGCTCGGGCGAGAGAAAAAGAGCCGGCAAGGTGCCGAAGGTAAGCTACATGCACTATATACATACCTACGTTAACGAAACGGTTGCAGGTTCCTTACAAACGATCAGGTCGCAGTCCGCGACTGCCTGGCCTAACCAACACCCAATGACGGTGCTCGAGGTAGAGACGCACTGCGACAGATCTAAGTGGTCTGTATGTGTCGCACAGAATGAGGTCAGTTTGATCTCTGAAGTTAGTTATTTCCATCGCCTGCAACCGACGAGGCGGCGGAGAAACGCGCTCAGTGTGCGATCCAATGCTCGACCCCAAGCCGTGCTGGTGTGGCGCCCAGGTCAAGCTGACAATGGTGAATGCATGGTCTTGGCCAAGACAGACTCGGATCAACGCAACGAGCGTGTGCAACGTCGTGATGTGGGGTAGAAACGCGACGCTCGAGTGCCTTCGAGTGAGCAAGTGCGCTATCGCCAAGCGGCAAACGCTTACTGTGGGGAAGTCGGACCTAGTCTTGTCTACAAATCCGCCTTTTCTTACTTTTGCATGTCTGATGGGTGAGCAAATGTGACAGCTCGGCTGATGAATCCAATGCACAAGACCACGGCTACATCAACCATACGGCACGCTACATAGGTCATATGTGAGTACGAAGTACCCGAGGATAACGTGAGCATTGACTGGCACCGTGGACCGCCATGGAGCGACAGCACGCCAGCCCATGCAACCCCAACTTTTGTGCCCACCCGGCGTCGCGGCGCCCTCGAAACCAGGGATCAGATTCCGCACCGTGCCCTGGTTGCGCGTAGCACACTCCCTCGACAAGTACCCTGCTGGTAGGCTGTACAAACTACCTCAATACCGACCGACCGACCCGACCGCGGCACCGCTCGTCCGAATTTGGATGGGGACTCAAGGCAAGGCCATGCCGCGCCATGCCATGCCATGCCATGCCCATGCTTTTCATCCATGGCACTTTCTTCCCTTGCTGTCGCGCCGCGACCACGACCTCGGGATCGGTTAACTACTAGCGCATGAAGCTACAACTAGAGGTGGATAAAAGAGGGGCTGCCTTACGCATAAGAAGCGGGCTGCCTTTTGGGTAACGATGGCAGCAACATGCTACCTACCGAGTAACTCGGCGCCTTGTCGATGTCAGTGGAAGGGAATCGCCCAACCTCCGAACGCTGCAAATTGCCCAGGCACCGACCTGATGATACCTTCTTGTCGAGCGGAAAACTAGGACTGGGAAATGGAAGCTCGTTGCGCAGAAGGCTGGGAAATTGTGAGGAGTGGGGACCAATGGGGGCAGGGCGATACTGGCGTGGGCGACATGGTGCTGGGGTCCGCAAAGGACCTAGGAGAGAGCGCACGGCTCCCTCGGCTTCCCAAAAGCGAGGCCCTGGGATTTGCAATTGGAGCTTGATGAATTCCCCATGCTATCGACACCTTCCAGACTCTCGCGGGCAGCCCTTTTCACCACGTGTAGGTTCATCCCTGCGAACAGGGAGGCCATTCGCCGCATTGGCGCCGTCATGCTGATAACTGCACTTACTACACTACTACATAAAGTACAATAGGACATTGTTTACGAAGTACGGCTTACGATACTGAGATCGTTCGGTTCCCCAAAGGCGAACCTGTAAAGGTCTGTTTGGGTACGAACTCACTACCTACCAAGCATGGCGACTGCGCCTGTCGATCCCCTCAGTCTTCGAGATAGATGAAATTCGGGCATCTGTCGGTGGCGTACGGAGTACTGTCCTCCAACCTGTCCAGGGACATGCTCGCTTAACTCCACCAATAACTTCCATAGTAAGACGTTCTATACTTGATTAGACGCTTTATCGAAAACGCCCGAGATACTTTCATACCTGCACCATCTGTCACCGCCTGTTGCTTTAGCTCCTCTCCTGTTTAGGTACGTAGCTCGGGAACTTGTCAAGTGTTATCCCACGGCCACCGCAGCTTCTCGGCAACCTACCGAGCCGCCACGTCCAGGCATCTGTCAAGGACTTTGGTGGATGTGGCAGGGCCCCCAACCTGCAGGAAGACAGCTAACGTTATCTGTGCTCACCTAAATGTCTACCAAACAATCCGGTCCCTTGTCTTCATGCTTCTCACATTACAGAGCGATTGGTAGATGGCAAGATGCAGATGATCAACTGTGCAGGTCCTGTAACGGCTTTGCTCCCATACTCGAAAATCATGCCAGCTAAAGTTAGGCCTTTCGTCCGTCGCGGGGAGGAGTGAACAAGGAATCCTTCCTGGATCCATGGACACGGTCATGGCGTTGCGGCGCGTCTTCCAATCAGCTACGAGCATAGCGTCCCAGGAGTGTGGGCGAGGGGTCCGAGGGTTTGGAAGCATCGTTCGATGGGATGCCCTTTGCGCTGTAATTCTAGGCCGGGATTTGTAATTTCGCGCAGCGGTCTTTGTCCAGGTTGTGCATTTTATTGAAAATGCCCATCCGGAGAAACATACGAATATGTGGGCATACATGTAACCTGATCCACACGTGAGAATCCTTCTGAAAGCTTGATGAGCAGCCTTGAAAAGTCTACGAGTGTTGATCGTCATGACGACGATAGGAATCAACTCCTTATATGTATGTACATACAGTACTCGGGTTTCTACTATTGTCTCGGGGATACACGGTGCGCAGGGCAGTTCGCTGAGCATCACACCGAGCGAGCCACATATGTATCTGCACTGGCGTATTGAACTTATCGAAGCCTTTGTGGCCTGACTGATTGGAAACATGGCCTTTGGACGATTCTTGCGGTTGCTGTGCCTCAGGATACTTTGGGCACACGGTGTCTTTGACTTTGGGCCTTGAGGCACAAGGTAGCGCTGGCGAGGAGATGATAATGAAGACCGTCAACCCAAATGTGACCTTGGCGGTCTTCAGTTCTTCTTGGTCACAATCACATAACGTTACCTTCGGGTTATCTTTGACCTAGGTTTTGACATTCTCCGCTTTCGGAGGGGCAGTCAACCCCGCCAGATCACGGGACGTATCAACAAATTACAGTACGTTACAGCACTGTATGCACGTGCAGTCCCTGTTGAGGCAAGGTCGTGTAAGCACACTTGAAGCCCGTTCCAAGGGCCTGCGTTATCCAGGTCCCGCTGATCACCACCATTTTTGGGTATGTGGGGCTACCTGCCCTAAAGCCACCACATTCAACGCTCGAGCCACCTGTTACTGACCTCGATTTACACCAACTTCATGCCTGCGCAGAAACAACGCAACTTTCCTATAAATCATCTAAACTAAGTGCACAATCTTGATCAAAACGCATATAAATTTTCCGGACAAGAGCATGTAGTATAGATTTTTTTGTGTACTTAATTGCACATTCAATTTGGATAGGCGTTGCGCTGCGAGTCTGCACTTAGAAAGTCCTGGATTTGCACTAACAGTGGGCTTTCCCGGTTTTGTGGCGTGTGGCTCGTGCACCCTGAGAAGTGCAATTAAATCTAGGTGGGGACGGGACCTGGATAACGCACACCGTTCCAAGTTGACAAGTCGGCGCCACGGCGACCTCTTCGTGGGTTTGTTACATTTAAAATGCCTAGACTGGCAACAAAAACACAGACGGCGTCGTAGAAGCCCGTCAAACTTCCATCCTTCCACGAGCGAGGGCCCAATCGGCAATCGAGGATTTATGGGGCGTTCGGAGGAAACTCCGACAGGATCTGAGCGAACCTGAATGTCTCGCGACGCCAAGTTGTCTCCTTGAAGATACTTGATGGTAGACAGTCGCGGCAGTGTAGAGTATGAGTAGGTACATAAGTAGTTCTGTAAAAGTAACTCCTTACATGATAAACTTTCCAGCTTTGAGGTACCAAATAGATCGAAGTGTTGTTGTATGTTAAAGTTCCCATAGACCCCACGCCCTCTTGCCCGACAGCGAGGTGAGGCAAGGCGTTATCGTTCGACTGATGCCCTTGTAGTCCAGCCTCTGAGCGAATCAGCGGCCCGATAGCGTATTCGTGTCATGAGGACCGTCCACCCACGAATCAATTGCCTGGAGGCAACTTGAGAAAGTTATTCATGATTGGCCGATTTTTGTGCCCTGGTAGCCTCCAGAGAGGCGGGCAATGCGACGTCGTCCTTCCCAAGCCTTGTCTGGTAAGAATGTCCCGTCGCCAGCATCGCAATTGCCGTTTCTAGAAATCTTGGCCACATTGGCTCGAAGCCTCGAAATATTGCGAGGTGGATCTGGCGGTGGCCTTTGCATCGGATTTCACCATATCCACTACGTATTACACTACATACACGTACACTACACTTTCTTGTGATCTCAAGAGGGATGCAGGGACCATTTGTTTAATGCATTCCCAAACCCAGGGTAGTGTACCCTTGACTGCCTGTCCTGTGCACAAAGTCCGGGCCAGATGGCCACTGCGCCTTGTCGTTGGTTTCGGGCCCCAAGAGAATCAACCAAACGTGCGTCTTTTGGCGGGGCGGGCTAGCGGGCCCGGGCGGGCTTTGCTTCTTGCTGGGAGAAAAGGCTCGATTGAGTAGGACGGTCGATCGGCACGTTGGCAATGCTTGCTGGTTGGCGAAAAAGCAACGACCGACCCCGGGTCTGACGGTCGGCTGAGACATTACCTAGGGCACATACTTCTCCCCCAGGTTTGCCTCTGCCACCTTCCTCCGCTTTTTCCTCCTGCCCGAATGCGACGAGGTAACGTTAGTATCCTCGTCAACAACTTCGCGGGCGCCCTGAGAAACCCAACCGGCGGCGAAATCGCCAGTCCGCTGGGCCTTGGCAACTCCGGCGGTCGGCTGCTCAGTCGATCCCTCAGTAAAGGCCAGGTCTCCCTTCTTGCCAATGGCGTCTCGGCAGGCCTCCTCGATTAGAATGCCAAAGGCGAGGAGGGCAGTCTCGTCCATGCTCCGTTCGTCGACAAGTCTGGTGCCCACGACACAAGGAGGGCCCAACCGGGCCGCCACCGCCTCGTAGAACCTGCTGCCATAGCCGTGGACCGACTTCAAGAGATCCCCGTTGGGGAGTTGGCCGAGCCCGCCGTCCGGCAGGTCCTCGTTGGCCCAGTAAATGTCGTGTTCGGCGTACCGGACGGGGGCGTCCTCGCGTCTGAACAGGACCTCCTCCGGAGCTAGTCGCGGATCGCGCGACGAGTAGCGGCCGGCAGACCAGCTGCGGCGACGCTTGCTCCTGCTTCGGGCGGATTCTGCGTCGCTGAGGGGACCATTCAGCGTGATGCGACCTAACAAGCGGTGAGTAAAAACTTGCAGTAGTGCATTTGGAGGGAGGGGCGGTGGTGATCGAACCCACCTGCGACGGCATCATAGACGTTCGCCTCTCGCCCTCGGGGTCTATCAACCTGGTTGGACGACGGCGCTGACAAGTCGTTTCGATTTGGTGGACTCTCATTAGAGTTTGCATCTGAGGGCGGCGATTCCATCCAGTGTCCCCTTGTTTGCTTATTCGGTGATTTCTGTCTTCTGGCCCGTCGATTGGTTATGGGCAACCCAAGGTAAAAGTCATCAAGATTCCATTGTCAGAAGGCAAACCAGCAAACAATCAGACGAAGACAGTCTAGTAGTCGATAGCCGTCAACAGTGGTGCTTTTGCGGATGGGAAGCTGCAAGGCTGGACCGGGCCGTTCAATGCCAGCAATTCATTCGGGAGGGTGACTGCATGGTAATGATAGCTTACAGAAAACTCTGTACGAGTATGTCTGTACTGTACCGTACAGTACAGAACTCGTTGCATTCATACAGCACTGCGTATACAACATGTAATTACAGGGCAAATGTGCAAGTTTACGAGTGCTGTTCTGGTTAGCCAGCTCCGGCCCAGAAACTAATGACAGCTCGCTCTGAAGATGGCATATCTATAGCCATCTGCCTCGCTATCGTCCCTAGACTAGACTCAGATATACACTGTATTGTCGGATCTGTCCTTGCTTTCTTTCGACCTGTGGGACAGTCCCTTGAAATGACACTGTCGTGTTTTGTTTGGGCCTGCCGCCTGCGTATTCTTCCACCCCATCGAGGTTGGCGACTCTTGGAGCACCGTCCAGTTCCTTCCAGATGCCGGGGTGCCAACCGCCGTTGGCCGCTGCAGCCTCTCTGGACTCTCCGCTGCCTCGCTTGCATGCTCAGTTGTTGAGCACACGGTTGACCAAGTGCCAGACGACCGGAGAAACGATACAGCTCCAGGAAAATCTTCCTACGAAACGCCCAGGACGGTTCCGGAGGTGCTGCTCTGCCCCTTACTCGAAGCTAGGCTCGGCGCCGGGGTGGTGAAGTTTGGCCTTCTGCTGCTATCAGTGCCGACGGAATCCTGTCTCTGGTCCTCCAAGTCGCTGCTTGCCCCCTCACATAGCGTGGCTGGCCGGCTAGAGGGACATGTTGAGCCAGGCATCGAAGATAACTCCGGCGCCGTGAGCTCACTCGCCTTGCCTGATTGCCCGCTGGCTGACGTCGCCAGGGTGCCGCCCGTAGTGGTTATTGATTTCTTGCTCCACTTCGTCATCATGTGGCTGATTCTCCACTGTCCCTTCGTTATGTTCTTTCTGGTGAGCCAGGACCAGGCAAATCGACCGGGTGCTGAAGCAGGCGGATGGTAAGGTAGTCTGGATTTCGCTCTCAAGGGAGGCTCCTCGGGATCCAAATCGGCCACAGGAAAGGAGGAAGCCTGTTGGGTGGATGTCTCCATGCTATCGCACGGCCGGGGAGTTTCGTCAATGTACATCGACCCAGAGAATCGTGGCATTTGCGGTATACTGCCTTCAATGTAGTCTCTGGACGACATGTCGCTATCGTTGCTGCGGGATCGGAGAGTGCGCTCACCGGAAGACCCGTCACCCTCGTCATCCACGCTTGTCTCGGTGATGGAACTCAGGGAGCTACTGATCTTGAGTCGCGGCCTCGGCCGTGCACGGCCAACACTTGCACTACGCACCGGAGATGAACTGCCGCCTTGTTGTCCGTCGGCAGCTCTTGAGCGGGTGCTGGTCGGAGACAGCAGCCAAACTTTTGCCTGGGTCTGAGGCAGGCTCCTTCGATTTGTGAATGCGTTACGTAGACTGACATAGTTCAGCTGTTCCGAGATCAAAGTATCGTTTGACGAGAGATCCTCCTCGGAGCATTTGCTGGTCGCTGGAGGGGGCCGGGGACCTTCCGGACTGGCAGGAAGTCCTGACACATCGACGATTGTGAACCTGGAGATTTGGCGCTCCTTTCGCCGACGGAACCACCAAAAGAGTGGGCATGCGGCGGCAACAAGCAGAAGGAGAACTGGAAATAGTACGGCGAATAACACGACATTGAACTGCCCGTACTCGAGTCCGTCGCCCGCCAACGATAACTGCTCCCCTGGAGATTCTGTAGGATGTGCGCTCGGGGTGTCTTCCGATCCAGCTTGGACACGGATCCTCAATGTTGTGGAAACCACTTTGTTGGAATCCTTTGGCCTGGCATTCACTTCAATGTCGATGATGGAGTGTGGAAGACTCCGGGGGGTCTCCCCGAACAGGGTGACGGTGCTAGATTCAAATCTGATCCAAGGGTAAGAGGAGTTTGTCACAACAGAAAGCTCCGTCCTCTGAGAGTCCACCAAATACGGTTGAAAATCGAATGAGAAGCGCCTGCCGGGGATAATGGTGAGGCTGGGCAAGCTATCATTGAAGACGTTCGCTTGGTAAGTCAGATCTCCTGCCACCTCTACCGCAACGGTCAGGTTTAGCGTGTTGGTGAAGTCATCCCGCAGCGTGATGGTGAATTTGCTGGAGGTAACGGCTTCAGGCGGCATGCCACTTATAATCCAAGTAGTTTTGTCTACCGTCAGCCATGGCGGAACGTTCGATGTAGAGGCGATAACGACGGTCTCGGGGATGGCTGGTTTGCCGTCGACGCTGACAGTGTCTCTTAATGTAGAGTAAAGCACCGAGATTCCCGGAACAGCCCTCAGGATTATTGTAGTATAGTCCGCAACGAGACAGTGGGTGCCAACAACAATGTCGAAAACCAGAGACGCCCCTGCGAAGCCGGCAACGTCGCTTGCGACAAGCCGGATCGAAAAGCTCTGCGGCGGCTGAACTAGAGAACCTGAGGGTGGTGTTCGGCCCGCAAAGGAGAGGTTGCTGGGATCAAAGGATATCCAGGCCGGGAGTGGCGTGTTGTCGGCCATGGTAGCGTAGTAGCTCAATGGGATGTCAGAAGTGGTCGAGAACGTTGCCGGTTCCAACGCAAACGAGAAGTCCTTTTCCGGCGCTGATAGCAGAGAGGATGGAGTGGAAAACATGCCAAAATCGGGAACTTGCTCTTCGAATGGTATCTCGACTGTCGGTCCCGGATTCCGCGATACGACGAGCGTGGCAGGTAGCAATGTCGAACCGGCAGCATCACTCGCGACGAGACTCAGAGGCACACCCACCACAAGTCCCGGCACGACGTCCTTATCGCTGGGAGTTCCAAACAATCGCCGGGCATCGCTGTCGATCGAAAGCCAGGATGGATGCTGGGCGAGGTGATAGGTGATTTTCGACGTTGAGGAGAAGGTCGACGGGGAGAATACGAAGGAAAAGAATTGCCCAACCCGGGCGACGGGAGGGACCTGGGAATTTATGGGAAAGTAAACGATTGGGGAGGCCATTGAGATGCCAGCGAGAAGGAGTGCCGTCCAGGTAACGGCCTGTGAGGCCATGGTAACAGTTGAAAGCACCAGCAATTCGTCGTTGCTGATACCGACTGTCGACGTCAAATTCGTGATGACGGTGTTGAAGAGAGGAGATTGGAGGAAGGAGCGAGGTTAGACTAGGAACAAGAAAGAAGAGATCCTGCTAGCCAGCTAAAGGACGGAGAGATCATCCTCAGGAGATGGCTTGCGCTTCAGATTCAGCCATCTCCTTGTGAGTGCGTGCCCCTTACATGGCTCGCCATCACAGCGCCCTGGAATCGCCAGGGAGTTCGCCTTTGCGATCAGCTGTCCCTTAAATCCACTTCATTTTTTTCAAGTGTAAGAGGAGGCAACAGAACCCTTGAGAAAGCACTTAGGTGCCGGCAAAAGGGGAGGGAGCATTCCAATTTCGGCGATCCCTTGATCAAGGGAGGAGAGCGGCGATGGACAGTGGTGTCTTCCAATTTCCCGCCCAACATCTCTATGAGCGTTGGAAAGCCATCGTACAAAAAACGTTTAGTAGGTCGAATACCAACTCTAAACACAAGGCGGCTTTCATAGTTCAAGCCGATAGATGCTGCCCCTTTTTTTGCACGGCAATGAATTTCATCGGACGAAGCTGCAGCAAATGTAGGTTGCTGGCGGGGCGGACCTGCACAGGCAACTCAAATCAAAAAAATTCCGCCCATCCACAAGGAAGGGGCAACTGGCGCAACATAAGTACATACACCAACACCAGCGACAATCCTCACAAATATTACCCAAAAGATTTAAGAATGAGCAGCAATTCACGATCACCATCGCCGGAATTTTCTCCTCTTGCGTTTGATGAGGACTTGGCGCCTCTCCCACAGTACAAGACCGCCGGAACTACAGAGCTGGACTTCTCGGGCCTGTTGGGCGAGCCACTGAAACTCCACGAGGATCTCAAGTCGGGATGCGGGGGCCAGCTTTGGCCGGCTGGCATGGTGTTGGCCAAACATATGCTGCGCTACCATCGAGATGAGCTGCAACACGCCAGAATGTTGGTGCCCGCCATGTGACTTGTGTTTGATACGATGGATGCCCGTTGTTGTTGCGGGTGCGGGGAACAGAACAGTGCTGACCTGACGACTGGCTCTCATCTAAAGACTCGAGCTCGGCGCCGGCGGTGGCATCGTCGGACTCACCGTCGCAAGAGGCTGCAGCAGGTTGGATCATCCACTCTACATCACCGACATGGTGGACATGGAATCCCTCATGCAACACAACATCGCCTTGAACGACCTCGGCGACCGGGTCCGAGCCAAAGTTCTCAATTGGTAAGTGATTCCATTTCGATGACGTTAACCATTCTGCGGGGTTGGAGAGACGTCTTTTCCTGACAACGACTGGCATGATGCAGGGGCGAGCCGCTGTCACAGGAGATTCTGGATTTCAAACCCGATACAATCCTCGCGGCCGACTGCGTCTACTTTGAACCAGCGTTCCCGCTGTTATTGCAGACGCTTCAAGATCTGTTGGCCTTGGTCCCGTCGGCCACCATTTATTTTTGTTTCAAGAAGAGACGCCGGGCCGACATGCAATTTCTGAAGGCGGCCAGGAAAGCCTTCACCGTGACCGAGATTGCCGATGAAGACCGGCCTGTGTTTAGCAGAGAGAACTTGTTCCTCTATACCTTCACCCGGAAGTGACACGACAGTGACGACAGGCAATAAGTTCTCTCTGCCCGTCCGATCATCCCGGTCATCGTTCTGGGACCTTGCAGTGGCTACTCGCTCGCCACGTGTGCAGCGCCGAGCATGCCGACGGGCCTCTATCTCCTCCTGCATCTCAGATGCCGTCCGCGACTATGAGCAAGCGCTTTTGAGAATTGAAATGACGTGAAAACTGGATTTGTTCACATCTCTCATGATGGCAGCAACAGAACAATAACACCGAGGATTATGGTCTCAATCGCGAGCCGTGACTGGCCATGGTTTTACCCAACGAGTTCCGTCCCATCAACCGTGCCGTGCCGTCCACCTTCGGACGAACGCTTTTGCTTCTTGTCAGCTCCAAGTGGCAATGGCAACGTTATGTCGAGGATTGGATGACACAGCAAGCAAAAGTGGGCCAAACTATCACAGAATGCCACCACACGTTTCGATTCCTACATTCAACTACGTGTACACTGTATGTATGTGCATACACTATGTGAAAAAACTTCTCTTCTGTCACCTCATAAGGCGGACGTGGAGGCCAACTGCTGGGCGAGAACTCGGACAGTGGGGCAGATCGACGCAAGCTCACATCTCAATGCCGGTGTCATTGGCTGCAGTGGTTTCCTGCCTTGGATGGCCGTTGGCTCGCGTCCCGGGAATGACAAGGAGGGGCGGGCTATTTTGCCCGTACCTTGCAGGAGCTGCAAGGAACAGTCGCTGGCGCCAGTTCTGTCAAAATTGGGTCGCCATCACTGCCCTAACTTTGATTTTTAGGTGTCTACGCAGTAACATGCCAAGCCTGTTTGCCTGCTTTAGGTATGAGCACAATTCCTAACAGCAACAGCCCCCTCCACTAACAGTTTCAGGGCCACAGTTTGTATCTCTTAGGTACGAGAGCTAGCAGCATGATGGCCTGACCGGACAAACACAACAGGGATGAGGGAGGCGCTGCCCAGTCCACAGCTTTCTTACTCTCTGGGCCACCCAGAACTCCGGGATGGGTGCCTTAACTCTCAGCCCTTTCATGTTTTGCTCCCTCCGCCGTTTCTGATCCTTCTCTCTTCACACATTCACTGTTTGCTTCAGCCCACCTCCTAAGATTCGTTCCTTTTTTGAGCAGGCTCAGTGGACATACCTTCATTTTCGCACGAGGCTCAGCAACGGAAAAAACGTATCACACACAGCTTCTCCTTGAAGCATCCCTCCTTGACAGAAGGTCGCAAGTGATTGAACTCACACTCATTTTTGCGGAGTTGAACGAGCAAGCTCGAAGAAAGACTCCCACTTGGACTCAGCCCCTACCGGATCACAATGAAGTCGACCGCCGTTTTTGCCAGCCTGCTGGCTTCTGCCGCTCTCGTCCAGGGCCGTGCCCACGGCCACGGTCATCCCCATCGCAGACATGTCCATGGCCACCACGAGAAGCGCGGCATCGTGACGGACTGGGTCACCGAGACCATATACGAGACGGTAACGCTGCTTGTTGACGAGAGCACTACCGAGACCATCATGCCTACGTCCAAGTTCACCCCGCCTGTTGAAGGCCCCTCGAGCACGACGACGACCAGCGCGCAAGGCGGCCAGTTCTATGAGACTTCTCAGGCGCAGCAAGCTCCCCCATCCAGCACAGCGGAGCCCGTTGTGGTGGCGCCTCCGTAAGTACTCTGCCCGCCCTATAAACTTGAGACGCGGACTGACAAGACATCGCGATAGTCCCGTGATTGAGTCGTCTTCCACCCCTCCGGCGGCTGCGCCGGCCCCGACCACGTCGTCGAGCAGCCCGCCGCCCCCTCAGACCAGCAGCAGCAGCGGCAGCGGCTCTGGCGGCGGATCAAGTGGCGGCGGCGGGTCTAGTGGCGGGGCCACGCAGTACGCCGGCGACCTGACCTACTACGCCCTGGGCCTGGGCGCGTGCGGCTGGGACGACAGTGGCAAGGACCACAGCGAGAACATTGTCGCCCTCTCGCACCTGCTGATGGGCACGCAATCCAACGGCAACCCCTACTGCGGCAAGACCATCACCGTCAGCTACGGCGGCAAGACGGTCACGGCAACGGTCCGCGACAAGTGCATGGGCTGCGCCATTGACCACATTGACAGCTCCGAGAAGATGTTCCTCGAGCTCTTTGGAGACCTCGGCGTCGGCCGCCAGAAAGTCACGTGGTGGTTCAACAACTAGAAAGCCGTTAGCGCGGAGGCCTGTGGCCTTCCGCCCCTCGACGCGGAAAAAGCGGATAAGCTCCGTTGTGATGTGACATGAACTTTTTTTCTTCACTTCTCATCCTTTGCTGCCACGGCAACAGTTGGCAATATACCCAATGTCGGGGGCAAAGAAAAGACATTTTTCAAAACGGGACACATGGTAGGCGCCTTTCAGAGTGATACATGGCACTCCAGGCTTGGAGTGGTGGGAAAACGGAACCGGGCGACCTATCCATATGGCATGGGACATCTATAGACTTGGACTTCTTTGTACATACTTTACTTCAACTTTGGGCGACTTGGATTCAGAATCGGATTCCACCCTTCCCATGCTGATTCCAGCTGTTGGTTCAACCCATCCATTCATCAGTTGAATCTGACGCGCCCGCTCGTTTGAACGAAACTCCCTACCTGACCCGACATCCGGCTGAGCACTTGCACTACATACCTTACATACACACGTGAACTTGACCAGACCAACCGCACAGGAGTCTCCGCATATCCTGCCATCCCTTTCTTTCTTGAAGTGGCTTCACCGCCTTGATAACCTTACCTTTACCCCGCAGTTCTCTCCTTCTGTTTCTCTAGAGTTGAACACAACATCTCTCAGGCCACCTTTGACTGACGGGTAGTGACAGAGCCTACACGTGCGTGTCGGGAATGGGGAATGGGGGGGCGGGGGGTGCGGTGACACCGTTCCGCTTCCCCAGATACGGATATGTGCAGTGGTTCTGCAGCTTCCCGTCTGTAGTCCGTACAATACAATATCAAGCCTGGCTGGCTGGTTGGTTGGTTGCCTGGATGCCTGCCCTGGGTGGATTTCCATGGCCACGTTTGTTTAAGTTGTTCAGGTTCATATTCAGTTGCAACCGTTTATACGCCGTACATTGTATATGTATGCCGTATGATGGTTGAGGTGTAGGTACAAGGACAAGGACAATATACCGCCTGGGAGGGGGGTAATGCATATCATGACCATGCGGTCTGGTCTGGTCGGTGACGGGAACTGGTGGTTGAGACGGGACTCTCGGCCGGGGCAATTCGGTTTGATCTTGCTGCCCGTCTCGGCGATTCACCAGCCACGGCATCGTTCTTGGAATAGTGGGTTGCAAACTTGCAACAGGGCAGGGCCTATGTACTAGTACTATTGCTACTGCTACTGCTACTGCTACTGTGCTCAATGTCAAAAGTATACGGGGTTTTCTTTCGTATGCTGAGGAGGAGGAGGAGTGTGAGGAGGTGCGTTTGCTCACTGCTGGCTAGGACTGATGGGCTGTGTTTGCGCAGATACAGGGTTACATGTTCCAGGTTAAGTTGACCTAGCATTCTGCCACTGACTGCTGCCAGGGATGGAAGGAAGGAAGTGATGTACTGTATGAGTATTGAGCACTATCTGGACATGGTTCATGATTCATGACCTGGCTAGCTGGTCTGTCAAAGCTCAATGGTTAGGGGTATAGAAGATTGAGGGGAAAGAGATGAGGATGAGGATGATAATGAGGATAGAGAAGAAGATGATGAAGATGATGATTATGATGGAGATAGTGAAGACGAAGAACATGTATAGTGGCCCTGCTAGCTAGCTACCTAGGCTGCCTGCCTACCCAGGTATATAAGTAAATGGTTCCCTTGAATATTTGCTGTCAGGCAAGAAGTCCAACACCGAACTGAGCCACTTCAGTTGGCCATCTCGAGTCATACATTAGCTACACCGTCACTGAGATAGGTTCCTTTCTCGCCCCGTCCTCAGTCCCGTTCCTTGCCCCGCTGTACTCATTATGCTGTACTAGCTTGCACGCATGGACTATACAGTTGAGTCCTACGACTACAACTCACAAGCCCTCTGTATTGATCGATCGATTGGCAGGTTAGTACTTAGTAGTGGTGGTGCTCTGCTCCGGTGTGTTGAGCTTCGCGGTTCGGTGTATGTACCTATATATATATATATGTCCCCTCTGTGGTATGGTATCCAGCCTGCGTGTGTTCTGTTGCTGACGCCGAAGCATCAAGGATGTATCTCATTCTGGTAGCTGAGGCGTCGAGGTGCCTTGTGGGCTTATTGCTTGCCCGAAACTCTAAGACTTTGATCATCGTTGTAGCAGTATCGGTAATGATTACACAAGAAGGGCCACGGTACTGATGTTGATACTGAAGGTTGTATGAAACTATAACTACAGGTTGAGCCTGTAACAGCAAGTATATCATTGGCACAACAACCACGAGAATCAGAAGGTTGAACACCTGTCTATGCCAAATATCAAGATGCCCACTCCAGAACTCGCTCGACCAGCCCGCTAAAGCGAAGGCTTTACTTCCCCCATTCATTATAACCCTTCTGCCTCTGCCTCGTATTCCACCCCAACTTGGCGCTGATACTATTGATCCAGTCCTCACTCCTCCGACCGTGCGGCTGGACGCAGGCGAACGGATACCGGCTAGCGCTCACCGTGACGTAGTCTCCCGGTCGCAGCTCGACGCGCTCCCTGCCATCGAAGCTGGCCCAGGAGCTGGCGCGCGCATCGTAGGGTACCCCGATGCGCAGCACGATAGTGTCCGGCAAGATGACCGGCCGGAAGGAGAGCGTGTGGGCGCATATCGAAGTAACCAGCATGACCGGGTTCTCCGGGTGGCACAAGGAGCCGCCAGCGGCGAGGTTATAGGCCGTCGAGCCAGTCGGCGTGCTGACGCAGATTCCGTCGGCCGAAACAGAAGTGAAGTGCTCATCATCGCCGAAGATTTCAATGTTAGACATCGCTAGAGCCCAATGTTAGTCAGGCGCTCATTGGGGCTAGAGAGGGTCTGGCAGCAATGGAACTTACTCGGATTGGGCCCTCGGTCCACGACGACTTCGTTCAGCACCTCGTACGTCCCATCAGGTCGATGAGTATGCTCATCGTCTTTCTCATCCCCTATCAACTCCTCAACAAGATCCCTCGGTTGGCCGTTCCCGTCCGGCTGCGTACTCTCAGCATGCTCCCCATCCTCGGTCAACCTTGACCCAGTCTTCTGACTGCGCATTACCGTCGCCTCAAACCTCAACCTCAAACTCACCGTCACCCCGTCGCTGAATGCCCCGGTCAACGTCCTCCGATAATCGTCAAAATCGAACTTTGTCAAGAAGCCTAAACTTCCGAGCGCAAAGCTCAATACGGGTGGAACGATCCGCTGAAACAGCCAACTGGCATACAGCACCGTCCCATCCCCGCCCAGGGTGACCACAAAGTCAAAGGTGTGCGGCCTGGTCCTGCACATGTCCTCATCCCAGTACCTCAACCTTTTTGGAACGTCCCAGCTCGCCTCTTCACTGACCTCCCCACTGGCAACATAATCCCTCCTAACCTCCTCCACCAAGCCGGTCGCATCAAACCTCTTGTTATCGCGCAACTCCTGGTCCACATATACAGTGTATCGGACCTCGCGCTCCCGATCCAGCAGCCAGCGGCACAGCTCCCTCGTCTTGCCAATCAGCTCGGCATCGTGGATCTTGGTGAGCAGGAAGATGCTCTTGACCCTGAAGCGCAATCGCATGCTCCCAAGCCGGCGGCTGAGCTCGCGCACGCCCCACGCCATCTCGCTCAGCTGCTTCTTGGTCAGCAGCCGGCTGTTGGGTGCGTCGGCCGACGCCGAGCGCTGGTCCAGCTGCGACGGCGTCCGCGGCAGCGTCATTTCCGCACGCCACTGCTTCTCGTCGGCCTGCCCGCACGTGCTGGTGCTGGTGCTGGTGCTGCTGAGGTTGCCGCTGGCTTCCTCGCCAGGAATCATCCGGCCATCTTTGTGCCCGTCGGCAAGGGCAGAGTCGTGTTTGAGGATGGTCGCTAGCCGTGGGCGCCTGGCTGCGTCATCACCGCCGCCGCCGCTGCTGGTGCCGCTGTCCTGGGCAAACGCCTTGGGATCGACCGGCCGGTCCAACCCATCCTGGGACGAGCTGTCCTCCGCTCGACAGGCTGCTGTGCCGGCCTCGCCGTGGCGAACGCGGTGGACAGTGGGCGACAAAGTGCTGTAATGCCGAGGGTGGTCACGGTGCTCGTAGCTATCGCGCGCTGCGGAGTGGGCTATCCTCGACCGTTGCTGGTCGGCAAGGAACTGGTGGACCAAACATTCCGTCTTGTGCGGTGGCGCTATGGACCGATCCAGGTGACGGTCTTCCAAGTCGTTCCCTACAAGAGAACACTTGCGGCGATAGGGATTAGCTGAATCAAGGAAGACCTGTGAATGAAGGCTATTAGCGGGGAGACAGTTGGTGGACATGACGAGGTATCCTAAAACAAAGGATGGACATACCTCGACGGAATTATGGTCCTCATCGCTCGATTCCTCGACCGACACTCGCCTTGGTCCTTTGGATATGTCGGCCATTGCTATGCAACAGTCGCAAGCTTCTACTCCGTGATGACTCGTCTCGAGCTTGTCACCCAATTCCCGAATCTGGTGTGAATGTCCTGCTGCTCCGGTAGACAATGGTGGGCTGACACATTATCGCTGCGATAGCGATAAAAGTCGGAGTGAGGGGCACAATGCAGCGATGACGACAATAATCAAAGGTTGTACTTTCGCAAAGTAGATCGACACCCCAGGATCAAAGCTGCGCATGGCAGGTCCAACTTGAAATGTTCTCAAGTGCGTGTGCGTCATTGTGGGGTTTTTGTGGTAAGATACCGTACCTGGCGTATACATACCACATTCCCGTTGTAATTGGAAGTTCACCTTGATTATGATAAGGTTACAAGGTGGGTACTGTACGTACCTAGGTAGCGTTAGTGTTCACACTCATTATTCAACATTACTAAATTGCTCACCTGCCAGCTTCTGAAGCGCCGGTCTCCAACAGCCCCGAGGAAGCTCCGTCGGCGCCAATGGTTCCCATCTCACTTTTTCTGGCGCGGAATTGAAGTATTGACTGGCGTTGCGGCCTACCCACCTCCGAAGTTCCGAACCGCCGATAATGCGCTTCGCCGCATTTATTAACACTGTAAAGAGCAATACCTAGTTAAGTGATAAGTTCTTGAATTTGCCGTGAATATGCGGCTTCACAGAAATCAGTCTCGAGTCTCGACTGAAAACCCCTTGCCGGAAGCCGCATGGTGTCGTGTTCTTGCGGAAGCCAAGCGCATGTATCCCAAGTCTATAGTGTTGAGAACTTGAGATCGGTTCCTGCTCTATGCTGACACCGATGCAGTCTCTGCAGGCCGAACGGACCTGAATTAGAGAGCCCAGGGCAGGCAGCTTTGGTCACCCTGACAAAGCGTCAGAAGGAATCGGCGAGATGAAGCATCTCATTTTGGTAGGCGCATGCTACCTCGACACCATTCTTACGTGAGTGGCCTCCATCTCGCCATTTTGCCCGCTAGCTTCGCCTACGGCGGCAGCAGTCGACAGACAACGCCGAATTATCATGGATCCGCATCTCACCCATTGAATGAGTATAATCAGTGTCCCTCATTTTCCCAATGAGGATTCGAAACTTCGAGCGACAGCAGTGCAGGTGAGGCGTGGGGGAAACTGCCCCAACTCGCTTGAAGTCCTCCAGCAACTCGTGTCTGCCGGCCCGTACGAGCTCCAGCTCGGGCTGCACCTCGTGTCGTGCCTGCCTGACGCCCGGGCAGCTAGCACGCGTAAGATAATGTCGTCCTTCGGCACGAGGCCCGGCTCTGCCATATGCTTTGACCATTGTCTCTACCGGGAGGGCCGCGAAGAGGCCGCTAGCAGTTACATCATCCGCAGCAGTGAAACGGGCAGTCGCACTATCGTGAATTTTAACAGTCTGCCAGAGATGTCTGTCGGCGAATTCGTGAGAATTGCCGACGTCTTCACAGAGCATGGGAATGAGTGTTGGTGGCATTTTGAGGTGCGCAGCATCACGGACTGCAATACCCTTGGCATTCGTCTCGGCTTGGGGTGAGAGTGTGCCAGCATTGACTCGTCCAGGGCCGAATCCCGGAGACGACGCTGCGATGCATCCGCCACCTCCGCTCCTCTATGCCCGGTAGCACGATCAGTGTCGAAATTGAAAAACCTGGCCGGGAAGGGTTGGAAGCTCTTGCTGCCGAGGCCGATGTCGTCTTCTACTCGAGAAGTTGGGCTGAGGTAAGTCTGGATTTGTGGGACGCGCATGTCTTGGACGCATGGCTTCGTGGGCGAGTCAGGCCACAAGTTTGGCTGCTAATCATCCAACAGGGAAGAGGATACGCCAACCCGGAAGCTTGTCTGAGGAGCGAGGCTCGATCGACCAGGGCGTAGGTGTCCTCCGACAGTAAAAGCCTGCCAAGACTGACGACGGATTCGATGACTAGCTCTCTCATGTTGTGCACATGGGGAGCACAAGGCGCCGGGGCTCTTTCGCCGTCCAGTGGCGAGTACATTCACTGTTCTGCAATTTCACCCGGGGAAACGGTAGAAGTCGTCGAGTAAGTGGCTATCCATCTGGAGTCTCGTGCTGGTTGGGCTAGAGGGACTGAGGGAGCCGCCCCCGCTTTTGCAATAAAGGGGGAGTTCTGGTGAGAGGCCTTGGCGGAAAGACATCTTAGTGTGCGCCTTGCAGCCCATCGTGCCTGCGGGACGTCGGCCTGTCGCATCGGCACGCTGCCTGCCGAGGATCCAGAACCTATTTCTGCTAAAGGTGCAAGCTAACGCCTCCAGCACCATCGGCGCGGGTGATACGTTTATTGCTGGGATGCTCTACGGGCTGCATATTGAAGCCTTGAGCCGAGAGGCGAGGTTAGAGTTCGCAGTGGGGCTGGCCACCAAGAAAATCCAGAGGGAAGGCTTTGCAGGATTGGTACATACAAGTACCCTCAAGCCTGCAACCTCTTTCTGAGCGGATGCTTGTCTGTTAGTCTGTTAGAACCGTCCGTAGCATGTGTGTCGTGATGACGTGGAGGGTTCCATTCTAGTGTACGGATACGACTGGACGAGTCAATCTTCCTGAAGACGGAAGCCGTGAAATTGGAAAGGTGGACAGGCCGAGATGTTTTGTTGCGCTTGTGTTGGTTGCAGCAGGAAAAGTGGGAAGGGGTGAAAACTGAGAAAGGGAGATTCCAACAATCTTCTCGTGGTCGTCCGGGCCTACCCGGAAGCTTTCCGCGCCGTGGGGTCTCAGAGTGTTGAATATCACGGTGGAGGGGCAATACATCAGTAGAAGGCAAAGCATCGGCCAAAAGTGTAAAGAGGTTCGGGTTAAGTGATTGCTGTCATACGGTACGCCGTAATTTGAGTCAACTTGGGAAGGCCGGAACCAAACCTGGAAGTATGGAACCTGCCAGCCTGCCCACAGCATCAATGAATTCATGCATGAGGTGGCCGTACGTTTCAACCTGGAAGCGACACATGCGCGGCACCTCAGCAAAGGAAGGAGCGGTGAATGCGGGCCCGCTAGGGAAAGCGACAGTGGGTGTGATCACTGGGATGGGCGGCTTAGTGGACGGGCCGATACGACCGGCGAAGCCTGAGGTGGCCCGCGACCCTCTGAAAATTAGGTGCAAAACCAGGCGTCAGGTTGCTTCCTCGGGCCCATCATACTGTACCGCCCGGTAACGAAACGTCAGACAATGGAAAAGGGGCAGGAAACATGACCCTTGTAACATACAACGCCTCGCCTCATCAATAATAATGTCGCACAAAGCGGCATGATATTTCTGGCTTTACCGGAGGTACCATACATACGATTGCATGGTCATATAAACCCACATCGCGTCGAAGTTGCTAATCCTTCGGGATCAACACGGATCGTCGCAGTCGAATGAGCATCGGGTTCCTGCTCCAAGAGATTATCGGCCATATGAGAGAGGAGGCGGTGCTCTTTTCGAGATGAACAACCCGTCGTATGTACACAGTAGGGCGAATGAGATGTTATCCGCAATTTCAAGGGTCGAGGCGCGGGAAACATTGGGAATGAAGAGACGAGCAGGCGGAGCACGGCAGGGCAAAGCAGCACCGGATGCAAGCTGTATAGCCGTTTTTCGCTTCATTCGGCAAGGCGAGTGACGAGACAGCATTGCCCTCAACCCCACTACACGTAGACACACTAGTGCCGACGGGACGCGGTGCTTTTTTATCCCTCTTCTTTCTTCTTCTTGAAGCTTCGCCCGCTTCGGTGCTCGGGTTGTGGGTGTGCAACTGTGCATGTGCGTGCGAACGGTGGAGCAGATCAGCCGCATAGAGTACACATAGCTCCGTAGGTACACATACAATACAACCCTTGTTTATTTGTTAGCGCGGAACTCAGGACAGGGGTCCTAGTCCAAATTTCAAAAAGATACAGCTCAATAGCCAGAAGGAATACTTCAACACAGAAAAATTAAGCATCTAGCAATGTTCAGAATCGTCGTTTTCTCTACCTGTCATACCAGTGGGCAAAGTGGGCGTTTTTCTGTCGAGATCTGACTTCTGAGGTTGACCCTTGTCTTCAAGTCAGGCGCTAGCGAACAAACAAGGGGGGTATTGTATATATACTTACGTTGACCAGGCTG